TTATTATTAATTTCGATTTAAAAATCAGTATTAAAAATAAATAAAAATTGAGCAATAAATAAAATTAAAAGTTTTGTAATTATAGACAAAAAAAATAAATATAAGTTATTAAAAATTTTAATTAATTTAATTAATTTAATTATTTTAATTTTTATTTTAATTAATTTTTTTTTATTATTATTATTATTGAATTAGAAAAACAAAAAAAAATAATCAGCATAAAAATATTATTTCATTTTTACAAATTTTATTTTCGTACTATAAAATTTGAGTGGAAAATTACTGAAAATTTTGAAATTAAATAATTTATTTAGTCGACGTTGAAATTATTCAGAATTACAAAGGAAAGTTAATCCCCTATTGTAAACAAGATAACGACCCTGACTATTGTTAATAAAAGTTGTTTTCTTTCCGTCCTTGTCTATCTTCTCTTTGAGGGCAATAAAAGTACGAAATTGAAATTGAGCCCTTTTCCCTTCTTTTCTTTCCTTCGTGGAAAAATTTCCCCTTCTACCATGAGATTGACATAAAGTCCCAGTTCTCCGATCTCCTTTGATGAGGAAAAGGCTAGAAATAATTAAATTCACTTTTTCATTTGATAGGATATTCAAGAATTCTCTGAACAATAAAACAATTTTAAGAAGAGGAATTTTCCATCAATTTTCGGTCATCTCTGATTTAATGAGTAAGTAGCAAAAAATATAACTATTTATTTTAAATAAACAATTTCTAATTATTAGATATTTGTAATTAAAATTATTAGAAAAATACCACTAATTGAAAATAGTATTTAAAATTACAAAAATTCTAGCAATTTATTTTAATTATTTTTTTATTCATTGCGTTTTTTTAATTCTTCTAATTGTGAATTATTTCATATATTATTTTTCTTTATTTCCATTGATACATTATTTTAAATATTTTAATTAATAATTTATTTACTTATTCAAAAGTTAAAAGATAAAAATCAATTTTTTTAATTATAACTTTTTATTTAATATTGATACATTATTTTAAATATTCTAATTAATAATTTATTTACTTATTCAAAAATTAAATAATAAAAAACGATTTTTTGTATAATATTTTTTTTTAACAGTGCTTACTATTAGTAATCAATTATTTAGGAAATAAAAAAACATTCTTTTTTAATAAAAACATTTTATTAAGTCTCATAATTATATTGTTAATTTTAGTACAATTCTTTATAATAGCAATTTAAAATTTATTTTTTAAAAAAAATTTTTCCAATAAAAAATTACTAAATTTCCTATTTTTTAAAAAATTAATGTCCACTGCTGTACCTTATTTCGAGCAGTAATTACTGGTTATAATTTTTTTTTATACGCATCAATATTTACTGAGTTAGTAAAAAAATTAAAATCGTTTCCTAATTAATAGATTTCTTTTAAATTAGATGTTTTTCTCAAATTTCTATTTTTCAAACATTTATATTTTTCAAACATTTATGTCCACTGCTGTACGTTATTATAAACAGTAATTACCACTCATAATTTTTTTCATACGCAGGAATATTTACTGAGTTTGTAAAAAAATTCAGACCGTTTCCTAGCTAATAGATTTCTTTTAAATTAAATGTTTTTCTCAAATTTATATTTTTCAATCATTAATATCCACTGCTGTACGTTATTATAAGCAGTAATTACCACTCATAATTTTTTTCATACGCAGGAATATTTACTGAGTTTGTAAAAAAATTAGGTACAATTTATTTGATTTTTTCATTAATATGTTTTAATCTAATTAACTATATATTGCTTCCTTGAATTAAACGTGTAGTTAGATAAAATAAATAATATTTTGTAGCTGTATAATTAAAAAAATTTTAAACGTAGGAATTAATTTTAACAATTTATGTACTTTTTTCTACGATTTAAATTTTTTTTACAGAGACATATTTTTTTGGAGCCATCGAAGAGAAGTCTACAACGAAACAAGAGTCGAAAGAAGACACCGTCGCGTAATTGAAAAATGATTTAAAAATCTTCGATATCTCATGAAGTATTTAGCTTTTATTGTATTAGGAAATATTATTACTTAGCTAGGGATTTTGAAACTAAAAAAATACAATTGTATTAGCTAGGAAATTATCAAAGTATGTAAGTAGTTTTAAGTAGAAAACAACATTTTTTATTCTTCAAAAGGATTCATCATCCGGCGTCAACTTTATCTCAACATTAAGGGGTAAGTCAAAAATAATATTTTATTATTCTTTATCTTCTCCTACACCCAGAAAATGTTTTATTTAATTAAAAAAATCTATTAACTTTATTCTTTACTTTAAAAAAATTATTTTAAATTAATTTAAATAAAATTGTATTAATGAAAATTTTTTTTAATAGCATATTACTTTCTTCTTTTTCTAATAATAAGACTTTACTCCATGATGTCTGCTATCTGAAAGCGCCATTTTGGTGCATTTTAAATAAAAATTGTTCTAATCTCTCTCTAAATTTGAATCAAATGAAACCTATTGTTTTGAATGAAAAAAAAATTCATTATCAGAAGTATTAAAAATTCGACATATGATTTTAAAAATAGCAATACTTAAAGAATCTGCTTTTAATGAAGCGACAGCTGGGTGTAGGTTTTAGTTTAAACAGTAGTTAGTATTTATTGTGGACACATGCTTCTAAAAATTGAGAAATCACTGACCGTTAGACACCCTGTTAAATTTAGACTTTGGGCAAGTTAAATTTATTTCAATTAATAAACCGTCAATTGAAACGAAAGTTAATCTATAAGTTTAAAACATTTAAATTAGTCGAATTTAAAAGTTTAAAAATAATTATAAAAATTTAATATTCTAAAGTTTGAAAATAAATTGAAATATCATTTTCTCAATTTTTAGAAATATTAAACATTCATAGTAGATTATATATTTTTATTGACAAAAAAATTAGTGCGTACTTTCGTCGTGCCAAAAAAAAAGATTTCCATAAATTGCAAAAAAAATAGTACTAAACCTTCTCGTAAGTTATATTTTACAAATTTTGCAAATTTTTAATTACCTACAAATATTCTGTTTTTAAATTTTAGTAATTAATTTAAATAATTTCATTTTCTTAATTAAATTTTTTATTCATTTCTTCCTTTAACTTTTTCCTTAATTTCTTTATTAATTTTTTCGATTTTAATTGTGTATTAATTTTAATTCACATTTTTTCTAATGCAACTTAGGCGTATTATGGTCACTTTATCTACCTGCTGTACCTTTATTGACCGCTCGCAGGTCAATAATAAAGTACCCATTATGACTCTAGGGTAATAATGGTATTGACCAGTGGGTTATATGGGAGAACTTAGCAAGCAACGGCACAGGTAGCATAAGAGTGACTATAATACGCCTTTGTTGCATAAACTAAAGTATGTAACATGTATCTAGAGAAAAGATATATTTGGCTCAGAACCAACTAGACTTTTTATTTGTTTCAAATATATTTTATTTACGTCGAATAAAATTTTTATTTGAAACAAATGAAAAGTCTATTTGTTTCATTTTCAAATATTAATGTCCACTGCTGTACATTATTTTAAGCAGTAATTACTGGTTATAATTTTATTCAAACTCAGAAATATTTTCAGAGTTTGCAAAAATATTAATAATAATATTTGTTTATTAAATTGAAATAATCTCCATTGTTTATTTGGACAATAGAAAAGGTCAATGACCCTGGATTTTGCGCGCGGTTTGGGAGGGTTTGTACCAGTCAGGTAGCAGTGAGCCCCTCTGGTCTCTTCACTGTTACCTGACTAGTATTATCCCTTCCGGGCCGCGCGTAGCGGCCCGGAAAATGAGTCGCTCATTTTTATTTCTTATTTCAGGAACTTCTCTTCAACATTCTGCATCGAAAAATTGGTGTCTGAAGAAAAATTATTTTTCTACTCAACATACAGTGTTAGTTCCGGGAGTGTCGAGTTTTTTGTAACAATTTTTATATATTTAGTTTTAATTTTTTTTAAATTAATTTTTCTAATTATTTTTCTTTCGAAAGTGATTGTATTGTCTTATTAAGTGAATTATTTTTTTTTTTAATAATGTGTTTGGTAGAAAAAAGTGATATTATAATAATGTGTTAGTGAGTGTTGAAGTATATAAATGTGTGATTTTTTTTTTCTGAAGAACATCGTGGGATAATCAACTGTGGATGAAGATTTGACTTTGGTAAATAGGGTAAACCGTGAGTTTTTCTAATTTTTATAATTGAAACATTTTACTTCAGCATATGTTTCTAAAAATTGAGAATTAGTTTTTTTTATTTTTTCCTTTATAATTTTTAAATTTGCTTTTTCTTTCTTTTAAATTTAATTTTAACTTTAAATCTGTATTTTATTATTACAAAATTTAAAATTTTAAATAATATTAGATGAATTATAAAGTAATAAATAAAGTTAAATAATATTATTTCGTTTATAATTTCTAATTTACTTTTTCTTTCTTTTAAATATAATTTTAATAATATAAACTTTGTACTTATATTAAAATTCAATTTTAAATTAAGACTTAACTTTATTATGATTTTAATTACGAAAAATTTAGTTGAAACGAAAGTTAATTTACATTAAAAAAACATACTTACTTAATTCAAATACAAAAATCATTTTAGATCATTTTGTTTGGAAATAAATTGAAATTTCATTTTCTGAATTTTTAGAAACATTAAAAACTCATAGTAGATTATATATTTTTATTGACAAAAAAATTAGTGCGTACTTTCGTCGTGCCAGAAATTGTAAAAAAATAGTACTAAATATACGTTTATTTAACTCAAATAAAATATATTTGGTTTGAATAGAGGTTAGCTCGGCATATAAATTCGGACTTACCTCCCTTGTTGCATAATGTACTACTATTATTTACTTGATATTTATTTATGATTTCGTATTTTTTAAAACAAAGAAAAAAAATTTGCAAAATTATATATACAAAGGGAAAAAGGTTTTTGTTAGTACAATTCTTAAAAATAATAAAAATTTTATTTTAGAAAAAACTTTTATTTTACTTCTTAAAAAAAGTACATTTTTTTTGTAATTCTTCTTTCTTCTTAAATTAACGCAAAATAACTGTTGTCGATCCAAAGGTAGCATCAGACTTGAACCATCTAGAAAACAGAAAATAGACGAAGTTTAGAAATTAACAGGTAGATAGAATTTTATTGTTAATTGAATGGCACGCATGAGGTTTACGTACTTTTATTTTTGTTGAGAAAAATTAAGGAAGAAGGAGAATTGAAAATGTCTTCCAGTAAGAAACTTCAATTTCTCTTCATTCCTTATATTTATTTTTAAATTTAAATCAGTTAGAAGGAACAACAGTCATAATTATACATCATTGATTTCGATTGAAACTAATTGAAATTTATGCTGTATTATTATCGCTAAAAATACTTCTGATTGATTTAAATAATCGAATTTTCCTCCAACACTTTCCATCCTTAGTTCCTAAACCTCCTCTCCTTTTTTCTACTCTTTCCGATTTTTCTATCCCCTCCCTTTCCTACTCTTACAATGGAGAGTTAGTTCTCTGTTGGTGGAAGGAGTAGTAGGAAATGGAGGGGATAGGGAAAGAGGAAGTTGGCGACTTCTCTCTCTCCCTAGGGAGAAAAAGAAGTCGTTTCCCAAGTGGGAGAGTTTTACGACTTTCTCTTCCACTTGTGATAAATCTCCCCCACTTGGGAGAAACCAAAGTCGTCCTCGAGGAGAGAGTTTCCGACTTCGATCTCCTCGAGTAGGGAAGTTGGAAATGACCGAGTCTTTCCACTTCTCAGTAGAAGTCGAAGTCAAGGAGAGGAGCACCACAACTCTCCTTGAGAAAGAAAAAGAGGGGGGTGTACGTCAATTTTTTTCCCATCTCTAGAGGTCGGTATTCACAGTGACCTTCTTACCCGTTCGACTTCTTCTGGAATTGAGAAAGTCGCCATCCCCTTTCTGAGGACGACTTCCGACTTTTCTCTCTTCCTACTCAAGGAGAGTGAAGTCGACAACTTCTCTCCTTGAGGACGACTTCGTTTCCCAGGTGGGGAGAGAAAGTCGTCACACTCTCCCCTGGGAAAGGTAAGGGGAGGAGGTAATTCTCAAGTCCTTCACTAGGGAGTCTGTGAAGGAAAGAGTTGGTGGAAAGACTTTCTTCGGAAAGAAGACTTGTTGCAAGTCTTTTCCACCAAAAAGGAAGGGAGGGAGAACTGATGTCTGCTCTTCCATTGGTCAACAGAGACTAGCCGGTCCCCCAGGGAAAGAGACGACACTTCATCTTACTCCCAAAGAGAAACTTCTACTTCCGGAGAAGAAGTTTCCCTCTACTCCCTAGAGAGTAAGAGAAGCGCGTTTTCCCTAGGGGAGACTGAGTCCCTCCAAAGGAGAGGTGACATCAGCTCTACTAGGTAGATAGAGAAGTCGGTCCCCCAGGGAAAGAAGACGACACTTTGCCTTATTCGCCAGGAGTAAAGCAACCACTGCCAAGAGAATAAGTAAAGTGCGTTTTCCCTAGGGGAGACTTAAAAGACAGAAAAAAATAGGAAGACATGAGCAAAAAAGAAGATAGAAGAAAAAAGATAGTTGAGAGAATAGTTAACCCAGTCGTTCACCAAAGAGACAGTGAACGACTGAGTTGGAAAAGTAGTCGGTCCTCCAGGGAAAGAAAACGACATTTTCTTCTTATTCGACAGGAATAACCCAATTTCTACCAGTAGTGAGAGAAACTGTCCTATTCTCCAGAGAATAAGCAAAATGCGTTTTCCCTAGAGGAGACTGAAGTGAAAAAAAATACAAAGAGAAAGAAAAAAGATGATCACTTCCTCTTATTTTTCAGGCGTAAAACAATTATTACCACTTTTGGAATAAATTGTCCTACTCCCCAGAAAATAAGTGAAGTGCGTTTTCATAAGAAAGTTAAATAGGAAATTTGATAGATAAATTGATAAATAAAAAGAAGAAAAAAGAAGTCGTTCCTTCCAGGGAAAGACACGATCACTTCATCTTCTTCGCCAAGAGTAAAACAATTTCTGCTACTTGTGGGAGAAATTGTCCTACTCCTCAGAGAATAAGCGGAAGTGCGTTTTCCCTACAAGAAACTAAGATGCAGATTAAACTGGTAAATATAGAGAAAAGTTATTTTTTTGGGAAGGGGCAAAAAGGAAATTTTTTTCTAGGGAAAACCAAAGTCACTTCATCTTATTCGCCACAAGTGAAGCAGATCTGCTACTGGAGGGGGAAGTTCTCCTATTCCCACCGAATAAGTGAAGTGCATTTTCCCCAGAGGAGACAGAGATGGAAATACCTCAACAGATGGAAAAAACAACGAAAAATAGAAAGAAGAATTAAATCTGAATCGATAAAAATTTCACAGATTCCAATTCAGAGGATGATGTTTTTTTATAAATCAGTGGAATTTCACCAATTCTCACTGGAATTCAACTAAAAGTCAATAGTTTTTACTGATTCTCCGTGAAATTCCACTGATTTATCAAAGAAACCTCGTCCACTAAATTTAAATCTGGGAAGTTTTCATCGATTCAGATTTAGAGTGTGAGAATGGAATTTTGAAAACTAAAAAATGACTTTAAAGAATGAAGTATCAGAAAGGATATTGTAAGAATTAAGTAGAAAATTATGTGAAGAAAGAATAAAGAAAGGAAAATAAAATATTTGTATTTGTTTTACTTACCCCTCTGCATTTCAGGTGATTCCCCTCCTTTTCAGAACGAAGAATGTTGCTAAAGTTGACGCCGAAACTGGAAAAATAAATATTTCAAATTAATTTTCACATAAATAAATTAAATATAATTTTTCATAAAAATAGCAATCTAAATATTTTGCAGCTAAATTATTTGAGCAGTATTATTTTTAATTACTACATGGAAAAAAAACTTCACCTGGTAAAGCAATATATTCTCTAAAATGTACAGTTTTGAATGAAAAAGTTTTAGAAATTCACTAAAAAGCAGTATAATAAATTTGTAGCTGTTGCAGGTAAAGTTTTTTCCTATGAAATCTACTATTAATATAAATATAAAAACATTAACGAAAATTTTCATAATATTTTAAAGAAAAAAAGATGGTTGAAATATTTATTGGACTTACCCAGGATTTATAAAGGACGAATGGAAAATTAAAGAAAAATTTCTTTCTTCGAAAAAGTTTTATGTTGTTGGAAAATTCTTGTTAAATTTTAAATAAATAATTAAAATATTTAAATAAATAATTTAAATATAAAAATTTGAATAAAATTCACTTATTTTGTGAAATAATATTTTATATTTAATTTAACTGCGACACTATGGAAAACTACTCAGGAGAAACAATTTACAAAGAAAGGAAAAGAGGGGGAAAGAACTCAATTTTCATTTGGTACTTTTGTTGTCAATGAAGAAAGGATAGACAAGGACGTAAGGAAAACAAATTTTCCCAACAATGACCACAGTCGTTACCTTCCTTGTTTACAAGGGGGGATTAATGACTTCTTTTTCTAATCGTCAAGGATTTTCAAAATTTTCAGTAACTTTCCATTCGAATTTTAACGAACAAAAATTACATCTTCTCAATGAAAAATAAAACAATTTTACATGAAAATCTTTAATTTTTTCTTTCAATTTTTAATATGACTTTTATTTTTAATTATATTTCATTTTTCCTATCTTTATTTTTAAGTAAAAAATTTATTTGTCTTAAAATATTATTTTGTTTTTATTTTCTAATGAATTTGAAATTAAAATTTACAAGAAAATTTACTTAACATAAAAAAAATTGTAATAACAATTCTAGGGGTCGTTAATGTTGACATTAATTTCGACAAATTAGTATTTTTTAAAACAGTTAAATTTAAAAGGAATCTAATGGGTTAAAAAAATGGAGCATTTTTTTAAGTGCTCTAAAAATGTTCCTGAATATGGAAAAAAAATATAAACAATAATTATCGTTTGTATTAATGATTATATTAATGTACATCAGTTGACATTAATATAGAAAAAATTTGTTTTTTAAATTTATTATATTTAAAAGTAATCTAATCTGTTAAAAAAATGGAGCAATTTTTTTTAGAACTCTGCAATTGTATGGAAAAAATATAAACAATAATTATTGTTTATATTAATATACAACAGTGTACATTAATGCCAAAAAATGAGTATTTTTAAAAAATTTCCATTTAAAATACCTCTAGTAATCAAATTTTTTTGAGAACACTGCAAATTTGTTTGACTCAAAATAATCTATCTTGAACTAAGAATGAAAATATGTAATTATATTTTTAATGTTCTAAAACGAATTTTACTTTTGCAAATAAAAAATCAGTTGCAGTGATAATTTATTAGATTTTAACAAAACATTCATATAGGGTAAGTGCGTCAATTGCTGCGGGTGCTTCAGTTTCTGCGGCATTTTAATAATTTAAGTGAATACATTTGTTCAGGGCACAAATAATTTTGAAATTTTTTTTAAAAATTTCTTAACGATGTAAGTTTTAAAATAGATATAGGAAGTATATACCAAAACATAATATTTATGTATTTTATTTTAATTAAAAGTTGACGTGTGCAAGGTTTTATTTATTTTCATTGCTAACTTTGCTGGCAATGCAAAAATACCTACATAAAAAAGTCTTTATTATTGTTTTTAGACTTAAAGTGGTTATTACTATGATGATTTTAGATAAAGAAAACCTTGTTTTAAAAGAAAAATTAAACTTTACTTTATTTTTGTCTGTTATTATATTTTATTTTTAAGAGTAGTAATTAACACAGAATTTGGGCTTGATTTAATTACTGCGCCCTCAGAAAATCAACTAAGACTGGTTACAATAGACTATCTATTTTGAAAAAGAGCAAGAAAAAATTATGAAAATGAAAGAAAAAATGAAGATTATGGAGGAAAAACTAAAGAAAATTTAATAAATACATAAATTAATTAAGGAAGAATTCTGTTATTAAGTTTTAACTAAATGTTTCAAAAATGTGATAATTCAGAAATTATTTGTTACTTTTGTTAATATATGATATATATTTATTTGTAATAAATTTATATTCTATTCAATTAAACATTGATTAAAATCATTGTCCCATTTTGATTTCATAGTAGTTTGCGGTATTATACACATAAACACGAAATTATGCGCAGAAACTGACCCACAGGAATTAAATTCGCGCAGCAACTGATGCGCAGCAACTGACTCAAACGCGCAGAATTAAACGCATTGAATATTATTTTTAATTCATTAAATTTATTAAAATAAATTATATTTTAGAGATGTTATTTATTGTAAACATATCTTAATAACACAAACTACAAATTTAATAAGACATAAGTTCAATTTGATCAATATAAAAATTATATTTTATAGTTAAAAGACGTCTTGACCAAAATACCGCAGGAATTAGTACACTTACCCTAGTAAAGAAAGTAAAAAAGTACTGTATTAGTAATTTTTTTGACTTACCACTTTTCATCTTTTGTTTCCTCTTCCTTTATAATGTTAAGAACGAAGATTCAAAGTACAACTTTAGTGTCCTGTTGAATACTCTTTCCTTTATGTTCCCTCTCAAGACTAGAGTGCGATGTGTCTGCAAAAAAAAAAAATTTTAAATTAATTAGAGAAAGAAAAAAATATAAATTATTGAAATTAATTCCCACACCCTGAGTAATTTTCTATTGAGAATATATTTTTATATAAAGAAATAAATTTTATTAAACAAGATTATTTTTTATTTTAAAAATAATGGATTAAATTATTAATAAATATTGTTAAACAAAAAAATTTCTAATAAAAAAATTTAGTTTTTATATTTAACTTTCGTATAAACAAATAATAATTTATTCATTAAAATATTGTATCAATGAAATTAAAATATAATTATTTAAATAGTAATTAATAATTAATTTATTTATAACGTACTATTTAATAGTAATTAAATAGTAATTTTAATTACTATTTTCAATTACTGTCATTTTGATAAAAATTTTAACTACAAATAATAATTAGAAATTAAAAAAAATTTGTAATATTTTTTGGTAGTTACTCAGTACATCAGAGATGACCGGAAATTGAAAAGAAATTCCTGTTTGAAGCTGTGTTGCTCTTTGGAGAAATCTTGAATATTCTATTCAAATAAAAATAGTAATTATTTCTTTTTATTTGAGCTATCAGAAATACTTAAATTTATTTTTTGGCGAAATAAAACTTCACCTTATCGAAGGAGATAGAAAAACTGGGACCTGATGGAAAACTTAGCATGGTAGAAGGGGAAATTTTCCATGAAGGTAATAAAAGAAGGGGCAAGGGTTCAATTTCAATTTCGTACTTTTATGGTCTTCAAAGAGCAGGTAGACAAGGGAAGAAACAAATCAACCTTCATTAACAATGGTCAGGGACGTTATCTTGTTTACAATTTGGGATTAACTTTTCCCTGTAATTCTGAATAATTTTAACGTCGACTAAATATTCAATTTACTTATTTACAAAATTTTTTAGTAATTTTCTACTCAAATTAAATATTTAAAATAAAAAAATCTTTGAGAATATAAATCTAAACACATTTGATCCTATTTTAGTAAATAGAATTATTAAAATTCTGTGATCACGCGAGTGTCATGAAGATGAATACGATCCGAGGTGCATACGACTGTTTATGCAACACAGACTGTAATAAAAAAAGCTTAGATCGAAAACACTTTTTTTATTTACAAACACCTGAAGACAAAAACGAGATAATATGTGACATACTACTAGTGTACCGATATACATTCAAACGTACTAAAACGTTTTGTCGCGCGGGGGGGTTCGGGGGGTCTCCCCCCGACGGGGTCCAGGGGCGGAGCCCCGGTCAGGGGGTTCGGGGGGCGAAGCCCCCCGACCACAAAAAAACCAACTTAAAAGAATAATATTAATAATGTTTTTTGACATTTCAAAGAACCGCATTTAATAATACCCCAAGCCACCGCACGCATCGGGGGGCGAAGCCCCCCGAAACCTAGTCATGTGCTTCGACATATTAATAAAAATAATATCATTAAAGAACAAAAACAGAATTTTTCACACGAGCGATCGCGAATCTTAGGTTAGGTTTTGACAGTAGAGTTGGTTGCCAGGGACCCTCACCAAGCGCGAATGCGCATGCGCATACATTTGGTGAGAGTCTTTGGGAACTGTGCGTCTGACAGCATCTAGTTACATTATATCCAACTTCTGTACAGAAATAGTAACATTATAACCCGGTTATTGGGTCTATAATGTAACTAGGGTCTATAATGTAACTAACACGAAATAAAGTGTACTCCCCTCCAGCATTATTCGCACCGGGCTATAATCAGTAACTTACAACCTGCAAAACAGGTGGCGTAAAGTGCGTATTACAGTGCTGTGTTGCATAAAATAGAAAAACATCGTTCCACAAAATTAATGTACAGCAGTGGACATTAATGTCTTACAAATTGTAATTTCATGAAATGGACTAATTTAAAACAAATCTTGTTTTACGTCCTTAATTTTTTTCATACTCAATATATAATTATCATTGTAAAAAAATTATAAACAATTATTAATAAGTACAAGAGCGTACAGCAGTTGACATTAAAGTCTAAAAAATTGGAATTTCATGACAAAATCTAATTTAAAAAATAGGAATTTAATTAAAAACTACATTTAAGGCAAATCTACAGCTATAAAAAATGTCTAATATTTTTTTCCAAACTCAGTACTTGTCCCTAAGTAAAGAAAAAATTAAAGCCAATAGCAATTGATAATAAAATGTACAGCAGTTGACATTAATTTTTTAAAAATTTGGGATTTTATTAAAAAGTCTAATTTAAGTCAAATCTACAGCCATAAAAAATGTCTAATATTTTTTTCCAAACTCAGTACTTATCCCTGAATGAGAGAAAAATTATAACAAATAGCTATTGATTACAATATGTACAGCAGTTAACAAAAATTTTTGAAAAATGGAGATTTTAAGAAAAAGTTTAAATTAAAGCAAAACTAAAGCTATTAAAAAAGTAAAATATTTTTTTCCAAACTGAGTACTTGTCCCTGAGTAAGAGAAAAATTATTACCAATAGCTATTGATTTTAATATGTACAGCAGTTGACATTAATTTTTAAAATGTGGAGATTTAATAAAAAAGTTTAATTTAAAGCAAAACTAAAGCTATCAAAAATGTGAGATATTTTTTTACAAACTAAGTACTTGTCCCTGAGTAAAAGAAAAATTATTACCAATAGCAATTGATTATAAAATGTACAGCAGCTGACATTAATTTTTAAAATGTAGAGATTTTATAAAAAAGTTTAATTTAAAGCAAAACTAAAGTTATCAAAAATGTGAAATGTTTTTTTTACAAACTGAGTACTTGTCCCTGAGTAGGAAAAATTATAACCAATAGCAATTGATTATAAAATGGACAGCAGTTGACATTAATTTTTTAAAAATGGAGATTTTATGAAAATGTTAAATTTTAGGCAAATATACAGCTATAAAAAATGTCTAATATTTTTTTCCAAACTCAGAACTTGTCCCTGAGTAAGGTAAAAATTATAACCAATAGCTATTGATTATAATATGTACAGCAGTTGACATTAATTTTTAAAAAATTTTTAATTTTACTAAAAAGTCTAATTTAAAGCAAATCTATAGCCATCAAAAATGTCTAATATTTTTTTCTTAACTCAGTACTTGTCCCTGAGTAAGCGAAAAAATATAACTAATAGCTATTGATTATAAAATGTACAGCAGTTGACCTTAATTTTTGAAAAATGGAGATTTTATGAAAAAGTTTAATTTAAAGCAAAACTAAAGGTATCAAAAATATGAAATATTTCTTTCCAAACTCAGAACTTGTCTCTGAGTAAGGGAAGAATTATAACAAATAGCTATTGATTTTAATATGTACAGCAGTTGACATTAATTTTTAAAAAATGGAGATTTTGTGAAAAAGTTTAATTTAAAGCAAAACTAAAGCTATAAAAAATGTGAAATATTTTTTTCCAAAGTCAGTACTTGTCCCTGAGTAAGAGAAAAATTATAACCAATAGCTATTGATTGTAATATGTCCAGCAATTGACATTAACTTTTAAAAAATGGGATTTTATGGAAAAGTTTATTTTAAACTTAATCTACTGCTAGAAAAAATGTATAATATTTTTTTCCATACTCAGTACTTGTCCCTGTATAAGAAAAAAATTATAAACAGCTATTGATTATAATATGTACAGCAGTTTTTATTAATTTTTTAAAAATGAGGATTTTTTTGAAAAAGTCTAATTTAAAGCAAATCTAGAGTTAAGAAAAGGTGCTATATTTTTTTGTGATCTTAGTACATGTCCCTTAGTAAACAAAAAATTATGAACAATCATATTATTTATAAAAATGTACAGCAGTTGGTATTAAAATTTAAAAAAAGGGAATTTTAGAAAAAAAAGTTTAAATTAAAGCAAATTTATAGTTGAAAAAAGGTGATTTTTTTTTTGTGAAATCAGTACATGTCCCTGAGTAAGCAAAACATTATGAACAAAAATGTTGCTTATAAAAATATACAGCAGTGGACATTAATTTTTTTAAAAAAAGGTATTTTTTAAAAAAAAGTCTAAATTAAAGCAAATCTAAAGTTGAAAATAGGTGCTCTATTTTTTTGTGACTTTAGTACATGTCCCTGACCCGTGTAGAAAAATTTCTTGGCGCTAGCTAGCAGTGCTAGATACATGGTAAATTTACATGCAGTCTAGCGCTGCTAGCTAGCACCACGAAATTTTTCTACACGGGAAGTAGGCAAAAAAATAGGAACAATCAATATTGTTCATAAAAATGTACATCAGTTGCCATTAAAATTTAAAGAAAGGAAATTTTATTAAAAGTCTAATTTAAAGCAAATCTACGTTTAAAAAAAGGTGCTATATTTTTGTAAACTTAGTACATGTCCCTGAGTTAACAAAAAATTATGAGCAACAATATTGTTTACAAAAATATACAGCAGTGGATATTAATATTTCTTATTTCTTTAATATTTGTTATTTCTTTGTATGAATGAAAAATATTGTTTTATGTGTTATTCTGAAATAAATTTTACTTTTAAAGAAATGTATTAAATCAGAGAAGGAATTTTTTTCTAATAAAACATTTCCGTGGATTTAGGATTGAATAAGGATTGAATATAGAGTAAAATAAAGCAGTCATTTTTTGACTTACCCCTCGTCCTCTGTGAATGAATTTTTCCATAAAGTTGATGCTGAATCTTGAATGCTCTTGCAACTTAAATTATTTTGTACTACTTAAAATTAGCAACTAATTTTTTAAATTTCCTATCTAAAGTAACTACATTTTTTTGTTTGTAAATTCCTATATCTAGATAATTGACAATACAAATTTTCTTTTCATGTTCGTAGTACCATTTCTTCCAGACAGAAGATAAATTATTTTAAATTCAACAATTATTTTTTAGAATTCCATGAGTAAATATTCTTTTACAATAGGTGAAAAATAAATGATTTGTAGCACTTTCCTATAGGCCACTCACTTTCATGATTGCTGTAAAATAACAAAAAAATATATAAATTGTTAATAACGAAAAATATTAAAGTTAATTACTAATTTTGGTAAGTAATTAAATTTGCAACTAATTTAAAAATTAAATTTCACTGTGATAATTATCAATCAATTATAAAAAGGTTTGGTGATAATTTAATTTTCACTTTTAATTTCAAATAGTGAAGATAATAAAATAAAATAATAAATTTTAATTACAATTAGTAAAGATAATAAAATGAAATAAAAAAATAACTTGCAAAACTAATTCACTATTGGAATAGAAAAAATATTTAATAAAATTCAATTATTTGTTGAAATAAAACATTTAAAAATTTACCTCTATAAAAGACGGCGATAAACAGAGTGAAGCTTCGGCAAAGTCACTCAGGTATAAAAGGCATCAGGAATCACCCACAAAGAGTAGAAGAAGAAGGGGAAAGGGCTCAATTTCAATTCTGTAATTTTATTGCCGTTGTCAAAAAGATAGACAAGGACAGAATGAAAACAACCTCTATTAACAATGCCGAAGGTCGTTGTCTTCCTTGTTTACAATAGAGACTTAACAATTTCTCTCTTTTTCTGAAATATTTAAAAGTTGGTTATTAATTTTGAAATTAAATATTTGCAAGTTTTCAGTATTTTCCCTTCAAAATTTAAAAAAAAAAATTCGAACTGCTCAATAAAAAAAATTAATAAAGACTTTTGCAATTTTTTTTTATTAATTAATAATTATTTTTCAAAAATTCAAATTATATTATAACGTTATGTAAATTCAATTGTTAATTAAGCATAAAAATAAGTATTTTAAAATAATAATTTATATTTATAAATAATACTTTAAATAATTATTATTAGAATTAATTAATAAGCATTATATACAAAATTCTATATTCTACTATAAATAACAATTAATACTTTTTTATTTACTGTGAATGATTTAATAATTAATTTATTAATATGAATTAAATTACTTTAAAATATTATCTATTTCATTTTATGTTAATTTCCATTCTTGTAATTAATAAATTTAATAAATAAATAAAACTAAGTTTCACATTTTATTTTCCTACTCATAATTAATTAATTTACCTACTTACTTGTTTACCTAATAAAAAATTCCTATGTAAAGAAAGCTATATTAAGTAAATATTGCTTATCAGCGCGTATGCAGTCGCGGATAAAATAATTGAAACTTAATTAATTAATTTTTACTAATAAAAAAAATATTTTTAATTAGAACCAATGTAATAAATAAGTATCTATACTTTTAATTTATTTCCAAGTATACTAAAATTGTAATTTTATTTTTATAAATAATACTGAAAAATTAATAAAAGTAAATAATATAAAAACAGTACAATATTATACAGTAAATACATTTAATTATAACTTTACTAAATTTTTATATTAGTAAAAAGTACCTAATTAAGTTTGAATTCTTTTATCCGGGACAGCGCGTACGCAGTCCCGACTAACAAAAATTATACGTCCGAGATATCCACATTAGGGATATTCGCAAGGGTCAGCTCAACCTAAAGTGCAATGGAAGAGCCTCGCCCTGGAGGAACCGCCTTGGTGATCACGGTAGCCTCTACGCCAGGTAAGTATGCTTACACTCGTTTCGCCTCGGCTTATATACACTTGATCCCGCATGTCAATTGCGAGAACAACTGATAATTGTGCACCCTACCGAACAATTTAGTAACTAAACTCAGCTAGCATACCGCGCCTGCGCAAAATTGAATTCACTAATGAAAAAATGGCGCGAATTTTCAAATAGCAGAAAATATAAATTTACCCTTTCTCATTGGCTACTGAATATATCGACAAACTGCGCATGCGCGTTATGAACATGAATCTCATTTGGCGCCAACTTTTGAATTTCTGAATTTAAATACAATGTTATTTTTACATCCAAATGCAGGAATTAATAATTTATTCTTATTTAAATCATTAACAAATAATGTAATTAATAATTAGAATAAAGATACTTTTTGAATAAATTGTATAATTATTGGCATAAATAGATATTTTCAAATATGTTTCTCCTTAAAAGCCAATTAAAAAAAATATTTACAAAATAAAAAAAATAGTAAATTATTCAATAACAATATTAATATATTAGATTACTCTGTAAATATTATTATTATTCAATAACTTATTATTTTTTTATAAACACAGAATTAAAAAATCTTTACAAAATATTAAATTATTCAATAATATTAATATATTAATAGTTTCTATTTATATTATTATTGAATAGTTTAATATTTTTTTAACAAATGATTACAAAACATTTACAAAATTTAAAAATATTAAATTATTCAATAATATTAATATATTAATAGTTTCTATTTATATTATTATTGAATAATTTAATATTTTTTTAACAAATAATTACAAAACATTTACAAAATATAAAAATATTAAATTATTCAATAATAATATTAATATATTAGTATTATTTTATTTATATTATTATTGAATAGTTTAACATTTTATTTATTAACAAATAATTACAAAATATTTACAAAAAAAATCAAATTATTTATAATATTATTTTTTTATATAATAATAATATCAATATTATTTTATTAATATGATTATTAATAATTACTCAAAATAAAATGTACTATTAAATTCTTATTAAATAATGAAAGTATCGAATATTTTTCTATCTAATTATTTGCAAGAAAATAGAAAAATCAACCACAGACTTTTCAAATAAAAATACACTAAATACAAAAGTTTCCCTTGCCGTAAATGATTTATTTTATTTATACATTGTTTAAAATTCAATTAATTACATTAGTGACACTTTCACATTGCATTAACAATATTAAATAAAAAAAATCAATAGATGGACCAATTTTATTTCTTTTTTTTTTTTAGTTTATCGTCAAGCAAATATTTGCGACAGTGATATTTATTATTTAATTTGAAGGAGTAAAAGTTGTTTTTTTTATAATATTTTCTATGCATGAAAATTGTAAAAATTGGCTAAAGAGAAAAAAAAGCTTAAATGTCCAATTTTTATTTTTCAAATATAATTTTTTTTCTAAATTCTCTTTCGAAATAACAAATATTAATTATTTATTTACTTTTTTAACAGAATATTATTTTTAAAAATTTCGATAATTATATTTTTTTTAGTCATTAAACGTATTATAATTAATTTAAATCAGCTTATTGAAAGTATTTAAGTCTATAAACGACATTAACTTCATACACCAAATAAAATTTTTTTTTTATAATTCTTCGCAGACATACCAAACAGTAAAAACAGTTGCATTTTGAATAAATCGTTTTTGTCCATTTTTTAACAATTCTGCAATAATTTTTTCTAAATAAAGTTTTTTGTTTAAAATAATAATTTTCTATAGTTGATTACAATTTTATATTCAGTTACAATTTTTACAATTATTTTTCAAAACAATTTTTTAAAAAAAATACAATTTTAAATTAAATAAGAATTAATAATTTTTTTATTCAACAAAAATAGTTTAATTGATTATTAATTGCTTATTTAATTATTCAGTAACAATTAATTAATATAATTACATTCAAAATTTTTCAAAAAGAAATGTTACTCTGAATATTAATAATTGCTTCCGTAATAATTTCTTTATTAATTAATAATCGATTATTTGATAAATAATTACTTTAAAATTAGTAATTTATTTATATTATTTAATAAATAATGAATTATCGATTATTTATTCAATGAATAATTAATTAACAATCGCTTATTTATTAAATAATGAATTAATAATCGCTTATTTATTTAATTAATAATCAATTATCACTCATTTGTTCAATAATTAATTACTTAACAATTAATGACCAATTTCTAATGATTTAAATTTTTACACTATTTTTACTGAATTATTTTTTCATTGCTGGTATGTTTTCGAATATATGACAATTGATTTCAAAATGCAGTGTTCAACTATTTACAATGTAACAGTCTTAGTTAGAAATTGTATTATTTTTAATAACCCATTCAATCGCTTTATAATCATTTCTCTGCTTTTTAAGAAATAAAAACAAGCCTTCAACATTCGAAAAGAAAATTACACTATTATTCAATTAATTTAAAAACGATGTACATTTTTTTTTCGTTGAAAATTTGAAGTGATTTTTTTTTACTTTTGACGGCGAATTTATTTATTTCTTTTTTTAAATTTATTTGACGCTTATTAATTTATTATTTCTAAAACAGAGAAAAATATCCAGTGCATGCTTAATTAGACATGATAAGTTTATCAATATTTATAGAATATTAATTATATCAATTTTTTTGTTTGTTTATATTATTATTTTTCCAAGGATAATCTAAAAATGGGACATTGACAAAAATTGTATTATTATTTTTTTTTTCATTTTTTAATTGTCGAAACTACTTTTTTTCAATTTTATATAATAATTTATACGACAAATGTCAAAAATGTTTTCAAGTCTCAAATATTGGTATAATATAATGAATATATCTTGCACATTTTCTTTTTTTTATATATAGTATATAAGCGAAGTTTTTAATAACAAATATAGTTAGGTAGAGAAAAAAATTTTTGTTTTTTTCTATTGATGAATAATCGATGGACTTAGGCAAAGAAGATAAAGATATAATATTATTTACTATATATTATATATTATATATTGTATATTATATATTATATAGTATATATTATACATTATATAATATTTTATACTAAATATTACATAATATATATTATATTATATATTATACATTACATATTACATATTTTATACCACATTGTTATTAATATTGTTGTATAATAATCTTTAATATATCCTAGCATCCAGGCAGATAGTATATAACACTCGATATAATATTATCGTCGATATATTATCATTTTTTCTAACGTCAGTATGGACGTGTCAATTTTTTTTTCTTCAATAATCTTTTACTTAAAATTACAATTTTTTTTCTTTCTTGCTTTTTTAAATCAGAGAAAAAACATTGTATACGGTTGTTAACACAGGAAACTTTTTTTTAGTAAATTGTCATTCCATCGACTGAGCCCCAAAAAAAAAATACATTAAATAAGATGTAGAAATTAATCCTCTCTCTATATTCGATCTTTCATTTCAAGTACATTCGATAAAAGTGTCTTTTATAAGAGGCGATATTAAAAAAAAATAAAAAATAAAATGTTTCAAAAATCTAAAAATTATTCTTTTTCTCACTCATTCTATAAATGTTAATTTTGATAATTCATTTTTAATATATAATTTCATTACTTCAATTTAAAATTATTGAATTTATTTTTTATTAACTTTGTTTTAAATTAATTAATTAATAATTAATATTAATCCATAATAATTAATAATTAATATTATATTAATCAATATTACTTAACATTAGTTAATAAATTCAATTCATTCTAAATCAAGTAAATCGAATTAAATATTAGAAATAAAATTCTCAGTTTATATTAAATTAAAAAAAGTTATTCTTCTTTCAATTGATTTAAATGTGAAATGTATACGAAAATTCGAACCAGTTTCAACGAAATAAAAAGTTTTTTCTTTTATACATTGCCTTATAGAATAATTCAACAACCTTTCTTTATTATCAGTCTATAAAATGAAACGACTAAAAAGAAAATCATTCAATTTGTTACTCTAATGTTGATAATTAATAATATTAATATATATAATTTTTGCATATACATATATATGAAAATAAAATTATAGCAACCATACAAAAAATATCAATAGAAAATAAAATAAAAAATGCTTTAATAAATTCTCGATTACTTATACTTTTCATTAATTTAAAATTTAATGAATCAAAATTTAATTTAAAATTAAATCAAAATTCAATATAAATTTAATTTACAATTAAATCAAAATTTAATTTAAAATTAAATTCAAATTCAATTTAAAATTTAATAAATAAAAATTTAATTTACAATTAAATTAAAATTCAATTTAAAATTTTGTGAATCAAAATTTAATTGTAAAAAAATTAAAATTTATTTAATCAGAAAATAATTTTTAAAAATTGTAAATCATTTACTAATTGAATTTTCAAATAAAATATTTAATATAGAAAAATAAATTTAAAAATTTTAATTTGAATTCAAATTTTTATAAATTTTTCCTTAAAAAAAATTCAGAATTACAATTGGATTCTTTTCTTTTACATATTTTTGCGACAAGAGTAATGGTGTCGCCGAAGATTATTGTTTCTTTTTTTTGAGTGGAATGAGTACTACTTGATATTGCGTTAAAGTCTCATAAAACTCTTATAAAAACAAAAAAAAGATTGAACTGAATGCATTTTGTGTGGATGTGTTTTATTCGTTCGTCACATGAAACCGCGTAGAGTGCTTCATGTATATAGAAACTTGTAATACTGGTCGTTAAAGTATCCCGATCTTTTTTTCGAAAAAAATTGCTCTTTAAAACAAAAATTTCTCAATATATATATAAAAAAATAATTATAAATCAAATTTACAATTCCAAGTTTTTCAATGATAAATGATAATTCTAATAAATTTTAATTTAACATAAATAATATTTAAACGAAATTTTAATTTCTACAATTACAATTTTGTATTTTTGTAATTAATTTTAAATTTTATTTTTACAATAAAAATTACAATTTTAATTCTGAATTAAAATTTTCATTTGTATTTCTATAATGAAAATTTGGCGCGCCAAAAATTTTTTATTTTCATTTTTATTTTCATTTTTAATTGAAATTTTCATTTTCAATTAAAATTCTCATTTTCATTAATATGAGAATTTTGATATTCAATTACAAGATTAATATGAGAAATAAAAATTCAAAAAATTTTAATTTAACATAAATAATATAATCGAAATTTTAATTTCTACAATTACAATATTTACTTTTGTAATTAATTTTAATATTTTTATTTTTACAATTAAAATTTCAATTTTATTTAATTATTAATTAAAATTTTCGTTTTCAATTAGAATTTTCATTTTTATAATTAAAATTTAGCGCGCCTTAAAATTTTTTTCTTCATTCTCAATCAAAATTTTCATTTTTAATTTTAATTTTCAATCAAAATATTTTCATAATTAAAAGTTTCAATCAAAACAATTTTTAAACAATTTTCAACAACTGCTTTTTAACAATTTTTGTAAAATACTTTCGAAAAACGAAATAAATTTTTTTTCCTTTTTTTCTCTAATTTTCTCTTTCGAATTAATTAATTTTAAATTGTTCGAATTTTTTTCAGATAACAAATTGATTTCCTTATCGATAGTAAAGTGAAATTAATAATAGTAAATAAAATTAATAATAATAAAAAATATTATAATAGAAATTAATTTTAATAATATTAATAAAGAACATTAATAATTATTAATCATTAATATTATTTTGTTTTACTGATTATTAATATTAATATTTATTAACATTGTTAATAATGTATATTATTAATATTGATTAACGAGTATATTGTTATTAATGTTTATTAATATTATTTATTAATATTATTTATTCATATTATAAATATCTTGTATTATTAATATTCATTTACATTATTAAATATCAAATACAAGAAACATAAAAATATTTTCAATCAACTTGGAAGAGTAAAATTTGACATATAAAAACAATGAGATCGTAGATCGAGAATCTTGTTTTTAGTTTTTGACTCGTCAATAAAGATATTATTATAAATATTGGAGACAAAGTGGAAAATTGTCCATTTATAATTCGGCGACTCTATAGCAAATTTCACAGATCACGATTCGACATTATTTTTTTTTTTAATGCTCAGAGAATATTTTTCTACTTCACACACTCTTTCTCTCTTTCTCGCACTATTTTTAATTCGTTCATCCGATTTCTCTCGCTCGTTCGCTCACTTTTTCTTTTATCTCCAAATCGAGAGTATCTCCCTAAAGATTTTTTTTTAATATTTTGTGTTTATTTTACTTATTTTTTTTATCACAGATGTTTTAACTTGCTCGCCCTTAAAAATTTCTTTTTTTTGTGGCAGCCCACTCGGATCTATATGTATATTCTATTCTGTTATTATTTGTCACACCCCCTCAATATTAAACTTCGGATCACAGCTCTTAATTCGCGATTCTTCAATCTTTTATATACGCAAAGAGGACATGCTTGTGTCTGACTAAGGCCTGCCTTAGTAGAAAAATATACATTCGATTCTTAAAAAATAGATCTTATATCACTTTGTTTTTTCTGCAGCTAACCGTACGTTCTCGTTTTTTTTTTTTTTTTTGATATTATACAGTGGAATATTCTTTTTTTTTGATTCAGTTAGCAGTTTGCGCTTTTAATATGTATTATTTTTTTCTTATTTGTTTATTTTGTTTTCAAGCTTCGAGTGAGCTCAGGGCATATAATCAGATCTAAGCTAGCTTTTTTTCGTACCACCTCTCTCAATTATCACTCTAAGTGATTTTTATTTTTTCTTCTTCTTCTTCTTTTATTATCATTATTTTTAAACTTCTTTATGACTAGCGTTTTACAATAATTCTTCAATGAAAGATATACATATTGAAACTCAAACCATAAAATTGGGAGATAAATTTACTTTGCTGTTATATTTCCATTAGTTTGAAAGCATCCAGAGAAATGGATTTTTTTGATCACGAGAATACGAAGTCAACAATCCAGTTCTAAAATACGTTACGGCTCAGTCTTATAGGTTTTTGTTTTTTTTTTTATCATCGCGCTAAATATTTTTGCGCTGTGCCCACTTTTTTTTGGATTGTGACTCGATTCTTTATTTTCTTCCACTAGAATTTTCAAATCAATTGCTGTTCAATTATTAATCGAATTATTAACATGTTAACTAATAATAATATTATAACAAAACATTATTATCAATTTTACAAATTACAATTGTCGCAAATTTTCATTTTTTTTTTTTTAATAAGAATTTTATTTGCGATTTTGAAAATTCTAGAATCGAGAGAACTTACAAGAGATTGGTGGTATATATCACTTATTTTTGTTGTATTTTGTTCTGAACAACGCACGCACTTTTCGCTTTCTTTCTTTTTTTTCTTTACTTGTTTTTTTTTGTTTCGGAGTACGTATTAGTTTCCATTTTCTTTTTCTACGACCAACGATTCTTTTAATTATTAACTTTGCTTTTCTTTATTATTTATGCAAAACAAGTGAAAGAATTACACAAAAGTTTCCGCAAAAAATTCGCTTCTAATTATACATATGTAGACTTATTTGTGAGAAATGAGGACAAGAAAAAAACGTGAATCGTACATAAAATTAGTTTAACTTACTAAATACAGCACCAATTTCTTTTTTAATTAACAATTTTTTAAATTTTTTATCGATTTAATTTAACACATCGTTTTGTGAACGTCAGACTGAAATTAACTGAAACTGACAATTTTTTAATTTATTAAGACTAATTTTTTTCTTTTTTTTAAAATTTAATTGTATTTTTAAATTCAATTTTTCCAGATTCTTTTAATTTCCTTTTTTTAAATTAAAAGATTTCTTTAAATCAATTCTTTCCAAATTGCAATTTCTTTTAATTCAATTTATTTAAATTAAAAAATTTCTTTTAATTCAATTTTTTACTTCAAAAATTCCTTTTAACTCACTCTTTTTAATCAAAAAATTTTTTTAATTTAATATTTTAAAATATAAAAATTCCCTTTAATTCATTGTTTTAAAGATTCGTTTCATTTATTTTTTCTTAAATAAAATATTTTTTTAATTGAATTTTTTCAAAATTACAATTTTTTATAAATCAATTCTTTCCAAATTAAAATTTTATTTCTTTTAATTCAATTTTTTTGAAGTTCCTTTGGATTTCCTTTTTTTTAATTAAAAAATTTTTTTGAATTATTTTTTTGTAAATTACAATTTCCTTTAATTTATTTCTTTTATCTCAGATATTTCTTTTAATTCAATATTTTTGTAATCCAAAAATTCTTTTAATCGACTTTTTTGAAGATTCTTTTCATTTCCATTTTTTAAATGAACGATTTCTTTAAATTAATTTACAATTTTTTAAATTCATTTTTTTAAAACAAAAATTGTTATTAATTCACCTTTTTTGAAGATCCTTTTCATTCCCTTTTTTTAAATGAAAAATTTCTTTGAATTCAATTTTTTAAAATAAAAGATTCCTTCAATTCATTTTTTTCTAAATTACAATTTGTTTTTTATTAGAGTTGTGCAAAAAGCTCGATCGAGTATTTCAAGCTTTTCGTTTTTCTAGCAGAGCTGAGCAGAATCAATCCGAACTTGAACCAAATTCCATCCGACACGTGCAGTATTAAACCTAAAATAATTTTGAGCACTTGAATTTTTCGAGCACTCAAATATTTTTGAGTAACTAAAACTCGAGCCTGGTTCGAGTATCGAGCCCGACTCGAGCTCGACCATGCTATTCGAGCTTTTTGCACACCTCTATTTTTTATTCAATTCTTTTAAATCAAAAGTTTCTTTTAATTCAATTTTTTTAAGTCAAAAAATTTTCTTTAATTTCAATTTTTTTATTCAAATTAAAAATTTCTTTAAATTTATTAATTGATGAACTATTTAAATATTTGATTTCCATGGAATCTCAAATCACGATTTCAGAATAAATACCGAATTTACAAAATAATTGAGATAAAAAATAATTAAATTTCAAAAGATTAATTTTCGGAAATAATTGAATTTTTTTAATCAATTGAATTTTATAAATTGTTATTAGATAATTAATAAAATTCAACTAATTTTATATTCATATTGTACTAGTTAATTAATAATATTCTAATTAATGCAATAATTATTGTATTAATTAAAATAATATATAAAAAATTGCCAATCCAAAAGTTAATTTCAGTTTACGATTCTAAAATATTCCCTTTTAATGTTAAAAAATTCCTTTCTTTTACAACTCAAAAATTTTTTTCCTAACAATAGTTGTTCACGTTCGTTGATGTTTTTTTTTCTAGTTTATAATTACAGTAGTCAACACATTCATGATGCGTTGAAGATTGCCACGAAATTTCACGCTTTTTCTCTCAGGTGCTTAGGATTATTTTGGATTGTTGTCGCGCTTTAATTCATTTGTTTTTCATTTTTATTTTTAACGCTTGGCGCGACTCAGGTACATATTAAGGCCCGTTCCTTTATTTAATTATTATTATTATTTTGTTTCTTGTTTTCCTCCATTAATCTTGTTGGACAAGTATTTTTTTAATTCATCTAAGTCACTTCGTATTCCTGATGCTCCCTAATTCTCTAAAATACTATCTCTTTTTTTTAATATTTTATTTTCGCTTTTCGTTTATAGATCAAGCTCAACATTATTTTTGCGCGGAACTTTACCTTTTTTCGATAAGTAGGCAATGACATTTTTGGAATCATTTTTTTTTCCTCTATTTTTTTTCTAAAAGAAAAAATCGTCTGCGAGTTATTTTTTTTAAAGAAATCGTAAATCACATTTAGCATTATATATATAAATAAATTTTTCGACGATTGATATTCCATTTGCCTATTGCGTTCATTGGCCTTTTTTATACACATGAAACATTGAAAAATTTAATTGCTTCAAATAGATACATTTATAATGATTAAAGACTAAATCATCTAAGATTATTTAGATATTATTAATATTTTGCGCTCTCTCAAATGAGAAACGGTTTTATTTTATTATTTTTTTTTGCATTTTTCCCCTTTTTTATACACGTGCATCCGATTGGTTTTGGTATTAAAAATAACCTCGGAATGCTATAATCGATATTACTTCGAGATATTCGTTCTTGAAAACGATTTATGTAAAATATTCCTGACTTTTTTTTTTGATGTTCAATTTATAACTTTCGCTTTCACTCGTTCTTTCCTTCTATATATCCCGTTCATTCTTTATTTTTAACACTTTCACTCGTTTTTTTTATTTTTTGTGTACGTGTTTTCTTTTTCTACAAACTAAGTTTCTCAGCAGGTTGGAAAAATATCTGTAAACGTCCCTAACTATGTGTGTGTGAATCATAAATAAAATTTTCTGATGGAAGATCTTAGGAATTCAGACCTGTTCTTCTCTAAATCGGACGTCATTTTTTTATTCATGGAGCTTTTCTCTTTCTTTCTCTTATTTTTTTTAAATCCTTTTTTCCCTATTTAATATACATTAATATTTACCCTGTGTAATGGGTTTTAGGTCACGTGGGGCCCTAACGTAGCCCTGTTGTCTAGTTGGATTTTTTTGTTTAGTGACAAATGCGAGATTTCCTCAGGAAATTTGATATAAAATATAAAATAATCGCGTCGTCAATTTTTTTTTCTCACACAGAGAGACTTAAAAATGGAAATCCCTGATTTTTCTTGTTCAATTTTTTTTTAGACAAACATATTCCAGGTCTATTTTTTTGTGAATGAAAAATAATCCAAAAACAATATAGATTTCAAAACAAAAATTTGTCCTGAAGATTCGTTTCATTTGATTATTTTGGTAATTGGTTATTTGGTCGAAGAACGATGGACAATTACATATAATATTTGTTCTAAATTATTTGGACTATCAGTTTGCTACTTACGTCATTTGCAGCTCTTAATTGTTTTTATATCGCAACCATTCACGATGAGACATCATCAGAAAAAATGTAGAGTGATGTATGGAATCCATGGGAAAAAATAAGAGATGAAAGTTGTTTTGGTTTTTTGTTTTTCTTCGAAAATGTTGTTCTTTGTCGATTGATGATTTGAAAGACTTCGGCTTGGAACCATGTGAGAAGAGAATTTACTTTTGATCGTGAAGTACCATTGGCATTATTACTTCTCGACTGTCGCCAATTAAAGGATCGATGACAACCGCTGGAAGTCGTCCATCACTTATTGGATCCCAACGAGATCCTAAAATCTCCTTGATTTCCTGTCAAGAAAAGAAAATATTAAGTCTCCAAAAATACAATTAAATAATAGACATTTTTTTCTATTCGATGTCCTTTTATAATAATAAAATTCTTTGGATAAATTTAATTATTTTTATAAATAAATAAAATCTTTCGGATAAATTCAATTATTTACAAAATAATTTCAACAAAATTTCCTCATAAAATTCAATTATCTTTAAAAATTTTAATAAAATTCCTTGAAAGAATTCAATTATTTTTTTTAAAAAGAATAAAATAATTCTGAGTTATTCAGTTACTTTCAATACATTTGAAATAAATTCCAGGGAATTATTTTAATTTTCTTTAAAACAATTAAATTATTTTCAAAAATTTTAATAAAATTCTTGTCAGGAATTAAATTATTTTCAAAAATAATAAAATTCTTCGCAAGAATTCAATTATTCTCAATATAATTTCCAGATGAAATTCAAGTATCTTTAAACATTTTAATTGAATTTCTCGAAAGAATTCAATAATTTTCAAAATTTTAATATTTCTGAAAATTTTAATAAAATTCTTGTCAAGAATTCCATTATTTTCATAAATAATAAAATCTTTTGGAGGAATTGAATTATTTACAATATAATTTCAATAAAATTTCCTCATAAAATTCAATTATCTTTAAAAAATTTTAATAAAATTCCTTGAAAGAATACAATTATTTTCAAAAATTTTGATAAAATTCTTTAGATGAAATTCAATTAATTTTAGTACATTTTTTTTAAATTCCTAGAAGGAATTTAATTATTTTTAAAAGTCTTTAATAAAATTCTTGAAAACAATTCAATTCTATTCAAAAATTTTAATAAAATTTTTGCGCATGAATTGAATTATTTCAGTTTCGAAATTATAAAAGTTAAAAAAATTAAGATACCAATTTTTTTAAATTCACTTATTAATGCAAATCCTTTCTTAAAAAAGACATGGAGTGGAAAGGTCGAATGTATCGAAAAGTATCGAAGTAAAGAATGGGCAATGAGAATGTAAAATCTTAATAGAAGGGTGTTTTTAAAATTGTTTGTACATGTGAAGGTGGCGCTGCAGTCGTATGTTATTTAAAAAGAGCGCGAATATATAAATTTTATTTTTGTTAAGAGAAAGTACTCATAATAAATCTTATTTTGCATTGTCAAAAAAAACGTCAACATTTCAAATATAAATAAGCAAATTATTAACTGAAAAAATTTGAATATTATTATTAATGAAATAATGGACTTGGACAATGGACATATAAAAACTAGCACCGTAGACGGCCGCTTGCGGCCGTCGGAGGAGCTAGTTTTTGAAAAAATAGAACAATACCTAAAAAAAAATATATAATTAAGTGTTTCTTTTATAAAATAAATATCATTAAATGTATTTTCCTGTACAATAAAAATGAATTTTCCTGCAATAATTTATTTTATATTTTAAAATGTTAAACTAAATGTATAAATTAAATTGTGCTTTTTAATTAAAAACAATTTTGTTTAATTAATGTTTGTTATTATTTAATATTCAAAATATTAAATTAGAATTTCATTAATTTAAAATTTCGATGCATTTAAAAACAAAAATTAGCAAAAAAAAAAAAAGTAAACAAAATAAACTAACTTCAAACATAGATTACCGGAATATAAAATTACTAATTATTCTAGATAATAAAAAAAAAATGACAATTAATAAAATTTAAAATAGCTCACTTCCATAATATTTTCACCATCGTATGATGCTTCGTCAGCTGCGATATCACTTTCAGAGAATACAAGCCGATGCAATGTATTTCCGCGGAGACGTGCGATTGCTAATAAATTTTCCTGAGCATACTTATGTCCTATGAAAACCATTTCCACCAATTTCGTGCATTTCCAGGCCACAACAACCAATGGATCCGGACTGCAAGAAATTTTATATTAAAATATTTTTTATACTTGCTTACTTTTTTTCTTTTTTTTTACAATTTGCAAAAATAAATTATTTTATTTAAAAAAAATAATAAACGTAAATAACTATATTTCCCCTCCCCCTATAGGTATTATATTTTAATAAACGTAACTAAAAATTATAATATTTCAAATTAAACATTCATTAACTACATTTCACTCTATTTTCCAAATATTGAAAACAAAATTGCCAAACTATTAAAAAATTCAAAGAACACTTTATTTTCAATTCGATCTTTTTTTCTAATTTTCTCCTCAAATGACAAATTATAGCGATAATTAAAAACAATTATAAATTTCATAATAGCCTAAGCAATAAAAAATCGATTCTGATATGATTTTTAGCGCAGAATCCAAATCTCGGCCTTGAAACTATTGATTAAAATTGTCGGATTATGCTCTTTTTATGCTACTTTTGAATTATTTACTTTCAATAAAATAAAAATTTAAGAAAATATAGGGTAACTGTACCAATTGTCGAGGGTTTTAGGCAACATGTGACTTTGACATTTTTTTTCTCGGAAGTAAATGCACTTTAAAATTTGATTTTTGTATATTTGGACGAAGGATCTAATAATGTTTAATATTCATATTTATTTTTTTAATATAAACTAAATTGTTAAGCAAAAAATATATTTAAAAGTCAATCGAGCAAAAGCACCATTTGTCGATGGTCTTGTGCTAATTTCTCGAGGGTCTATTCCAATTGTCGAGGGTATGACATTTTTAAACATATAACCCAATATAACCTAACAATTAACCTGTACAGATATCAGAAAATCGAGTAGATATTAATTTTTTCGATAAAAATATTATAGAACATTACCAGAAAACAAATATATTTATTTAACTATAATTGAATAATTTATAATATCGATATAAAACATTTTTATAGTAGATGATACAGGACAGAAAATTATTTAACTGTTTTTTAAACTTTTATAAATAAGTTAATTAAAATTAATCAATTTTGTTAATCAGACATTAATTGAAAAAATAAATTAATTTAAGTCACATTAAATTTGTAAACGAATAAAATAAACTTTTATTACGAACTGTAAATATAATGGTTAATTATAATTAAACTATAGTACAAAATTTTTTAGTTTTAAATAATGCATTTTTTTTATTAATTTTTTTTCCCTCTTCCTCGTTTTTTTGGTTGATTATTTTCTGTTGGTTGTAAATTTTTGGAGCATTTTTTTCTTTTTCTCTGTACCTATAAATGTTTGGCATTTATGTTTGACGTTTAGTAAATAAACACTTAACCATCGATAAATGGTGCATCAGCGAAAAAAGTGACTACACCAATTTTCGAGTCATTACCTCGAAAAATGGAACTGTCAAAAAAAAGGAACCAAATACCGATGATTTGCTTTTAAAAAATATTAAATATTTTTTTTTAACAAAAAAACATGCATACAAAATTAATTTAGTTCGTGTACAAAATTATAATAATAATTTTGTACACAAAAAGTCATTATAAATACGTTTAATTTGCTTTTCTAAAAATCTGTTTTAATCAACCTGAAGTATTAAGAAAATGGAGATTCGTGTAAATTTTACAGCAGTGAATTATAATATTAATTAAATAATTATTTTAGTAGAATCGCTACGAAATTTGTATATATAAATATACAGTTGAAAATACAAAGATTATTTAGAAATTTTTTTTGTTCTTAAATATTATATATTATACTATTTATCTAAAAAAGAAAATTATTATCCTCGACAATTGGAGCACCCTCGGCAATTGGTGCAGTTACCCTAGTAAATTATTAAATACCTGTTTGGTTCGTGTGGATCAAATGTTGCAGGCAAATCTTTCGTATGATCAACAGAATCAATCCACACGAGCGATTGAAGAGTGTTTGGATACCAAATCGATATACAATGCAATGCACTTATATTGATATGTTCGCAAAAAAGTGCTTTCAATTGCGTTAAGGGCATTGCTGGCTGAAGAATTTTTGAATCAAGATCTTTTATAGCCACATAAGCGTGGATCAGATTCAAACGCAATTCACACGCGGGACTAAAAAATTTGCACATTATGATAATGAAAACATTTTTGTATTAATGGCAATATTTCAAATATAGTATTTCTTTTAATAAAATGAATAAGAAAACAAGAAATAAATAAAGAATAAATAAAAAATAAAAAGAATAAATAAAAAAATAAATTAGCAAAAAAAATTAAATTTGTTGATTATAACTATTTTTAAAATTCACAATTTAGTTGTAAATTATAAATAAACTATAAATGTAAAATATAAAAGTAGAAAATAAATAAAGTATAAAAGTAAAATAAAAAAGTACAATAGTAAAAAATAAATAAAGTATAAAAGTAACAATAAATAAAGTATAAAAGTGAAAAATGAATAAAGTATAAAAGTAAAATAAAAAAGTACAAAAGTAAAAAATAAATAAAATATAAAAGTAAAATACAAAAAATGTATTAAAAAAATCTTACTTTTTTTGGGTAAAATTGTCCCATGCTTGATTGGAAGTTCCTGGATAATCATCATCTAAGCCATGAACGTGAATAACAAATCTCTCAAGTACTCCATTATCCAATGAATTAAGTAATGTATCGTTGACATAATCATAATCAATTGTCAATACAGTTAATCGGCAGAAGGAACTAAAGAGACTAGTGTCCAATTCTAAAAAATCATAATGATCCGGATCGTCTTTTACTGATGCTAAACAGAGGGAAGTCAAGTGTTTGGCATGATAATGTTGTAAAGGTTCCAAAATCATACTAGCACTCGATGTCAGTTCTTCGATGCATCCTAAACTCAGACCTTCTAAACAATTTGCCGTCTCAATTATTTTTACAAGCGATTCCATCACTGAACTTGAAAATGTTCGAATCCTGAAAGAAAACAATTTGGTCGAACATTAAAATTAAATCAACATTAAAATACTAAAATTAAATTGAAACTAAAATTGAATCTAAAATTAAAACTAAAATTGAATGTAAAAATAAAACTAAATTTAAATATTAAAATATAAAATACTAAAATTAAATATTAAAATAAATAATATCGACTTTATGATTGACAATTAATTTGTTAATGATTATATTCATATTTCAAATATAAAATTCAATTTTTAAATAACTTCAGATTCAAAATTTAATAAACTTCTTTGCAAGAATCCAATTATTTTTATAAATAATAACATTCTTCGGAAGAATTCAATTATTTTTTATAAATAGTAAAATTCTTTGCAGGAATTCAATTATTTTCAATACAATTTTTAAAAAAATTCCACGTAAAAATTCAAACATTTTTTAAAATTTTCGAAAGAATTCAATTATTTTCTAAAATTTTAATAAATTCATCGGAACGGTTCAATTACTTTATATAAATAGTAAAATTGTTCGCAAGAATTAAATTATTTTTAAAAATAATAAAATTCTTCTCCGGAATTCAATTATTTTCAAAATTTTCAATTAAAATTATTTAAAAAACCGCTGCCAAGTTGTACATTTTTATAATTTTGGTGTTCATTTCATGAACACTTTGCTTCCTCATAGAAATAATAATAATTGAAATATAAGAATTACTTTTTATAAAAGGGTTAAAAATCATTTAATCTTGGTCCAAAAAACGTGTTTTTATATATTCTATAAAATGGTAATAATAGTTTAATAATTACACATAAGTTAATAAACAAGAATGTTGAAAAAATGATATTTTCCACAATTTTTGATTTTTCAAATACCAATAATTTCATAATTTCTGCCCGAATCAGGTTAAAAAAACAGGTCAATCGAAGCGTTTTTTAATGTTCTTCAAGTTGGTAATAATTTTTTGAAGTTACTTTTACATAATTTTAAAAAATTTTTATAAAAGTCTTATTTTTTAAAATTTTAGATTTTTAAAAGTTTAATATCTCCGGTTAATATGGACGAAAAATGTTCAATTAGGGCTCAAAAGATGCGTGTGAAAAAACTCTACAAAACTAAAGAAAAAGATTTATAAGTGTCCCAACAGTTTTTTAAGTTATGTCCAAAAAACGTTTTTTTACAAAATGAAAAATGCAAAAAAAAATAATAAAAAATAATTATTAACAATAATTATTAACAGACACGATTATTTTAAAAAGTTCAAAAAAATTCCTTGTTTAATTAAATTATTTTCAATATTTTCAATTAAAATTATTTTTAAAAAAACTCAATTATTTTTATAAATAATACAATTTTTTGCAGGAATTCAATTAATTTCAATATGTTAATAAAATTTCTTGAATAAATTAAGTTATTTTAAAAAATTATATGGGAATTTTTATTAACAAACAGGATTATTTCAAAAACTTGAAAGAAAATATTCACAAAATTCAAATTCAATTTCGTTCAAAATTTTCAATTAAAATTATTAAAGAAACTCAATTGTTTAAAAAAAATCAATAGAAGTCATTAAGATTTTCAAAAATTTTAATAACATTCTTCGGAAGAATTCAATAATTATTTTTATAAAAAGTAAAATTCTTTGCAGGAATTCCATTATTTTTAATACAATTTTAATAAAATTCAATAATTAAATTTTTAATTATAATTATTAACAGACACGATTATTTTAAAAAGTTGAAAAAAAATCTTCACAAAATTCAATTACTTTCAAAATTTTCAATTAAAATTATTAAAGAAACTCAATTATTTAAAAGAAATGCAAGTAAATTTTTCAAAAGAAATGAATTAGGATTTTCAAAAATTTTAATAAAATTCTTCGAAGGAATTCAATTATTATTTTCCAATTTTTACACCATAATTCTTTGCAAGAATTCGATAATTTTCAATAAATTAATTTTCAAATTGAAAACATTTAAAAAGAAAAATTATTATAAAAAAAAGTTAGGAAACAAAAAAGCAAACAGCAACCAACTGCGAAATACGAACAGATTACCGGAATAGAACGATTGATTATTAATATAGATTTTGTTATTATTTTTATTTATTCATTTTTGCAATTATTTGTATTAAAATAAACAAAATTTGGTTATTACAATTTTACTTACCATTCATCTTCGTTTTCTATTCTAATGGGCCACTCATATGTACAATTAGTTGGTTCCAAAAATAATTTACGTAGTTGTTTATTGTTGCTTAATTTTTTTAAAAGATTTACGGCTTCTTTCACATAGACACCAGATGTTTCGCAATTTACTGTGACGTCTTGCACACTCAAACCAAAGCAACTCATCAGGAACCTGCAATGAGAAATTATAAATTCATAAAAGTTAAATTTATTATCTAATAGACTTTCTCTTTTTTCCTCTCTAAATAATAAAAAAAAAAAAAAAATTACCTTGCCCATGCCACGCTGTCTTCATCTTTGAACGAAAATGTGATTTTCTTCCAGAAACTTGGATGGAACAATGCATATCTCCAATTTTTACAAACCTATTAATTAAATTTGTGAATAATTAATTTCCTTATTTTTAAAAGTAGAGATAAAAGATTATTGAACATAAAGATAAAAAATTTAATGAATTCATAATAATTTTTCTTTCCTTATTTAAAAAAATTAAAATTTGAATATTTTTCTAAAAACAACATTTTGTAAACATTGAGTTTATAAATATAAAACGAATACAAAATGAGTCAGAAAATTTATGTCGTCACAACAAACTAAATGTAGAAACTTTCACCTAAAAATTATAAACAAAGACTTATTTATAAAAATACAAAAAAAAATTGTTCATCAATTATAAAATAACATTAAAACTATGCTTTCTGTTTAAATTAAATATGAAAAACTAATTACAAAAGCAAAAAAATTTTATAATTATTTTTTCATAAAATTTTACATTATTAAATGACCTTCAAGTTATTCACGAGATAAATAAATACAAAGTACGTTTCTCAATTTTCAAAGGAAATTACTTTATAAATACATAAAAACCAATACATACAAGAAAAGTGATAGTATAGCAGCATTAAATGGAAAAGAAAACGGGGAAAAAGTGAAAAAAATAAATAAATAACGTACCTGAGATGCTTGCAATCGACTAAAATGTGGTAGATAAGAAAAAATTTCCAGCAAAATAACACTTGGCAAACTATCCCAGGGTGTGTTATCATCTTGAGCCATTTCTGACGTTCCTTCAACAATTTTATTACACGATGAACAGCTGTTTGTCTTTGATGATGGCGTTAAATGTTCCTTTAAATTCTCCTTCTCCACTGATTTTTCCAGCAACAATTCGTCGCATTTTTGACCTCGTACCATTTTCTGGCCAGCAGAAATCGGCTGGCAACGATTTATATTTCGTTTCTATTGTGTGAAATGGACGATTACGAATAAAACCAATATAACACGCACTTGCGTTCTCTATATAGCCTATTCCCAAGCAGTGTTTAATTTTTCGCGTGTGTGTAAATATATATGTTTATAAAGAGATTAACTTGACGAAAAACGAATTTATCCGATAATCAATGACGACACAACAGAAAACGAAGACAGGCGTTTGCAAATATACAAACGTCGAACATTGAAGGATATATGCGTCAAACTAAATAATTATAAATTACTGAATACCCCAACCCAACCGCCCCTGCCGAAATTCACGATCTGTCAATTCGCCCAATGTCATTTTTATAATGAGGTTATGTGTTTTCACCGTTAGATAGAGCTGGGGAGGCGTTTTTCTACTTTATCGACAAGCAAATAAAATTTTATTTCAAATAATTCGAGATAATTATATAATTTAAAGAAAAAACAAATTAATTAAATTCATTAAATTTATAAATTTTTAAAGAATTTTAATTAACTTTTATGGCAAACGATACGAAAAGAAAAAAGACTTTATACATTTCACACTAGAAGCAAGAGTAAAATTTCTTAAAAAAAAAGAAAACTATAATAACGAATTAGTTGAATTTTTTTTCCTAATTGTTTAACAAAAAAAGTAACAATTTAACAAATATATTAATAGATAAAGCGGTAAAAATTGCAAGCGATTTTGAAAACCACGTGGTCGACATATTTTTAAAAACGTTTAAAAAATGCCAATTTCAAGCATTTCACTTCAAGGAAAGTTAAATTACACACTACTAATCTTATTTTATCAGAAAATATGTTCAATTTGTTATAAATAAATGAAAATATTTAAATAAATTGAAAAATACATACCCATTTTTTCACTTGCACGTTGCACGACACAAGAAGCCCTCTGGTTATCGAAGGAACTAACTATCGATTATTAGATATCGATATAAAAAATCGCGCCAAATTCAAAAGTAATCATGCCTCAAAACGCTAAAATTAAAATAAAAATAATTATTTTTTATAAATAAAATATTTTAATATTTAACTAATTTTGATAATAATAATAATAATAAATAATAATAAAATTTTATAAATAAATAATGAATTATTTAATTATTATTAGTTATTAATTTATAATTATTATCAATTATTCGTAATTATTTTTAATAATTAATAATAATTATTTATAACTAATAATAATTTGTCATTTATATAATAATAAAAAATAATAATAATACCTAATAATAATAATTAGTAATTATTAATTTTTTTACCGAATTTATTTCGTACTATTAATTTATCGCAGAACAAAAACAACATTTTATTAACTAACATTTTTATTTATTAATAATTATATTAATTAGTCAATTAATTTTAACTAATTACCTACATAATTTTAAACTATTCAAAATTTGTGCTCTTCGGCGTCGTTCAAAAAAATGAGGACAAAAATTTAGAAATTCTTTGCATTTATATAAATTTACATATTTTTTTTATGTAAATAAATGTACATAATTTTGAAAAATGTAAATAAATGTTCATAATTTTGAAAAATGTAAATAAATTCTCACAATTTTGAAAAATTTAAATAAATTAATACAATTTTAAAAAATGTAAATAAACTCGCACAATTTTGAAATTTACATTTACATTTACATAAATTTATATAAATTACAAAGAAGAAACTTCTTTACCAAAAAAGAACGGAAAGTAAAGAAAATAAAATAAAAATTTTCACTTTTTTCGGGGAGATATTTTAAGTAAATTGACGAAGATCTTTGTTTGTCGCATTTTAAATACCTACAAAAGCTTTTTCTACATTTTCAAAAAATGAAAATGACAATTTTTTTTTTAATTTTACTCTTAACTCGCGCATGGAAAAAAAAACACACCCACCCACACACCTCATGTAAATTCACTCGAGATAAATTTCTTTTCCAAAATCACAATTATTTTCAAGGTCGATACAAATTTTCATAATCAGATACTTAACAGTATTATTCTAAATTCCATATAAAAATGATTATAAGCTTATATCATCATCTTCTATTATAGCAAAAACATTCATTTTTACACATTCATTCTACTTCTTCCTTTTTCTTATAATATATATATAGCAATATTTTTAAAGTTATCACGGCAAAATAATCATTTTCTTTTTAAATTTATTTTAATTAATTTATATTATAGTCGCGACACTTCGATTAAGTTGACTGCAATGCAAAAATTTACAAGTACATGGAATGAGAATAATGACGCGAAATGATAATTAGAAAAGAAAATGAGAAATAAAATACTGTCCAACCTTTCGTTAAAGTGAAATTTAATCCCACTTGAAATTATAAATAAAATAAGAAAACAAAATTCTCATAAACTAAAAGATAATTTCGATTCGACGCTATTTTTTTGTGAATTTGGAGTTTTTAAGTAAATCGCAAAAAAAATTAAATATATTCATAAAAATATTTTCAGAAAATAAATTTTAAGAATATAGTTTAAGTATTTTTTTTTTATCAAAGAAACTTTCTTATCGGCTCGGATGGAATGTTACTAAATAAGCAGAAAGAAGTCTCTTCGCAAAAAAAAAAATTTACAAAAAGAAAAAAAGAACAGTCAACCTTATAATTTTGTCGTTTCCTCAACAATGTAGATTCATTTCATGCTGTCCTTTCTTTTTGTTCGTAGTGCGTCATCAGTCACAGGATTCTCGGATTTTGGCGAATTGAATTTTAATTTTCAATCTATTCAATCGTATTCGTGCGACGACTCCATTCTAGCAACGAGACTGTCCCTTTCCTCTTGTGTCGATGGCACTTGAGATGTCGTGGGCCTTATCACCTTGCTCACTTTACTGAGTCCCTCGGTCAATCCACTACCACCCGTCACGCTGGAAAATAGACTGCAACGGTCATATTAGATTTTTAAATAAACATTCTCTCAAAAAGGCTTCACAGCTAAAAATAATTAACAGAAAAATTTTTTTTTCTCTCTAAAAATAAATGAAGTAAAAAATAAATAATAGTGCAGAAAAGGAGGAATGCACGATCTAATCTAGAAATGAACATAAATTTCTTGGTGCTTTATCAAAATTGCCACTTACTTGTTAAAATTAAAACAAAAACGTCGAAAAAATGTTTTTCCAAAATCTCCAATTTCAAGATACGAACAATATTTACAATAGCAAATTTATTAACAGTAAATATTAAATATTTACCTAAAAATCTAAATTATCTTAAAACGTTAAATTTTATTTTAATTTATTAATTAGTTTATTTTATTTAATTAATTTTAATATTTATTTACAAGAAAACTTTCTATAAATTACAATAAATCACCTTTTTCTAATAAATTCAAAAAAAAATTTGAACAAAAATGATTTCTCTATTTTAAAAGATATTTGAAAATTTACTCTACAGGGTTATTAACAAAAAAAGAAAAAATTGGGATATAAAAAAAGAAGTTAAAGCAATAGATATTAAAATTGGAGAAAAATAATTGAAACTCTTTCTTTTTTTTAAAAAAAAAAAAAGAAAATTGGCAGAAAAAAAATCAATCCCCCAAAAGTAGTTCATCAGTCGTTGAACTCTAATTATTTACATGAATCGTCCCTCCAAACTGTTGCGAATATTTTTAAAAGAAATTTATAATGAGTCGACATAATATAAAGGACTTTTAGGATCTTTAGGAATTTTGCTATGAAGCCTGAAATAAAATAGAAAAGGCTTCTCTTCAGCAAATGTTTATCAAATCCCAAATGAAAATTTACTGCATAAAAAAAGAAGTAGTAAAATCTAAATAATAAACAAATAAATAATTTGGTAAAATTAATTAATAATTTTGTTATTAATTTTTAGTAATTAGTTAATAATTCAATAGTAATTAAAATTTAATTTCAACAAAATACCAAAATAAAATGTAAATTAAACAAAAATATAAATAAATTTAAAAATATAAATTAATTAATTTAAAAATAAAAATTAATTTTTGCTACTTAATTGAACGTTAAAATTTAATTTCAATAAAACAAAATGCAAATTAAACAAAAATGGAAATAAATTGAAATACAAAAATAAATAAAAAGCAATGAAAGTACAGCTTAACTGTAGCCAAAACAAAATGAAAGATGCATTTAAAACAAACATAATTTTCATTTGGGTCGAAAGTAAGATTTTGAAAAATGTAAAAAAAAAGTTTTTCGATATCTACTCACACTACGTCCATTTCATCATCGTCATCTCCCTGTATTAGTTCATCGTTCAACGTGAAATATGGATTTGCGGAAGCTGGCCGGAATTTATAACCGGTCAACACGAAGAAAACATAAGTTGCCATCTCTCGAAACATTTCATCCAACCATTCATATTGGAATGGAACAGTAATCTGCAAAAAAATTTTACCAACAAATGTTACCAATAAATCTAAATTTCTATTCAAATAAAATTCAATTAATATTCGTATCATTAAATAATTAATAATTCTATTAATAAATCTAAATTCGAATTAAAGTAAAATTAAATTAATATTTATTTGAAAATTAAAAAGTTTACTAACAAATCTAAATTCGAATAAAAAGGAAATTCAATTATTAAAATTACATATTAATATTATTATTATTAATATTATTATTGGGTAAGAATTCCTGAAGTGGGCCCCTATTTTTCATTGGGTCGGTGGATTTTTCTCATTCTTATATGTTTCGATAGCCTATGATGGCATAATAAAAACTTGTAAATAGTTTTCCGAAATTCGAATATTTGCCAAAGTTATTCAAGGTCAAAGTTATTTGTAGCGTTTTAGTAAATAGCTAATTACTCGCGATCGGATGAACCGATTTTATTAAAAATTGGAGGAGAGTTTACCTAAAGAATTGTACTTTAGATAAATGATCAAAATTTTAATTAAAAAATATAATTTGTTTAAATAAATTAACTTTTTAATTTTTGGGGTTAAAAAAAAATTTGTTCTCCATCTTTTTTTTGGATTTTTTTTAAATAATCAAATAGAGAATACTTTTAAGATTTTGTTTCAACAATAAAAAAGTAGGATTCTCTATCACTTTAGAAAATATAATATTTTTAGTTACAAATTTTTTTGAAAAGTTAAAGAAATTTGAAACAAAACAAATGAATGAACTAAACTCGACAATTTTAACCAACCAAGTTTAGTTCATTCATTTGTTTTGCTTCAAATTTCTTTAACTTTTCAAAAAATTTTGTAACTAAAAATATTATATTTTCTAAAGTGATAGAGAATCCCACTTTTTTATTGTTGAAACAAAATCTTAAAAGTATTCTCTATTTGATTATTTAAAAAAAATCCAAAAAAAAGATGGAGAACAAATTTTTTTTTAACCCCAAAAATTAAAAAGTTAATTTATTTAAACAAATTATATTTTTTAATTAAAATTTTGATCATTTATCTAAAGTACAATTCTTTAGGTAAACTCTCCTCCAATTTTTATTAAAATCGGTTCATCCAATCGCGAGTAATTAGCTTTTTACTAAAACGCTACAAATTACTTTGACCTTGAATAACTTTGGTAAATATTCGAATTTCGGAAAACTATTTACAGGTTTTTATTATACCATCATAGGCTATCGAAACATATAAGAATGAGAAAAATCCACCGACCCAATGAAAAATAGGGGCCCACTTCAGGAATTATTACCCTATTATTATTCAAATTATTCAAAAAAAAAAATTGAAATTCGAATTAAAATAAAATTCAATTAATATTAATAAGAAAATTAGAAATTTCGTCAACAAATCTAAATTTCAATTTTAATAAAATTCAGTTGTTATTAATATCAAATTTTTTTAATTTTACCTATAAATCTACGTTCAAATTAATATGAAACTCAATTAATTTTAATATGAAAATTAAAAATTTTACCAACAGATCTAAATGCAAATTAATATCTATGAAATTCAATATTAATATCGAAATTAAAAATTTTATCGTCAACAAATTGAAATTCGAATTAAAATAAAATTCAATTATTACTAATGTCAAAATTAAAAATTTTACCTACAAATCTAAATTCAAATTAATAGAAAACTTAACTAAAATTAATATCGAAATTAAAAATTTTACCAACAAATTTAAATTCGAATTAAAATAAAATTCAATAAATATTAATTTCAAAATTAAACATTTTACCAACAAATCTGAATTTCAGTTTAAATGAAATTTTTTAATCTTAATTATAATTATGAAAATTAAAAATATATTTTAAAAAACATCAGAATTTAAATAATGTTTCTTAAATATATTTAAAATAAATGTTTCCAGTTAAATACCTTCATTAAGTACACTATAATCCTAGTGATGTAAATGTAACAAACTATGATAATGTAGAAGTGCCGAAAAAGCTTGAGTTTTCGTAAATTAATAGCAGCCTTGCCGACAGTGTGAGAGGCTTCTTGAAGATGTCGAATGCTCCAGACAACTGGGAACATTATCGCACCACAGCAAAGTAAATCGACCAATATGAAAACGTCCCTCCAAGTTTTATGCTCTATATCACCCTCTTCACTCTCCTCAATTATAATTTCCGCCACGTTTGCTAAAACCTAAAAAAAAGAAATAATCAAAATTTCTCCATTAGTCCGAATTTCTTTTATATCCATTTTTTTCGAAAAATAGTAATTATTATCTATTTGTTAAAAAATCGAAGTCTTTCCATTAGTTTGAATTTCCTTTATATTTAATTATTTTCGAAAAATATTATTATCTATTTGTTTACTTATTAATTATGATTAAAGTAATTAAATTAAATCACGTTCAAAGTTGAAAGACATGAACTGTGTACAACAAATAATAATTAAATTAAACGGAGAATTAAATTTCGTTTCTGTATTTTAAATAAAATTTTTAACAGGAAAGATAAATTTACATTTTGTTTCCTTTTAACTTAAAAAATTATAATAAATAATTGAATTACATAGAGATTTTAATTTCGTTTCTCTATTTTTAACAGGAAAGATAAATTTGCATTTTGTTTCATTTTTACCTGAATATTTTCTTCTAATAAAAAATTATAATAAATAATAATTAAATTATAGAGAGAATTTAATTTTGTTTCCGTATTTTTAACAGAGAGAAAAACAATGTATCATTTTTACTTTGAAAAAAATTATTAAAACAATTTTTTTGATAAAAATAATAGTTGCAAAAATTTAATAAATAAGAAATTAGAAATAATATTGAAAATGTTTACCTGAAGTGGTATAACAATCATAAATACTTTCTTATCCTTATCGGCTAAAATGTGTTTAATGAATGTCCAACCAGTTCCAATTAGTACAATAGTTATGAATAGAACAGCTCCTTTCAACAAATGCGCTATATAGTAGAGAATAGCCCAGGCTGCAACATGTTCTCCCTTAGTTTGGATAAAATGATAATTAATTCCATGAAACAGAAGCGACAGTGACTTAAGATAGACCAGAATTGCCATAAGATAATGTATCTTGAAAACTTGATGCCTAAAAATAATTAAATTAAATAAAAAATAATTTGCCATTACATAAAATATTAAACAATTTTTGCTACATTTAAAAACAATTTCCCTTAAACTGTTTTTCATTTTTCAATAAAATATTTACAATCTACAAATAACTCACGATAATAAATCATATACTTTGTAATTTATATCTAATTTAATAATTATATATTTTATAATTTATAAATTACAAAAAAAAAAGAACTAACTTGCTCTTCTTTAGAATAAAGACCCAAAAACATCCGGAGAGAAAAAAGAGAAGTGCCATCATGAAGTATAATGCAGGTAATGGCATTTCGCCAGCGCTCAGATAATTATCGTGGTTGCTCTCTCTAATGTGCATCTATTAAAATAATTCAGAAAATTAATTGCTGTTTGAATATGAACATCAATTAATTACAGCTTCATTACAATATTATTAAATCATATAAATGAAATATGTATAATATCTTCATCACTTACAGTAAAATCGACAAATACATCATCATTTTTGTAATTAGGACAACTATGGAAATAAAAATTATAAAGTCCTTCCTCTTGTTTCGTATAAACTTTCATGAAAAAGCTCGTGTTGTAGTATTTTTCTCCATTTTTCACATCAACCGTCATTGGCAATTGAAGGCGGGAGCACACATTCGTTTCCAAATTTTTCTCACCATTTTCAGCTGATTTTCCCAGTTCTGCAATATTCAAAACAATTTTCAATTAGAATTTTCATTAACATTAATTAACAAAACTTTTAAGTTTTTAATTTTTCTATACAATTAAAATTTGCTTTTCATTAAAAAAAAAATATATAAATGTAATACAAACACAAAAAATAATTTATTAGTAGTATTATGTAATTTACAGAATTTTTTATTTTCAAAAATAAACTTCAATTATTGCATAATTTCAAATTCAAAATTTTAAAAATTCACTTATTATGTACATAATTAATTATTGTTCATTATTTTCAAAAATTTTACTAAAATTCTTCGCAAGAATTCAATAAATTTTTCGAAACAATTTAATTATTTTTATAAATAAAAAAATTCTTTCAGAAATTCAATTACTTTAGAAAACAATTGTTATAAAATTATCAAAAATTCGAAAAACTGACTTTCTTAAAATTCAACATTTTTTCTTCTTTTTTTGGCATTTAGCTTCAATATTTTTGGGCTCTTCAAAAATACTTTACTTATTGAAAAGTCTCCACCCTTTGGTAAAAAATCTAAAATTATCACACTGAGAAAACTGGAGTATTGGACTAAACATCTGGAGGGACAAATCGTTCATATTTGAGAGTTAGCTATTGGATAACAATCTAAATGTTCAAATACACCATTGACAGACATTCGTGCCATTTCTCTTGGAAGGAAAATGAGTTTATAACAGAGGGACATATTAACCATCTTGAGAAATCCCTTCCTTATCCGGCGCGAAATGAATAAATATGGCAACCTAACCCCTATATTAAATACATAAAATGTCAGAAAAATAATTTCGCGCGCATCAGATCGTACACATTTTCTGCGCAACTTTTAACCCTCAGATCTTGCCTCAGATATAATGGGAGAGAATATACAAGTAGATTTCCATTATCAATTCAAAATTTATTTTAGAAGGACTATTCAACTCTCTTCATAAGCAAAGAAAACATACACTTTTTGAACCTCTGAATTTGACTCTCCAGTTTTCTCAGTGCAAAAAACCGAAATTTCTTAAACCGAATTTCTTAAAATTCAACATTTTTTCTTTTTTTTTTTTGTGGCATTTAGCTTCAATATTTTTGGGCTTTTTAAAAACACTTTACTTATTTATGCAGTGTGTCTAACAAGGACTGAGAAAATAATTCCCTGACGTTTTACTAATTTTATTTTTGCTTTCTTGGAACAAAAATATGGTATCTGACATATTTAACAATAAATTAATATCTAATGATAGAAACAAACGATAACCTAAAAATCTTTTAAGTTTTGTTAGATTAACAAAATTTTTTATTCACAAAAATTTTAATTTTTGTATAAATTTTTAGAAATTTCCCTGACTTTCAATGAAATTCTCTGACATTCCCCCGACTTTTCCATGACTTTTCCCTGACCAAAAAAATTCTCTAACTTTCCTGACCGTTAGACACCCTGAAAATCGAATTTGCTATTTATAATTTTAGTAAAATTATTAATAGTATCTATTCTTTGAGAAAATTCAATTATCTTCAATATTTTAATAAAATTCTTCCAATTAATTCTGTTATTTTCAAAAAATTTAAGAAAATTCTGAGATGGATTAAATTATCTCCAAAAATTTTAATAAAATTCAATAATCAAATGTTTAACTTCAATTATTAAGAAACCTGAAAGCAATCTAATTTTGATTAATTTTCATTTTTATTTTTAATTGAAAATATGTCATTTAATGTTTTTGAGAATTCAATTTGTATTTTTAAAATTTTTAATTAAAGTTCTTAAAAATTTGATTTTAAAAATTTTTAATTAAAGTTTTTCAAATTTTAATTTTCAAAAATTTTACATTTTAATTATTAAAAACCTTTTTAATGAAAACATTGAACTTGGTGGATTCCTCCATCTTTTAAATAATAATAATTGTGACAAATTAGATTTTTTTTACTAATTATTTCTTTAATTTGTAATTTAAAGTTCTATAAAAATTAGATTTTCAAAAATTTTTATTAGAATTTTAATTAGAATTGAAATTTGAATTTAATTTCAAAATTTATATTAAGAAAAACCGTTTTAGAAGAAAATTTCCCTCGTGTGACATAATCGAAACCTGGGGTGAAATAAATTTCTTATCTTATTGGCGTTCGGTGTGTGAGGACAATCACCTAATTCGACCCTCAGAAATACATGAGATTCAAGTTATTTATAAGAACGAGAACGAAGCCGAGTATTTTTAGCAACGACCAACTAAACTTCCCGCTGCTAGATTGATCTTGTCATTACATGACCCGAATGCAAGGAATAAATCGATTAAGAAGTTTACAATTCCAACAATTTTTCCTAATCACCCAAAGAGGAGAAAAATAAAAAGTTTGTCAAAAATTAAGTTTAAAAAATCCCCTTATTCATCAATTTATCATTAAAATTCCTCGTCTATCAAAATCTATTTTCCAAATTACAAAATTAAAAAAAACGTACCAATTAATAAAAAAAAAATTCTCTCCGCTTTAAAATGAAAAAAAGAAACCATTTCTACCATAAAATACAAGACGATAAACGATTCGATTAAATGAAATAGTAAACTGGAAAATAATTTTCTAGATTTGTCACTGATAGTACAACAGTGATTCAAGCAAACGGGATGCCAAAATATCGTCCACCTGTTGAGTGTGCAGTAACTCTATGAATTTATTAATAACTTCTGTGAAGAATAAATGTGCGAAATGTAGGAGGTTTATATTTCGAGAATTTCCTGTTTTACGATTGAAAGCATTTTCAAGAGAGAAAATTATAATAATTTCTCAAGATGAAGGAGCAATGTTCTCACTCGAAAAAAGAAGAGAAAAAAAAATTTTCATCTATTATTAAGATATAATATTTACACGCCAGATGTTACGTGTTTATAAGTTGCGAGAATTTGCAAAGCAATGAAAGAAATAAATTCGAGAACAATGTAACGGACTATTCTTCCCATCGTCACAGCTCGTTCAAAACTACCCCATTGGAATCATGCCAAAATTACGCGTGTCCTCTCATAAAATATCATCTCTTCAAAGAAACAGCAAGAATTATATTCTCAGAGACTTTTCATCAAGAAATTCATTTTCTTTCAGTGCGAGGAAATTTTTTTTTTTTGCTCCTCTAAGTTTCCATAGAAAAAGTTTTTTTCCTTTTGCAAATAAAAAACAATTTAAAAAAATAATCCAAAAAAATAAATTTCAATCTATATCGAAAATTCAATAATGAGGAAAATGAAAATTTTACCAAAACCGGAAGTGTTGCGTTTACGACGTGAAATGAGAGCGCTATCACTGAATGGAGTTGATAGAGAACCTCTCTTGGCTCGAACAGCTGGCATCATGCTCTCATCTTTGTAAATGTGAACTGTATTAACACTAAGACTGCAATTGACTCTCATTCTGCGACAGATAATATTTATTTTTAGAAGAAATTATCCATTAAATTACCAAGACGAATTATCAGAGATTGAAAATCAAAATCCAAGATTGAAAATAATTCTCTTTTCTTCCACTTGAAATTTTAACTAATTTTTGATTAATTTAATTTAACAATTAACATATAATTTAATTTAAATTATATATTTAAATATTATAAATAAAATTGTAATCTATATTAATAAACTAATAATTACTAATTTTAATTTTAAATTACACTTTGAAAAAAATTCGGAAAATATTAAATGTTTCGAACGTTGAACATTTTTTTGTCACTCCCTTCGAACTTCATTGAAAAAATTTCATTCATCTGAATTGAAATTCATTCATTTGATACGTTCAAAACTAGGGAAATTTAACATTTAGTTTTTCTGAAGAAAAATCAATTATTTTGATTTTCATCTCTAATTGAAGAATAAAAGAGAATTAAAGATTAAATCAATTGATAATTACGTGTTATTTTTTAAATCCATCGTGAAGTATATAACTTCACTGTCGTCCTTTTTATCCCATTCCGATTTTGGATTCGATGATCCTTGCAATAGACATTTCTCCTGATGACTTTCAAGATAAGGATTCATTGCATCACTTGTCGTTCGGTCCAAGGTGAAGCCAAACTAAAAACAAAATTAATAACACTATTAATAAAATTGTAAATTCTAAATTATAATTATAAATTTTTTCTAAATTTATAATATTAATGACAATTCAATTAATCAATAAATAACAGAATATTATATTTTAATAAAATTCCTCTCAAAAATTGAGGCCTTGGATCCAATAACTCGCCCGACGCTCGAAGGCACGCGCTAATACCAGTCGGGTAGCAGTGAGTGGCCCAGAGGCGCTCACTGCTCACTGACTGGCAGTTGCGCGTTCCTCCGAGCGTCGGGCGAGTTATTGGATCCAAGGCCTCAATTCAATTTCTTTCAATAGAATTTTTATAAAATTTCTTGAGAGGCTTAAAATATTTTTAGAAAATTTTAACTAATTTCTTCGAAAGATTTTAATTACTTTTATAAATAATAAAATTCTTTACTGGAATTCAAAATATTTTCAATCAAATTTGAATAGAATTTCTCGAAAGAATTGAATTACTTTTACAGATTTTCATAAAATTCTTCGAAATAATTAAATTGTTTTCAAAAAATGTAATAAACTTCTGGGAAAAATTCAATTATTTTCAAAAATTTTAATAAAATTTATTAATCAAATTTTAAAACACAATTATTGAAAAACCCGATTATTTTAAAAACTTAAAAGAAATTTTTCATAAAATTAATTACTTTTCAAATTTCTAATCAAAATTAAAAAAAATATTATTTTTAAAACATTCAAAGAAATTCTTCAAAACAATTCAATTATTTTCAATTATTTTTATAAAGTTTTAATAAACTTGACCGTGATGAATGTATAAATTAATAAATAAACAAATTTCTTGGAATGAATTCAAATATTTTTATAAATAATAAAATTCTTTGATGAAATTCAATTATTATTAATCAAATTTTAATTAAATTCTTCCCGAGAATTCAAATATTTTTATAAATAATCAAATTCTTTGTAGAAATTCAATTATTTTTAATCAAATTTTAATAAAATTTCTCAAAATAATTTAATTATTTTCAATACAATTTTAATTAAATTTCTCGATAGAATTGAATTTTCAAAAAAAAAAATTTAATAAAATTCCGTATAAGAATTCAATTATTTTTAAAAATATAAATTAAATTCATCTCAAGAATTGAATTATTTTTGTAAATTTAATTAAATCCTTCTCGGGAATTCAATTATGTACATTCAATACAGTTTTAATAAAATTTCTCAAAAGGATTCAAATATTTTTAAAAAATGTAATAAAATTCTTCAATGAATTGAATTATTTTCAAAAATTTCAATAAAATTCTAGGAAGAATTTACCAAAAAGTGTTAATGAAATTAAATAATAAATTTTTTAATTAGATACAATTATTAACAAACAGGATTATAATTTTCAATTAAAAATATTAAAAAATATATTATTTTGAAAAAAATCCAAAGAAACTCTGCAAAAAAATTTAATTATTTATCAAAAGTTTCAATAAATTGTTTCGAATAAATTCAATTTTTTTCAATAAAAATGAAATTTTAATGAAAATTTCTCATAAAATATTAAATTATTTTCAATATAATTTTAATAAAATTCTCCGCAAGAATTTAATTATGACTTTTCCAAAATTCTTCAATTATTTTTATAAATAATAAAGTAAACAACAAAAATTTTGCAAAAAAAGTAGATCCAAGGAAAATTTGTTTGAATAGCAAAATAGGGTTAATCTCTTCTTCATAAAATAATGAAAGGTAAATATATTTTCAGATAATGAAAACTTTCATAAAGCTGTTACAGTCGTTTCACGGCATTTAAAATTCCAAAGCGTGTTATTGTTTGAAAATTTCGTGCCAACGTCTTGTTTAATATTCGTATACTTAGTTACTCATTTCCTGTAAAGTAACGCCCAACAATGACTTACGATCATCATCAAATTTCTCCAAAATTTTGCTGAGTTAGACAAACAAAAATTAAAATAAAAAAAAAAAAGTAAAAAGAATATTAAAATTAAAATAACAAATACATAATAGCCAAAGTAATACTTTTCAGTAATAATTTTCAACAGTAAGTAATTAATAATTAAACTAACAATTTTGAGTACTAAGTAATTAATAATTAAACTAATAATTGTCAGCAGTAAATAATTAATAATCAATCAACTAAATTCCAGGAAAATAACAATTAACATATTTCTGACTAAATTGACAAAAAAAAGGAACAAAAAGTAAATTGAATATTTCGATTCGAAATCGAAATCAAAATTAATTCCATATTTAGACAAATGATAATTTGCATAAGTTTCGAAAAGAAATAAAATTTCTTCTATCGTGAAAACTGTACTATATCCAATTTTTGTAAGGAACAAATAAAAATCGTCCTCTATAAAATATTATTTCTTTTGGCCTTGAACTAATATTGATAGATTAAGATTCCTTTATTCAGCTTTCATACGTCATCGTTAGAAATCGATATCAATTGAAAAATACATTAGATTTTAAGGTAATTTACGACAAAAAAAAATAACAAAACAAGTTCTTTTTTCCCAAAAACTAAAAATTAATCATAAAAAATTCAAAACTATAACTATAATAAAAATAGACAATTTTTTTTCTATTTTCCCCATTCAAGGACGCACGTTATTTATAATTTTGTTTACATAATTCATTAAAATTTCCCCAAGTGTGTTAATTCTTCCACATTTTCAAAAAAAAAAAGAATTTTATAAAAAAATTGAATTAAAAAAATAGTTCCATTTTTACATGAAAGAAAAGAAAGAAATGAATAAATAAAAACGTGAAAGAAAATTTCTAAAGCGTAATTAAAAAGTATTATTGAAGTCTCAATCTTAAAAATCAATAACTCATTTTCATTCGCTTCGAAAGATGAAAGTGGAAGTTATTCCTGTGCATTAAAATAGAAAAGCATAGAAGATAAAATGGATTTTTTAGATTTTGTAGAAACCAATTAAAAATTGGAGCAAAAAAGGATTAGTCATGAATTGCAATAAGAAATGTAATGTTTGGAAATAATTACCACATGATTCTCATTGTAGGGACTGGCCTTGAAATTCGTCAAATTCACACTTAAAACACCTCCCAGGTAAAATCCAAAAGTACTCAACGAAATAAATCGTCGATTATCGTTCTGAAATAAAAAAAAAATAATATTGTCCAGTACATAATAAAAAGAAACATTAGCGTTATCTTAAAACCGGTAAGCCGATAAACTTCACCAATTTATCTTTTGAAAAATAAATATTCTTTTCCCAATATAAACTTCTTTTTAGCGTTTTTTTTCAATTCTCTTAAATAATCCTGATTATAGTGAAAAATTATTTATGAATAGTGGAAATTATTTACCCTTATTTCCAATTTGTGTATCCTTGCGGTGGCAATGCTCAATGTCAAAAGGAACCATAAGGAACCGATAAAGTAATTTTTTCTCGACATTATGATAAGATTTTTCTATTTTTAATTTACAGGATTTACAATATTCACATTACGAATTAATAAACACAGAAAACACGGAAATAGCCTCGCCTTGTGTGTGTGTTTCGTCGCACTGGGATAACACTAAACCCTCGGATAGTAAAATAAAAACTGAACTAAAAGAATATTATAGACAGCACTAGACCAATCTAAATTTTACTTATTTTCTCTTCAATTTGTAATAATTTCACGTGACATTAATTTTTTTCAAAGGGAATAATTGATTTTTTGCAAGAGTACTAAAATACATGAGCAGATTTTGCCATCATCAACCTTTTTAACAATGAACATAACCTATAAATCAATATTTGACGTTTTGACAGTTCTGTTTTATCAACAGTTTTTTTTATTTACCGACACGTAAAATATATCTCACAGTTCTTTTTATTTCCACCAGAGAAAAATCAGTATTTTTTTTTTAAAAAGCATGTTTTTTAAAATTATTTCAAAGATTTGGAAGGAAATAATTTTTAGTTTTTTAAAATAGTTCCTTTTTTCCAGTGTGTGATAAAAAAATTTATTCTCTCATATAAATGTATTAATTATAGAACTTGTATAGGAAAAGTGTAAACTGTAAACAATTTTGAAGTTGGAGACACGTAACTTTTTTGTTTTTACCCAATTTCGACTTTTTATAAATAAACAACTTAAACATTCAACCAAACAAACCAAGTAACTAAAAGAAGGTAAAGAAAGTAACAAAAATTTTCCCTAATATACCAGTTTTCCAATGAATAACTCAAATCAAGAAATGTCCGAAGTAAGATTAATGAAATGTTCTGCCTCAAATTTGGAGGTTATGTCTAATTAAATTTCTTTTCCATAACAGGAGACATTTGAGGAGCTTTTGGATATTATTGAAAAAAATTTCGCTTCATTACAAATTTTCGACTGTGAAACTAAATCTAAATTTATCGAATCAAGCGGATTTTTATTCACAAGATCAAATCAGTTTGAAAATAGCGAAAACATTATCAACCCACACAGGTGGGAAAAATATTTTGATAGAAAGTTTCCAAGGTTTGTATATATATTCTCTTTGTTTATTTATCAGGGTTGCCACAAAAATTTTATTTTTCTCTAACTTTTCCCTGATTTACAGACAAAATTTTGACTTTTTCCCTGACCCTAAAGAATATTTTGATTCACTCTAAAAATAATTATAGATAGTCAAAAAAATGTTCTAAATTACATTTACTTACGAATTTCTATAATTGTAAAATTATTCGGAAACATCAAGTTTTATTTAAAATAAATCATTTCGATTCAATTATTATTTTCCAGAATTTTTAACTAATTCTTCTTTAAATCGATTATTTTTAATAATTTTTGAAAAAATTCTTTGACAATTTTCAAATCCATTTGTTTGCAATTAAATTTTACGAAATTACGATTATTCGGAAATTCTTCAATTAATATATTTAGAAAATAAAAACTTGAAATAATTTTGAAAAAATTCAAGTAAATTAATTATTAAAAATAATTGAAATTCTGGGATGAGTTTTATTGTTTATGAAAATAATTGAATTCCTAAAAAGAATTTCATTATTTATGGAAAAAATTGAATCCCTGTAAAAAAATTTTATTTTTTATAAAAATAATGGAATTATTGCGGAGAAATTAATAAAAAATAAAGAATTTGTTTTTAATTAATTTTAATTCTTTTGGAAAACTTTATTCAAATAGGTAGTAGATATCAAAAATAATTTAAGGTAAATAAAAACGAATTAAAAATAATTTAATTGAGAAAACTTTCAAAATTATTGAATTCTTTCGAGAAATTTTATTAGAATTGTATTAAAAATAATTGAATTCCTACAAAAATAATTCAATTTTTTGGAGAAATTTTATTAAAATTGTATTGAAAATAGTAAATTGTAAATAGTAAATTGCAAATTGAAACCTTTTGTAGTTCATCTGTGGTAACCCTGTTTATCTAAATGTTTGTTATTTACACTTTTTGTATGTTAGACAGGTAAAAAACTCCCAACAACAAGAGAAATCGAATGGCAATGAAAATTCACAGAAGAATTTAATTACGACAATAAAAAATCGGGTTTTTGAAAAAAACCAAAAAATGAAGGACGAAAAACCGGAATATATGGAAGTGGAGGAGTCGAGTGAGGAAAAGCCAATATATCCTCGCATTGGTCCTAAAAAATCATTTCCCTCTTTCTTTCCCTTACCGCCAACACCGACAACGACGACAACTTTTACAACCGGCACACCTTCAATAGTGTTGACACCATCGAAACTTGCGAGATCAAGTCGTTCGGGAATAACAAACGTCTCAAGTTCATCGGAAGAAGAAATAAATCCCCTAAGTGTTAGCCGATCATTCAGTCAATTTACATTCAAGCAAGCCGACACTAATAATTTAAAGGAAAATCTAAATCTAACACCAATTAGAAATTCAGTCCCCAAAGAAATTGTCAACATAAAACAGGAGCTTGAGAAAGGAAAAAAAAAATTACGCCCACTGATGCAAGAGAAGAAACAGAAGCCAATTTACAGTTGTTCTTGTTGGCAAATTATTTTCTTTCTACTACTTCCGATTGTCGTTGTTTTGATTTCGGCAATTTTCAATCAACCAGAAACAACAACAATGTTCTTTAATCCAAAATTCAATTTTACAAATGTCACGGAAAATCTTCCAAAACAAGTTCACGGACAGGAGAAGGCACTGCGTAATCTCATCAATTTTCTCACCCTAGACAGTACAAATTTCAAAATTCTAACATTCGTTGGCGGTACAGGTGTGGGAAAAACTCACGTGGCAAATATTATCAAAAATTCCCTACCGAACAGTTACTATCATTTCGAATATTTTCCACCGATTTACAATAAAATTAACGAAGCCTACTCAAAACTATCGATATGTCAATGTAATGTCATCGTCCTCGAGAATTTATCCACCGAAGATATATCGGATGCCGCATATTTTTCTCATTCACTAAAAAAACGTGCGTCAAATCTTTGTGTTTTAATTCTCGCTCTATTTAATACACAAGTCACCGATAATTATCTGAGAAGAAGTTTAGACTTACAGGGAAGTGTGAGGAGTATTGAAAATAATTTCGAAAAGGAAGACGTACCGGTAAAATCGATAGTATTCGAATCACTTGGAGAGGAGTCGATAGTAAAGTGTATAAAGGACGCAATTAATGAATCACATCTTAAAGTTTCCGACGAGGATTTCAATCGACTAAAGGAGCATTTATTGATGTCGAACAGTGGTTGCAAGGGAGCATTTTCAAAGGTTCAACTTTTTGGAAAAGTCGCTGATTAACGGCGAAACTATTTTGTCGAAAAAAAAAACGAGAACTGTGATTTAGATACGTAAGAAAAATTTCTCGTCAGAATAAAGACACTAAAAATGTGAAATTCAAAGAAATATTAAATAAAAGGTAATAAAAAATAATAGTTAATAATTAATAATTACTACTTAGTGATTAATTAATAATTAGTAACTAATAATTACTACTTAGTGATTAATTAATAATTAATAATTACTACTTAATCATTAGTAATTAATAATTAGTAGTTAATAAATAATAAATTCACCAATAAAATAGAATTTCCCAATAGAATTGAACAGAAAATTTTTGATACCTATAGCAACTTCAATTTTTTTTCCAAAAATCCATCGCTCTTTTAAAGAAATTATTTTCTAATTTTCTAATTATTTTTGCATTGTACACACTATCGTGATATCCTGTATTTAAAGTAAAATATGGGTTTGAAGACTTGAATTACATCTTCAAAATTACACAAATATTTTATTTTTAATAAAGCTATTTTTAATAAATAAATATTCACTGAAATAAATGTGTTTTTTAAAAGTAATAAATTTTATATGGAATAAGAATATTTGGAATTTTTATATTTGTGTATTTTTGGAGTGTAATATATTTTTTTTTATCAAAGACTGTATTGTTGTAATGTGCTATTATTAATATTATGATATCTGTATAATTCTGGATGAAAAAAAAACCACGAGTTAATGATAAAAAATATTTTTTTTCAATTTAATGGCTAATTATTGTTTTCCACGTAACTTTTTTTTTATAGACTTGGATTATTTCGTTATCCTGATTTTATATCAATAAAATTGTTTAAAAGCCGCATTTCTCTTCCGCATTAGTATTATTTTTTTCCACTCATTTCAGAATTGTAAGTTATGCTTTTTAATTACAGAATTAATTAGAGAATTATTCACGAAAAAAAATTTTAAATCTTATTTCTGATTTTTAATTTTTTTCGTAAATAATTCTCGAATTTATAAATTATAAAAATTATAATCTTGGAAAAATAAATGGAATAATAATTATATTGAATAGAAATAGGAGAAAAGGGGGAAATTAAGAATAAAATAGAAAATTATAGAAAATTAAATTAAATTCAACAGAAATGATAAAAAAAATAAAATTATAAATTATCAAAATTTTAGAAAAATGAAGAGAATAAAAATTATATTTAAATAAGAAAAAGAAGGAGAGGAAATAATTTGCCTTTCGAGTTAATTTGAGTCAAGCGCGTAATTTAAATTAACTAGCTGACAAAGTAACAATTTCCACTTATTCTTTATTTTCAGCTTCGCAGAGAGCTATTAATCGTATTTCACTTTCTTATTATTATAAGCACCCAGGAGTTGATTTGATATTGCGTGTCAAACATCGTAACAAAATTGTTACAATATTACGACCGTTATGCAAAGTCAAAAGAAACAACAAGACTACTATTCTAGATTCTCTCTCTCTCTTTCGTTTACTGGGTCAGAACTTTCAGAACGTCTCGATTTTTTTTCTTCCTTACTTTTTTTTATAAAAGAAATCCTATTATTGTAAATTTGAATCGGATATCCTCATTGCAAACGACGAAATTACGCGAAAAGGAAAAAAAGACGAATTACAAAAGATTGAAATCAGAAGTAAAAAAAAATTTTCAATGTAGAAAAAATAATTCCCCAATGTTTCTGTAAACTTATTTTTTGTTTAAACAAAATTCTCTTTTTTGATAGAAAAAAAAATTCTTTTCGAAACAAAAAGTAAGAAATGAACTCGATTTGGTAAATTCTTTTTTCCGCACTATTTTTCATTTTTGTCTTGGAGTGTAAAATAATTGATTTATAAATAAATATTCCAACTTTCAATGAAGACTCTATTTCATGTGCCTAATCTCTAATAGTGTAAAATTCTTACATAAAATGTTATTATCGCATACGATTTTCTTGCACAAGTTGAATTCATACAATATAATTCTTTTTTTTCAACGTTCAATTTCATAATTATTAAGTAATACCTATATTATTCCCAACTGTAATGTAATACATTTAGCATTTTTCACTTGAAGTGAAATTAAAAAGAAAAATAAATTTAATAATTTAAAATATAAACACGAACTTTAAATTAAATAAAAAGGGAAAATGCATGGAAACAATATCTCGATATGAATTATTTTAATGATACACACTGTGAATTTATGTATATAGCGTTATACTATAAAATTGATGATTAATTCTTTATGTAATTTTAAACAGAACGGGGAAATTGAATCATAAAAATTATTCACATATTCAATGTGTTTTAAAGTTTTTTTTAATATTCTTATCAGAAAAAAGGGAAAGCAAATATTTTGATTTATCTTCTGTTACTATTTTATTATTAATAAAAATTATAATACGAATTTAATTAGTCATTATATTACTAATTGATTTATTATTTTAACCAGAAAATATTACGCCCACATATTATTGTGAAAATAAAATTTTTTTTTTTTTTAAATAACAACTTAAATATTTGAATAATTTCAAATTAAAAAAAAATATTTTATTCACTCATTAATTATTATTTATTATTTTCAAAAATTTCAATAAAATTCTTCGCTGGAATTTAATTATTTTTAATTCAATTTCAATCAAAATTACCGAAAAAATTCAATTATTTAAAAAAATTTTTAATAAAATTCTTCGAGTATTCAATTATTTTCAGAAAGAATAAAATTCTTTGTAGGAATTCAATTATTTTTATGAACAATAAAATTCTTCGCCGCAATTAAATTATTTTCAATATAATTTAAATAAAATTTCTCGATAAAATTTACTTTTTTCTAATTTCTACACAATTTTAATTCAATTAGCTCGAAAGAATCCAATTATTATTAATAATATTCACAAAAATTGTTTATAAAAATTTTAATATTTTCAATACAAATTAAATTTTTCAAATAAATGATAATTCTTTTTTATACAATTTTAATTAAATTTCTCAAATAAATATATTGATTTTCAAAAATTTCAGTAATATTTTTCGGTAACGATTTTATTATTTTAAAAAAAATTTTAATAAAATTCGCGAGAATTAAATTATTTTTATGAATAATAACATTCTTTGTAGAAATTCAATTATTTTTAATACAATTTTAATAAAACTCAAAATAATTCAATTCCTATTTTTAACAAATTTAATAAAATTCGATGAAAATTTCAATTATTTTCAAAAATAACAAGAATCTTTTGAAGAATCCCATTATTTTCTATATAATTACAGTTCAATTGCGTCCAAAAAAAATTAAATTGTTTTCTATACAATGTTAATAAAAATGCTGAAAGGAATTCAATTATTTTACAAAATTTTAATTATATTTCTCAAAAAAAAAAAAATAATAATTTTGACTTAAAGTACAAAAGAAAATTTTCGAATTCTAAATTACAATAAATTTGAATTTTAATTAAAAATTCTTTAAATTATATGAAAGAAATAAAGGGAACTAATATAGAAAAAAAACTAATTCGAAAAAGTAGACTAACTGAAAATTTTCTTTTAGAAAATAAAATGTTGAGTAGATTAGATAATTATACACATCTATATAATACGTATGCAATAAAAAAAATGACTCAAATCAGCTCGAAAGTCACATTTCTTTTTGTATGATTATTTTTTTTCAAGGTGAGGAACTGTAATTTTTCATTATAATATTGATCAAATGAAAGTATTTCTCCTCCCGGTTCTTCTACATATAGCAACGCGAGACTGTAATAATTATGAAAGGGCCTAATCTAAAAATCTCGGGAAGAAGATTTCTTAATATCTAAAACTTTATACGTGGTCGTTATACAACATTCATGATGAAAAAAATATAGACGAAAGCTTATAAATATATCCCAGTAGAATTTTTTTTTCACCCAAAAATTATTCCACATATGGAAATTAGAATTATTAACATTATCACTGACGTGATTGTGGTCTCTTTTTTTTAACTCCAGCTATTAAAATGTTAATATTGTATAGAGAATAATTACAATATAAACAATTACGTTTTGTCGAGTATTTGAAAGCAAAAAAAAATTTTTTTTGCATAGTATTGGTTTATTTTTCTTTCAGTTTGCAAACTTTTTTACGCGCATGTGTCAGTCCTCGTGTCTTTTTAATTATTTTTTTAGGAAAAGACAAGAGTCTTTTCTTCTCTTTGGTTTAGACTTTTAGAAATAATTTTTGCAAAGAACAAGAAATGTTTTTTCTTTAAGAGAATTTATACAACAACAATGATCTACCATGCGTGCCCGTGAGTCATGTTCGTTTCTCCAATTTACGTGTAAACTACGTTAAGAAGCAAATCTTCAAGAACTTCCTAAGACTTTTATTGTCCTCTACATTTGACTTTCTCTCGCGATTTTAGACAATGTTGAGAAATATTATCATTCTGTCGAATGTTATTAAAAGAAGAAAAAAAAAGTCGCTCATAAATTCCTCAGCAAAGAACATTTAAAGACTGACTATAAATTTTAAATGCGTTTTCGTTTATTTTGAAACCAAGTTTAACATTATTGCAATATTGCAATATTTTAAGCATCAAATAATATATTTTTCCTGTTTTGAAATTTTTTTTCTTTTCATTTTTACTTATTGGTCATTTTTCAAATTATTTTTAATATAGAATTCTTAATTTCTATTTTAATTTTAATTTCAATTTTTCAATTTTACATAAATTTAATTTTAATATTATTAAAATAATACATAATATTAATAAAATAATAGTTAATATTATTGAAATAATATTTAATACTTAAATTAATTTATTATTTTATTTAATTTATTTTATTAGATTATTTATTTACTTCTTTTGCTTTTTTTACTATTTTTGTTTAATTAAGTTAAAATTCAAATTTTTAATTACATTTCAATTTCAATAATTATATTAAATTTACAAAGAATATTCTGTCTTTTTAACAATGTATAGAAAAATCGAGATAAATTTTCCTTTAACGACAAATGACGAAGGTTGAAATTTGCTCATTAATTACATTCTCAGTTTATGCACTTATTTAAATATTAATACTCGACACGATCAACATTGTTATTCTTATGTATATTTATTAAGTTAAATTGTTGTAAAAAAGTACATATTAAATGCAAAAATCTATTAATGATTTACTAGAATATTTTTTTACTTTCATACGTAATCTGAACTTTTCTCACAAATGATTATCAATTATGAAACTTGCTTCTGTTTATTATTATTTTTATAAAGGAAATGTATCACCAACAGAAGTGATACTAAGATTTATACATAATTTATATTTTGAATATTACACTATTTAATTAAATTAAATAAAATAAAATTATTTTTATAAATAATAAAATTCTTCACACAAGTTGAATTATTTTCAATTCAATATAAATAAAATTTCTCGAAATTTTATTTACACTTTCAAAATGAAAATGAATTACTTTCGAAAAATAAAATTCTTTAGAAGAAAATTCAATTATTTTTTAAACAATTTAAATTAAATTTCCCTTCAAAAAAATTTAATTATTTTCCCCAAAATTTTAATACAATTCTTCGAAAGAATTCAATTACTTTCAAAAATTTAATAAAATTCTTCGCAAAAATTAAATTATGTATTTTCATTTCAATTACGAATAAAATTTCTCAAAAATTCAAATTTGGAATAATTTCAGATTCGAAATTTGAAAAATTTATTTTTTAACTAATTAATTATTATTATTTATCTACCAAAAGATATAGCAATTTTTATAAATTTTTACAACGAAAAGTAATTGAATCAGAAAATACTACAATTAGAAAAAATTGAAAACTACCAACAATTTGAAAAATTGGTCTAAAAACCAACTGTATTGAAAGAAGAAAACAATAAAACAATAAAATTAAAAAAACAAAACAACAATAATAAAATCTTTCAAGAATCTACAACCACGAGAAAAAGAAAACAAATTTAGAACTATTTTCAATTACTACAGAAACTGAAGTTGCAAAAAGTTTTCAAAAATCCCAAACTATTATTTTAAAAAAATTGTACTTTGCACGAGAGAATTTTTTTCGCGACTATTGAACCTCCTTGAAAAAATATATTTGTCCTTCAAAGGTGAATTCAGGATGAGGAATATCTTTTGTTTTATCATTGAGACTGATTAGTGAGTCAGGGACCACACGACGTCGTTATCGAAAGACTAGCCATCTTGCAAGTCAAGATGGTTTAAGAGAGTGGAGAAAGATACGCACTGCTGACGGAAATTATAAAAGTGGGCCCCAGTACTTGTGAAGGGGGCAGTCGTTCAATAGTGTCGCGGACGAAGACTTCGCTTTTAGGGGTACGTTTTTTCTCCACTATAAATTGTAAAACAAGTACGTTTTATATCCTAAAACGAATAATAACAATTAATTTCGTTCAAATAAATGTGTGCCAAAGAAATAATACAAAAACCAAAAAACAGTGACAAACAATGAATCGTGAAATTAAAAGATAAATCGTGAAATTGAAAAAAAAATTGTGCTTTTCTTCAAATAATCCATTTGAATATTTTCTTCATTCGATGATAAACCGAAAGAGAAAGTGAAAGGATCTACATAAACCAATGCAGGGCAAAAAAAAAAAGTTTTTGTTTAGTACCAAAATTGCATTTTTATTTTAATTAAATTCAATTAAATTTATTTTTGTCAATTATTATTCTTTTTTATTCTCTATAATTATAATTTTTATTTTACTTTGTTTCATTTCTACTCTATTTTATTTTTTCCTCTCTTCCTTTGTTCTATTTACTTCACAGTCGAAATACGAAGACAAAAATTATAAAAAAAATTTTTTTTAAAAAGTTTTTTCGTTTGGATTTCTAATTTTTTTCTAAATTAATAAAGTTCTTTCAATCCGTTCGAATTTTTTCTCAAATAATTTAATAAAGTTCTTTCAATTCTTTCTAATTTTCCACTTTTCGAATTTTTTCTAAAATAATTTAATAAAGTTCTTTCAATTCTTTCTAATTTTCCAATTTTTGAATTTTTTCTAAAATAATTTAATAAAGTTTTCAATTTCAATTCTTTCTAATTTTCCAATTTTTTCTCAAAATAATTTAATAAAGTTCTTTCAATAATTTCTAATTTTGGAATTTTTTCCAAAATAATTTTTTCAAAAATCTTTTTTTTTTACTTCTAGAAAATATTTTAACAAAATTTATGAAAAGGGACAATTTTAATATTAGAAAATGTTTAGAATTCAAAATAAGGAATCTTTTGAATTTCGTATTACGTCGAATATGACAAGAAGAGCACGTCAATGGCAAATATTTAATTCAATGTCAGAAAAATCTTTTAATATTCACTAAGCGATTCATTGTAGGTCAAAGTCAATACGATCGGTGAGTCCCAAAAAAAATGTTTTCTTAAAAATGCGAAACGAATGAAATCTATTTTTGCTTCCTCGAGGAAGAATTTTTAAATTCGTAAACTAATAGTTTTAATTAGCATACTATTTACTAAATTAATTTTAATTAGTACAGTAACTACTCTACTAAATTTAATTGGTATACTAATTACTCTACTAATTTTAATTAGTATAGTAACTACTTTTCTATTTTTAATCAGGCCTGTTTTTAATTAGTATACTAATTAGTATACTAATTACTATACTAATTACAATACTGAAAAAAATTTTCCAGAAAGAATATTTTGAAGATACTAAAAAAATTTTGCCAGAAAGAATATTTTGAAGACACTGAAAAAATTTGCCAGAAAGAATATTTTGAAGACACTGAAAAAATTTGCCAGAAAGAATTTTTTGAAAACAATGAAAAAGTTTGCCAGAAAGAATATTCTCAAGACACTGAACAATTTTTTGAAGATACAGAAAAAATTTGTGGGAAAGAATTTTTGTAAAGAAATTTTGTCCCTCGAAAAAATTCTCACTAGAGGAAAAATCAACTCCAACAGTCTAATTTGAATTAGCATTTTTTTCCCTCCATTAATATAATTATTTGAGGATAAAACTTGCATAATGGTAATAGGGGATGTCGCTTCTCATTTGAAGAAATGGGAAATTGAAACCATAATCAAAAACTGCTTTGCAATTTCAAGTTCCATAATTACAGTTATGTCAAGCATCATAAAAGGATTGCGCGAGCAGACATAATACCAACGATAGGGCGATAGACGATTGACGTCTCATGAACGCAGAAACATGATAACTATTGCTTTCTATGCGGAAGAATAGTATTCTTACATACACGTATATATATATTAACACACAACTATTAACCTGAATAGCCAGTTTTCCAGACTGTATACCATTTAACAATCCACATTTAATTCCATAGTTTGAAACTCTTATTCAATAATATATCCAACACCAATCAGGGTCAAAATTATAAAATTAAATCTTATTCATGCTTTGGTAGTTTCAATTTCTCGTAATGAATATATTATGTATCTCAAGGCTAAGGTGCTCGAAAAACTGTACAAATTTTTTAATTTTAATTTTAGAAAAAAGTTTTTAAAATTGGAAATTTTTTCATTTTTTTTTAAATTGAAAAAAGAAAAAAGCAATAACTTTTTTTTAAAAATTAATTACCAAAATTAATCAATTACTTTAATTATTATTACAAAATGTAATGAAACGTAATTTTAATTAATTAGGCGATTATTTTGATTAGAAGTATTTCGGAATAATTTGAATTGAAGATTTAAGGAAATTAAAACGAAAAACGAGAAGCAGAAAAAAAGGACAATTTTTAATTAGCTAACAACAAAACCAAACAAAATATAAATAATTTTTCTGCTTGACAGCAAACCCGAAAGCAAGAAACAATTATTTGATAACGAAAGCAAAAAAAAATAATTATTTGCCTGCCATCGAAACTAAAATAAAGAAACAATTTTTATTTTCCTGACAACAAAACTAAAATAAAGATACAATTTTTGTTTTCCTGACAACGAAAACAAAATAAAGAAACAATTTTTATTTTCCTGACAAACGAAACCAAAGAAATAGAAATAATTTTTTTTCGCCTGACAACAAAACCAAAATATAGAAACAATTTTTATTTTCCAATGAAAAAAATGTTTAAAACAATAAATAAAGATTTTTCAATAAAAAAAAATCTTTTAAACATTCGATAAGGATTTTTTCAATAAAAAGATTTTCAAAATAATATATAAAAGATTATTTGAATAAAAAAAAATTTTTGAAATATTAGATAAAGATTCTTCCAATAAAAAAAATCTTCAAAATATTATTAAAACAAATGTTTACAAATTCCAATTGAAACGACAATTAAAACCACAAAAATCTAATTGCAACTACCGATAATCAAACAATCACTATTCGAAACATTCTATACACAACTCGAAACAATCAGAATTGCAGAAGAAAAAAGAAAAATAAACACCAGCAAAATATTTAACTATGCAATAAAAACATTTCCTCCGTCTACTGTGAAGCAATAAATAATTTGTCCACGGGACCAAGAAAAATATTTTTATTATCCCTCACTCGCAAAAATTATAAATACCTGAACTACTTTTTACTCATTTTTCTTTTTCTCTAAAACTAAAAACTCTATACAAAATTATGGAAACAACACTTTCAATTAACAAATCCACTTAAAAAATATTTCTGCTACTTTAGAAAAATTTTCATTCAGCAAAAAAAATCAATTTTTTTCTGCTAATTTAGAAAAAAAATTTCATTATTTCTAGAAAATCAGAAAAAACAAATTCTTCATTTTTTTCTGCTAATTTAGAAAAATTTACATCATCGGGAAAAAATTTTCCATTTTTTTCCTCTCCTTGCAAATATTTCTTTCAATGTAAACGGTCAAAGAATAAAATGTAAATTATGTTTACAACCTATTTTCTCGACAAACTTTGCGATGAAAAAAAAACAAAGAAAACAAGACTAACTATGAGTCCATAGTTAGTCTTGTTTTCTTTGTTTTTTTTTACTGAAAATATTATTCCATTAGAAAAAAGAATTATAATTCAACATCTAGATGAATATTAAAATTGTTGTTTTCCATAGGTACAAAAATATACAAAAAAAAACTAATTTTTCAAGAAGGGAAAAAACAAAATGTGTAAAAATATTTTCTGGAAAATATTGCAGCCGGAAAAACGAAAAATATCTCTATTAATAAGTTGAAAATTTAAATACATATAGTAAATAAATAAATGTAATTATCTAGTGTATAAATAAATTCAAATGTAAAGTACATAAATAAATTTATACACTTATAAATAAATTCATATTAATTATTATATTAAATTTTCTCTTATTTTTATTTTTTATAGTTGAAAAAATTGTTAAAACAAACGATCAGTCAATCTTGTATTTAATATTTACTCTCTAAATTTTAATTTGTAAAAATGTTAACTGATTTGAATTAGTAACTGGCTTTTTGCTTTTGAATTAGTAAAATTTGCTACTAAATTATAATTTCTACTAATTTATTAGTAAAATTTACAAATTCAAAAGCAGTCAAAATTTTAGTTATAAAAATCGAATTTTATTAATAAATAGTAATCTCTACTAATTTATTAGTAAAATAGACTAATTCAAAAACCAAAAAGTCTGTCATTAATTCAAATTAGTAAACATTTTTAGTTTTTTACTAATTCAAATTCAGAGAGTAGACTTTTATTTATCGCTTTTTGTGCTATTAGTATTAAGTTCTTTTGTACGAAAGGGTTCATTTGAAGCCCGTTTATACTTAAAATAAATATTACTATCTATTTGTTTTTTATTATATTTACATACATATATAAATAAAATTTATATTTATAATATTTTATTTATATTTGTAACATAATAAAATACATTAATATTTTTTATGTATTTATATTATTTGTATTTTGTCTAAATAATATATACAAATAAATATTTACATAAATAATTATAATCCACAATTATATAAAAATCGATCTAAATTTGCAAAAGAAAAAGAAGAGAAAAAATCGTCAAAAATCTAAAGTGATCCAGTTGATTAGGTTTTTTTTGGGGTCATGAGCGTGCGATCGTTCTTTATTCATTGTTAAAAATCGTGCGAATCAGAGAAGAAACAAAGGTGGGTTAACAACCGAACCAGCCTCTTATGCAATATTGGAGAAAGTTGTTGCAAAACACTCACACATGCATAGAATCGTTTCCCACAAACACGGAATATAAATGAATATGTGTTTGGGTCTCGCTCTGTGTGTGTGTGTTTCTCGAGTATTATTTGTTATATCATAAGCACACTTACTTTTGGTCCAGCGATTATATTAGGTGTATGATGCAATTTTACGACTACGCATTAAGTAATGCCGTAATATGCTTAACAGATCTCTAGAAATGCGAGCAACGTGTCATGAATTGGCATACATATATGTATACATGCTTTTTTTTGTATTTAAAAACATGTTGATCGAAGAAATTAGGTCACCAGGTCATTTCACATACATTCGCACAGCTTCCCTGAAAGAAAAAACCGAAAGTGAAATTAATTTCCTTAATTTCATGCCTAATAAATTATTCACAAAAAATAATTCACTACATTAAATACTACTTGCAATTTAATATCTTGCATATGATTAAAATAGTTTCTATATGTTTATTATAGAAAATTTTTTCAGTTTTCATATTTTTTTTTCTCCAAGGGGCTTAAATGTCAATCAAAATTATCGACTCGATATTGCGAAATGAAAATTATCAAATTAAATTAATAAATAGAATAATGTTTTAATAAAACTAGATCAAAATTTTGTATATTTGAATCTATTTTTTTGTTTATATTCTATTATTAATTATTTAAATTTTCAAATTAGAGAAATTTTTATTTTTTGTATTAATATTCGTTGTATTCTGGTAATATGTTCGCAGTTTGAAGTTAGTTTGTTTCCTTCTTTGTTTCCTGAATTTTTAAAAATGTTTTGAATTTTAAAATTAATGTATTGAAATTCATTAAATTCTTGTGAATTATTTATCAAAAAACTTGAAAGTAATTATTCCTTTGACAGTTTTTATCAAATTCAAAATAATTGAATTCTTTCGAGAAATTTTAATAAAATGATATTAAAAATAATTGAATTCTCTCAAAGAATTTTATTATATTTATGAAAATAATTCAATTCTTGCGACAATATTTATTACAATTTTTAAAAATAATTATTGGCAAAAATTTTATTAAAATTTTTTTAAATAATTGAATTCTCTCAAAGAATTTTATTATTTATGAAAATAATTCAATTCTTGCGACAAATTTGATTACAATGTTTGAATCCTTTCGAGAAATTTTATTAAAATTGTATTGAAAATAATTGAATTCTCTCAAAAGAATTTTATTACTTATGAAAATAATTCAATTCTTGAGACAAATTTTATTACAATTTTGGAAAATATTTTAATCCTTTCGAGAAATTTCATTCAAATTGTACTGAAAATAATTGAATTCTCTCAAAGAATTTTATTCTTTATTTTTTACAACTTTTGAAAATATGTGAATTTTTGGCAAGAATTTTATTAAAATTGTTGAAAATAATTTAATTGTTTCAAAGAATTTATTACATAGAATTTTTTTAAAGTAATGGAATGTTTTTAATAAGTTGTATTGGAAATTTTGAAAGCAATTGAATTTTAAGAAGAAATTATTTTAACTTTTTTTTAAATAATCGGGTTTGTAATTGTAATTAATAATTTTGTTATTAAACTTTATTAAAATTATTGACAGAAAATAAATTCTTTTGAACAATTTTATTAGAGTTCTCATATAAACAATTAAAATTTTTTTGCAGAATTTCTTGAAAATAGTTTAGTTTTTTCAAATAATTTTAATTGAAAATTTTGAAAATAATTGAAATTTACAAAAAATCTTATGAAAACTTTTGAGAATGAAAACTTTATTACAATTTGTTAAAATAATGGAACTCGTTCAAAAAATTTTATTAAAATTGCATTAAAAATAATTGAATTGTTTCAAAGAATTGTATCAAAATTTTTAGGAAATAATTGAATCCTTGAGTGAAATTTTATTAAAATTGTTTTGAAAATAATTGAATTTTTCAGAAGATTTTTATTATTTATAAAAATAATTGAATTCCTGCAAAGAATTTTATTATTTATGAAAGTAATTGAATTTTTTTCGAAGAATTTTTATTATTTATAAAAATAATTGAAATCCTACAAATAATTTTACTATTTATGAAAATAATTGAATGCTTGAGAATAATTTTTATTAAAATTGTTAAAAATAATTAACAAGAATAATTAATTATGTACTTAATAAGTGAATCAAATAATTTTAAAAATAGCAAATAAAAATTTTCTACCTTTAAAGTTTAAAGTAAATTTTTTTCAATTATTTAAATGATTTGAATATTAAACTATTTAAATTTTCTAATTATTGAAAATAATTTTAATAATAAAATGATGCATAATTTTAATAATAAAATGATGCATATTTAAATTAAATTCAAATTTATCCACTTATAAAGTATCATCTTTTTGTCAAAGGAAATTAAAATTAATTAAACAAATTAATATAATAAATAATTTCATAAATATACATTTTTAAAAATAATTTTCAGACTGTGATTCGAGTGAATTAACGAAAAAGAAAAGAATCGAAAAGAAAAAATGGGTGGAGTCGAGTGGGCAACCGAAGAAGATGACTACGAGTGTCCTTTGTCCAATGAGACACAAAAAATGGCAAAAGAAGAACTTCGCGAGGACAAGAACACAAGGGATCAGGCTTTGGAACAAATAAGAAATTGGGTAAAACTTAATCCAAGGATTGAAAATTCCAGAATGGGTGAGGTTCCACACATACATTATATTTATAATAAAATTGTGCAACTTTATACGGAGAGAAACTTATATAATATAAGTCTTAGAAATTTATGACAAGTTTTGTCATTATAATAAATATGGGTGGCTACAGACAATTTTAAATTATGTTACAAAATTCAATTATCAAAAAATTATTATCAAATCGACTCAAAGAAAATTCCCTAAAAAAAAAGAAATCTCATTATGTAAAAAAAATCCAATTTCCTTTTTTTTTGCAAAACCAATAACTAAGTGACATAATTTCGGGAAATTGATTCATTAGATTTATACTGAAATAGTGAAAGTTAATTACTGTTCTAATCAAGCACTACTGTAATAATTTATAATTAGAATAATTTTCCAATTTTTCAAATTCTGCAAATACTGCAAATTCTGATTTTAATCAAATTAAATCAAGAAGCAAGAATATAATTAATTAATTATTAATTAGCCAATTTCGCTTTATTTTTTGGGTAACTTTTGGAAATTTTCGTTATTTTTGTAAAAAGTAGGAGATAAATAACTCAAGTGTACTTTGAGATGTACTTTATTCGAAAAGAAAAGAAAGGTGAAAAAACTTAGAAATAAATTACAAGAAAGGCGAGGGTTCTCAAGGTAAAAAAGAGTCTGAAGAATTTAAAACATCGCTCATTCATGATTACGAAACTCAAGGTTACTTTCTATTGCACTTCTGGTATCTCGAAATAATTTTCATCTCCTTAGAGTTCAATTAAATTAGTTTAAAAGCAATTACTTTCCTACTAAAAATAATTATTAGAAAAAAACAATTACTTTACTAAAAAAGAAAGCTAAAAAATTACCTAGAATATATTTATCACGTAAAAAAAAATTTTTAACTACAAAATTAATAACTAGATTTTAAAAGTACAAAATTAAAAAATAATTTTTATGCAGATACTTAAAAAATAAGTTTTATGAATAATAATAATAAAAACGAATTTGTGACTTCTTAATTAAAAAATTATTTTGAAGCGAGAATTAAAAATTGCAGTTTTAAAAAAATCAATTATGAAGAATAAATATGAATTTTCGACTCTCATCGAGATAAAAGGATTGAAAACATTGCAACATAAACATTAGAAGGGAATACAATGTCTCAATATATGTGACATTTGGATAGTGTAAATGGCACAGATTTCACATCATGAATTTTCACAGAAAACCTTGAAATCACTAATTTTTTTTCTTGTAAAATTCTTCGATTCACGAGTCCAAATTTTCTAATCAATAATTTCCTTTTCGTTAAAATTTACAAAATAGAAATACAAACTGAATAATTTTTAATTACTTTGATTATTTAGTAAGACAAAATAAATTTTAATTTTAATTCAAGTAAATTATTATTCAATAAGTTATTATTCAATACATTCAGTAAATTATTTAATTCATTCAATAAATTCTTCAACAAATTAAATAAATAATAATTAAAGTAAATAAAAAATGTCTATTTTCAAAATTTTGTAATACTCCCAATTTATGTACGAAAATATAATTTTTTAGCAATTTTGGAAAATATTTGAATAATTAAATAATAAGGAATTTAGTGTTTTATCAAGTGACTAAAATAGTATCTAATTAATAATTAATTATCAAATTATTATTAAATTCTAATAATTAAATAATTAAATATCAGTTAGGTTCAACTAGATATAAAGTTAATTGATAATCAATATCAATAACTAAAATAGTACCTGATTAATCTCAAATTTCTAATTATCAAATTATTTTCAATTATTAATTATTATCACTTATGAAATTCAGGGTTGCCACAAAAATTTGAATTTATTTCAGACAAAATTTTTACCTTTTCCCTGACCATAAAGAATATTTTATTTTACTTTAAATTTCATAAAATTTCAACAATTTGAATATATTTCTATTAAATATGTATTCAAAAATTCAACGAATTTAAAGAAAAATTAATAAAAAATTTTCAAATAACTAACTTCTAAAAAAACTTTAATTAAAATTAATTAAAATTCAAAATTTCTAGAACTTAAATTTTAAATACAAATTTTTTATACTCTTCGTAATTTTTGTAACTTATTTATAATTTTGTATTTGAAATAATTTAATTCTTGCATAAAATTTTATTAAAATTTTTTTTTTAAATTGAATTATTTTGAAGAATTTTTTGGAAATTTTTGAAAATAATTCCATTCTTGCGATAAATTTTATTAAAAATTAAAAAAAAAATTGAATTCTTATAAAGAAATTTTTAAAATTGTTGATAAGAATTTAATTCTTTCGAAAATAATTTTATTATTTATGAAAATGAATAATTTTATTATTTATGAAAATGATTCAATTCTTTCGATAAATTTTATTTTAATTGGATTTCTCCTAAGAATTTTATTTTTTATAAAAATAATTCTATTCTTTCAAAAAATTTTATTAAAATTGTATTGAAAATAATTTAATTGTTTATGAGAATAATTGAATTTTTACAAAGAATAGAAATGATTAAAATTAATAAAAAATAAAATTCTTTCGAGAAAATTTGTTTTATGTAATTGAATTTCTGCGAAGACTTATTATTTATAAAAATAATTGAATTTCTTGGAAATTTTTTTGACGAATTCAATTAAAATTGTATTGAAAATAATTCAATTCTTATATAGTATTTCATTGAAAGTAGAAAATAATTGAATTCTTTCAAGAAATTTTTTATAAGAAGAAAAAATAAAAAAATTTGTTTTATGTAATTGAATTTCTACGAAGAATTTTTCTAATTATAAAAATAATCGAATTCCTGTTTATGATAGTTTTTTTAAGAATTAAATTATTTAAAATAAATTCAATATCAATTCTTTAAAATTCGATTATTGATAGAAATAGAAAGATTTTAAAATCAACTTGAATATTTAACTTTCCCTAACTTTTCCCTCAATTCACTAATTTCCTTGACAACCCTGAAATTATCATCAATTATCAAATAATTAAACATCAATTACAGGTTCATCTAAATATAAAAATAATTGAAAAATCAATATCAATAGTAATGACAATAACATTCTAAAATTACAATTTTACAGAAAAGTGAAAAATTAATATTTTAAGGCGGAAAAATAAGAGTGATTTTTGAAATTTTTTTCACAGATGGTCGATTTTTCCTGAGATTTTTACGATGCAAAAAATTCAATGTGCCGATGAGTCAAGAAGCTATTGAAAGGTATCTTTTATTACGTCAAGTTTATCATCCAGCATTCAATAATTTGGACATTACCGAACCAATAATGGAAGAATTACTTTCCCTCGGGTAAGATTTGAAAAAGAAAAAACAATATTGAAAACAAAATATAAAAATTGAAACTGTAATTAATCATTTCTTAACTCTTTAGATATCTATTCGCGGTTCCTGGTCGAGATGTTAAGGGGCGTCGTGTGATTGTCGCTAGACCCGGTAAAAACTCAGCGTTACGATTGAAAAAAAGAAAAACCACACAGACCGAAATTATTGCACTTTTGATAAAAATAACTAATATTGATAATTGATATAAATTAGAATTAAATTCAAGAGAAGAAAACGAAACTAAACATCTTAACGCTGACTATCAAAGACATGAGGGAAAAAATTACAATATTTTCCCCTTTTTTTATATAGAAGTAAATAAAAAAATAAATATGAAAATATAAATTAGAAGTATAATTTAAAATATAAATTATAAATATAATTCGTTAAAACTATATACTTTCAAATTATTCAAAAACTGTCTTCGTTACAATTAAATTGTAAATTTCAAAAAGAATTCAACTCTGAAAATCGAAATTCAAATTTAACTCTGAAATTCACTACCAATTGTTATAAAAAAAATGACTGAATTACGATTTTTTACAGTTATTTTCCTATTTCAATTTTTCCGTTAATATAAATAATGAATAAATATTATTTTTTTTAAATTTCTTTTTAATTTGTTTTAATTCTCCTTTTGTCGATTTATGCTAATTGTGAAAAGTTTGTTCCCTCATGTCTGTAATTAAAAATCAAAAGGGATATATTTGAAAAGCATACCGTCTATTTTTTCCTCTAGGAGTATTTGATCCGTATAAATATACAAATGCCGATATGTGTAAAATTCATGGCATCACTTATGAATCGTTGATGGAAGACGAGGAAAGTCAGGTTCGAGGTTTCGTTCATTTCGCAGATGGTGCAGGTGTCAGCTTTCCTCATTTAACCCTCTTTACACCAAAAGAGGCAGTTCGCATCGTCAAAAATGGTGAAGTAAGACATTCCTATTTTCCTGCAGTAGAAAAGAAAAAAAAGCATGAAAAACCGATTAGCACAAGACAAATATTTGCAAATTAAATATATAAATATTTCAGCACAAGTGAGAAATATTACTTTCATTATTTTTGCAACTATTCATAATATTTCGCAAATTTAAAAAAAAATCATTCTTTTCGTATTTTTTTTATAAACCCGTGTATTTTATAAATAAATAAATAAATAATTAATATTATTATTATTTCCATTATATTATTTATAATATATTTATAATAAAATATATTTATAAATAATAAAATTGTAAATAATAATTATAAATAATAACTTTATTAAAAAAAATATTTTAAAATCTAATTTGTTAGTAAATTACACTGATTATTCGCTTCACTAAATTGAGAAGTCGTTGCTCTTTATAAATTTTAATTTCTTAATGTTTATCCATTAGGCAGAATTATGAATATTTTGCAAGATAATTTAAAAGTAATAAACACTTCAAAATCCTGTGATATTTATTACTCGAAATGGGTCATATGCAATTAACATATCCAGTTATTTTGTGTGTTGGTCATAAGTCTCTCCTTTTCTTTTTTTTTTCCTCTAAAAAGATAATTTAGAATTCTTTTCCTCTCCTCTTTTCTCCTCTGGTTTCGATCTTAAATATGTAGGTCTCTGGTAATAAAGTTCGTTTTCGTTGACCCAGGAATGATTTTTGTCCCCCATTTTATAAGTGTGCACAACTTCCAAGGCCATTCACGTAATATAAGAATTTCATAATATTTCTTTTAGACACACCAACGAGAAAACCGGTTGAGAGTATAAATTTTAAAGTTTCAGCGAAATATCCATCAGCTGTTTATCAAAATTACCCAAAAAGAGAAAAAGAAAGAAATATTCAAAATATATTAATTTAAATTTAAATTTACTATTTACAATTTTCTATTATTTTAACTACCATAAAATTGAATTTAAAAAAATAATTTAATTGTAGAGTAAAAAAAATGAATCTTACCTTTCGTCTAGCGAACCGTGCCAATGAGACATAAAGAAGTACACGCAATCAATGCCCATCCATCGCTCAAGTTTGCCTTGGATTTTGGAATGTCGCTGATTTCTGAGAAGATTAAGAGTCGCGTTAAAATTTACACAAGTCTTGAGGATGCGAAAAATCATAAAATGGACACGAGTTTACTGCCAAAAGAATATGGCGGTACAATGCCCATGAAAGAAATGATTGGTAATAAAATATAAATATAAAAATAATAATACATTTATAAAAAAAGACTGTACGCTAAATATTTCAATGTTAGCAAATATTAACAAAAAATATTACATTTTTGTCATATTGAAAATTAATTATTATTTATTAATAATTAATATTAATAATTAATATTAATTAATAAAATTAATTAATTAACCGGTCTTCTGTTCGCAGTTTGAATTTAGTTCATTTTATTTACTTTTTGTTTACTAAATAATTAATTTCTTTCAAGGAATTTAATAAAAATTGTACTGAAATTAATTAAATTCTTCTAAAGAATTTTATCAAAATTTTTAAATATAATTCTACTCTTTCAAAGAATTTTATAAATTTTATAATAAAATTCCTCCGATGAATTTTTGTAACTTGTTAAAATAATATAATTCTTAAAATAAATTTTATTAAAAATTTAAAATTTTTAAAAAGAATTTAATTGTTATCAAGAAATTTTTAAAATTGTAGATAAGAAATGAAATCTTTCAAAAAGAATTTTATTATTAATGACAATGATTCAATTCTTTCGAGAATTTTTATTTTATTTGAATTGAAAATAATTGAATTTCTCCTAAGAATTTCATATTTTATGAAAATAATTCAATTATTTCAAAAAATTTTATTAAAATTTTTAAAAAAAATTCAATTCTTATAAAGAAGTTTTTGAAATTGTTGATAAGAATTTAATTTTTTAATAAAATGATTCAATTCTTCCGAAAAATTTTATTTTAATTGAATTTCTCCAAAAAATTTTATTTTTAATGAAAATAATTAAATTATTTCAAAAAATTTCATTAAAATTTTTGAAAGAAATTGAATTCTTTTCATAGAATATCAAATTCTTAGGAGAAATTCAATTATTTAATAAAACTGATTCAATTCTTTCGAAAAATTTTATTTTAATTGAATTTCTCCAAAGAATTTTATTTCTATGAAAATAATCCAATTATTTAAAAAAATTTTAATAAAATTTTTGAAAAGAATAGAATTCTTATAAAGAAAAGTTTCTAAAATTGTTGATAAGAATTTAATTATTTAATAAAAATAATTAAATTATTCCTTCGAAAAATTTCATTTTAATTGAATTTCTCCTAAGAATTTTATTTTTTATGAAAATAACTCAATTATTTCAAAAAATTTTATTAAAATTTTTTAAAAGAATAGAATTCTTATAAAGAAGATTTTAAAATTGTTGATAAGAATTTAATTATTTAATAAAAATGATTCAATTCTTTCGAAACATTTCATTTTAATTGAATTTCTCCTAAGAATTTTATTTTTATGAAAATAATTCAATTCTTTAAAAAAATGTTATTAAAATTTTATTGCAAATAATTAAATTCCTCAAAAAAGAATTTTATAATTTATGAAAATAATTCAATTCCTAAAACAATTTTGAACAAAATTTTTGTAAATATTTTAATTCTTTCGAGAAATTTTACTTAAAATTGTACCTATTGAAAATAATTTTATTTTGCAAAGAATTATTTTATAACTTATGAAAATAATTTAATTCTCTCGAGAAAATTAAATTTTTATGAAGAATTTTATTAAAATTGTTGATAAGAATTTCATTCTTTAGTGCAGAATTTTTTGAAAATCTCTGTATAAATAATAAAATTTTGACGAATTTGACGAATTTCAAATTAAAATTCTTCTCAACAAATCAATTGTTTATGAAAATAATTGAATTCTTGAGAAGAATTTTATTATTTACAAAAATAATTGAATTCTGTGCAGGATTTTATTATTTACAAAAATAATTAAATTCTTGAGAAAAATTTCATTATTTACATAAAAAAAATAATTGAATTCTTCGCAGGATTTTATTTACTAAAATAATTAAATTCTTGCGAAGACTTCTATTATTTCCTAATAAAAATATATTTAATATAAAAAAAATTTGTTTAATTTTCATCAAAATAATAAAAAAATAAATACCTCGTTTCGCGGCGTAACATTTACTAGCAAAATAAATGAATTAATGAAACGCAAATTTTGTGCAGATCTATGGCGAAAGGAATTACTCGCAATCCGGCCAACACTTCTTAATAATGATAAAATGCGAGTGCGTATGGAATTGTACTCGGAGAAGGCAAGAGAAGGTGCAGTTTCCGCATTGAAACAAGGAATGAATTGCTTCTCCGCATCGTCAAACAGTGATCCGACTATTCACGGAATCAGTGGCTCGTTCCGAAAATTAGAAGTAGATTAATATTTCTTTTTCTTGAAACAAAAAAGAAAAGAAGTGTAATTAAAAGTATAGATCTATTTTTTTGATCAAATCATCTTTTTTGATACTGACAATCACGATCCACTTTTTTTTTACCGGTCAATTTCCGATCGATAAAAAACGAAAATTTGCAATTCAGGTCTTGATTATTCATCCCTTTATGTTAGAATAGGTGAATCACATTCTTCTGCACCATAATAGCACTATCTTCAATTTCACTGTCATCAACTTCTTTCCTTAAATTCTCATCAAAAAAAGTAAGATGAGAAATAGGAATAAAATCACTTATCTTCTTGTAAAATTATATATATAAATATAAGAAAATTCTATTCGCACCTTTGATAATCTTGTACAGTGTGTCTATCGGAATAAATATATTTTTAGATTAATAATCTTGATATTTTCATGACTTTATTTTCCTTCCTTCCTTCCTTCTCATTTTGTTAATCACTCAAAACTTGAAAATTAATCTACATGTATTTTTAAAGAACTATACAATTTTTTTTTTTATTTTTCATCATCATTCAGTGGAAAACTTTTTTCTCTTCTTCGTTTTTATAAAAAATACTTTTTTTTATAAATGCGTAAATTAATTAATAGTTTTACAATTAGAATTATAAATTATTTTTTCTCATCACTCTCCGATTCTGTCGTGTCCCATTCGTAATATTCAGGAATGGCAAACTTTTCCTCCACTGGTTTCGGTTGCAAATGTTCATTTGGTGTTTTCACAATATTTGTTTCTAGTGTTTCAATAATTGATTCCTCATTTTGTTCTTGTGAACTTGATGATGAATTTGTTGACGACGCTGGTGAACTCGATGATGAGGAGTTTGATTTTTCCTTAACGTTGGCAACATCATAGTCCCATTTTGATTCGATTTCTTTAGAATTTGATTTTGTATCTTTCGTGTTGTCTTCATTTGTATCGGAATTGTGGGAACGTTTCGTTTTCTTTCGTGAACTGCGATGTTCCTTTGATCTGTCTCGTTCGTGGCTTCGTTTTCTATGTCGGCTGCGATCGTTTCGCGAACGACGAGATTTACCACTGGAATATTTTCGACGTCTGTGTCTTGAATCACCATTTCCATTTCTATGCTCATCTTCGTAGCGACTTGAACGTCTGTTGGAATTTTTATAATGTTTCGAGTAATATTCCTCTTCTGATGTGTCATCATAGTCGCGATTCATTTTATTATCATTGTGATGATTGCGAAATCTACTGGAAGACGGATAATTGTTACGCTTTGAATTTTGATAACGATCGTCGGAATAACGACGACGACGATCGCCGTCCTTACGATCTGGCTCTGGATCCGGTGAATCCCATCTCCAGTTCCGACTATTGTTATCCATATCGCCACGCACCGAATCATCCCAATTATTTCCTTTATTTCTGTAAAAGAAAAACGAAAATTCCCTTTTTTTAAAATATTTATTAGAATCATTTTATTTGATTCTTCATTTTAGTCGTTTAAATTAAAATAGAAATAAAATAAATAAAAATGTATTTCTATCTTTATTTAAACGACTAAAATTTATTCTCTTTTTATTTTTTATAATAAAAAGAGATTTAATTTTTTTATTAAATTCAAAGATTTTCAAAACATTAATTTAAAAATTGAAAACATTTTAAAAAGAAAAATTATTTTCTTAATTATTAATGATCGAAATACAACAATTATTAACATCGATTTATAATTACCTGCTTTCGCTTCTTCGACTGCTTTCGTCGAGCCTCTTGACCCATCTCGGTGGACTCTTAACGTCATATTCATTATTGGGATTTCTAAAGACATGCAAAAAATTGCAAAATCGTCCTTTCGGGCAACGAGCCATTCCACAAATTGCCGTCCTCCATGATTTTATTCCAGTGAATTCACAATGAATTTGTCGTCTCGCAAACCATCGTCCTTTTAGTTTTCGAACCGCTCTAACAAAAAACCACCAGACAATTATTTTTAAATTTAAAAATTCTTTAACAATTTTATTCAACTTGATTAAAAAGTTTTCTACTAATTCTACATGTATGAATTTTAAATTTATTCACCTCGCAGCGTCACGTTCAGTATAATATTCCACATAAAGATTGCCACGTAAATGCGCTTCCGAATTACGACAGAATTTCAATGTTTTAATTTTACCAAAACTTTCAAGTTCAGGAACAACGTCCTTGTAGAATTCCTCAAAATGTTGTCGCAATTCTGCACGATCAACATCAAGAAATGAATCATTATCACCATCAGCTGGATTATTTTCCAATGAATAATGAGAATAAAATCCGGGAATTAATATCACCTTACTGAGACCAACTTTTTGATGATTTCTTGAGCAAACGTCGCCGTATCTTAAATTGGGAAATGTAAAATTAGTAAACTAGTGAAATAAATCAAAACTAAAAGCAAAAGTATTAATCCAAAAAGATTTACACGGAGAAATAAATTTAAAATATATTTAAAGTATAATCAAGAGAAAAATAAAAGTTTACTATCGTCGAAGAAATATTTTACCTGCACGATCCAGTTTTCGTGAAGAATTGACATATTTCCGCATTTTTCGATTGCGTTTCTGTAATCGTACGAAGAAATTCAGGAGTCTTCGCTCCATTATCAATGTAATCATTTATTTGCTTTTGTATTTCCTCCTGTCTTTCAAGTTCCTTTTCTATTCGACGTTTCTCCTCCTCCACTTTTCGCCGTTGCGCCTCTTGCTTCGTCTCGTACTCCTTTCGAATCATCTCTTCTTGTTCTAATTGCGCTTGTCGTGCTTTTTCTCTTCGTTCTTGCAGAGCTCTCCATTCCTCCTGAGCCCTTAACTATAAAAAGAAAAAAAAGATTAGAAACCTATAAATTTAATTAACCGTATAAAACAGAAAAACTAATCACAAAACTATTTATAATTTTATTTTTTTGACAAAGCTTTATTTCACAACTTGACTCAGTGTATCAAAAAATAACTTAATATTAAAAGAAAATATCTTTTTAAAAACAAGTGTAAAAATTAAATTATTTATTTGAAAAAATTAATGTAAATTTTAATATAAATGTTAATGTTCATATAAATGTAAATATAAATATAAATGTAAATGTAAATGTAAATGTAAATACAAATGTAAATGTTAATGTTAATATTAATGCAAAGTATGAATATAGAAAAGACGAAAAATGTTTCGTGGAGCAAAACGTTTTTGATTTAAGAAAAAAATTACCATAATGGCACAAAAATCTCTTCGAATCAAGAAAAAAATTATTTACAAAAATTCTATCATTGTTGAAGAATTTCACAGATAAGATAAGTTTTTAAAAAAAAATATATAAAAAGTATTACAGTTTATATAAAAATGAAAAAAAAAATCCGAACAAGAAAAAGAAGACAATTTTTTCACAAATACTCGAAATAATTAACTTATATTATTGACTGAGGTCATCCACCTTTAGATACTTCTTTATAGCTTTACTCTCTTAATTTAAACTCCATAAACCACCAGTTATTTAAAATGCAAAATAAAAAGTTAATAAAAATAAATTACCAGTTTAATAAATAAATTTAAAAAAACAATAAATAAAAAAACAAAATAAAAAGGTAATAAAAATAAATTAACAGTTTAATAAATAATCAATTTAAAAAAAACAAAAACAAAATAAAAAGGTGATAAAAAGAAATATTACCAGTTTAATAAACAAACAATTTAAAAAATTACCAATTTAATAAATTATCATGTTAATAAATTACCAATTGTAATAAATTATCATTTTAATAAATTACAAATTGTAATAAATTATCATTTTAATAAATTACCAATTGTAATAAATAATAATTTTAATAAATTAGCAATTAACAAAACGAAAACTTGCGCCGGAAAAAAATAAAATGAAGATACTCTCCGAATAAAAAAAAGGTTATAAACTATCAGGAATTTCTTCTTTTTCCTTTTTCCTATTTCTCAGAAAAGAATTTTACAAACGTGAATTCACATTTCATAAAAAAAAACTTACAATAAAATAATCCGGTGGTTTTGGTGCACATACTGTATCACTAGTTGAAATCATAATTAAAAAATTTTCTGCGACTTCATACACGTGTTGTGTTTACGAGTTCACAAACAAATGAATAAATACATTACTATATTAACAATTTTCGAAATAAATGACTACATTTCACGTATTGTTTAAACAAAATACTAAATATTATCAATTTTTATAAATAAAAAAGGACTAAATTTGAATTTTTTTTTTGTTTTTTTCTTTCCACAAGTGGAATAATAGAAGAAATAGAATAATTTCAAATATTGAAATTAATTTAAGTAAAGGGAAATAAGAAAAAAAAGAAAAAAACTTTGAAAAATTCTGCAAAACTTTCTAGAGTACTGTGTTTAGTTGACAGTTGTGTAAACTTGAATAAACCTCGCTGTGTAATAATCAGAGGAGAGTGATGGTTTTGTTATAATCAATAAAATACTATACAATGCTCTCTTATATCCACATTTACAGAAGGTCTTATAGATTCTAACAATTATTCAAAAGTCCTATAGACTCTATGTTCCTGTAGGTCAATTGCCTCACGGTTTGTTGAATTTTTTATAAATCTAACACTTCCAGGAGTTCAAGAGCCAAGGTGTGTTATACGTAATTGAACAATAAAATTATTTTTTATAACGAGGTTGTTAATTGTATATTAAGAACGATAATAAATCTTATTTTTATTATCAGTAATGATTAGTATTGGTAAAATTAGTTTTATAGTTAATAATATAGTAAATATTGTAGTAAATATTATAGTTAATATTAAAGTTAATATTAAAGTTAATAATATAGTTAATATTAAAGTTAATATTATAGTTAATTACGAATTAGGTGAATATAAAAATGTACTAAAAGACGAAAAAATTGTTTTTCTCTCACCTCCTTCTCCCACCACTCATGCTCCCCTTGAATTCTTTCCTGTTCCTCGACAATTTCCTTTTGTTTTTCTTCCTCCTCTTGTTCTTTAATCCAGTTTGAATATTCCGCGGTTTTTTCAAGTGCCGCCCTCAAACGTTCAGCGTCTGCGTCACGTTCCTCTGCTGCTCTACGACGAAGACGTCTTCGTCGTTCCTTTTTTACTCTTCGTCTCCATTCTTTATGACTCGGTTTTTTTCCACTAGCATTAACACTAATATCCATAACTAAACATATCAACCACAAAATATCTCTTCACGATTCCCTTTAATTGACAGATATGTTCATTCTGCCAATTACCTGCCTTACTCTCGCACTGTTCGCACTCGACTACACGTGTTTTCCAACTAACCGCCATATTAATAAAAACTACTTTATTGAGAAATTTTCCCAATTTTTCAACTCTCTTTTTTAACAAATACACAATCATAAAGTCAGGGTAAAAAACACTTTTTAATCAATTTCGTACTTGCTACGAATACCGGAATTATTTTACACGTTTTACACACAGAAAAAAAGATTGTCATTGTTGGATTTTTAACAATGTAACTATCGCTATCAAAGGGGAAAAATATACAAAAAGCGCGAATATTTAGAGAATCTAAACATTTTTGTAAGAGTAATGTATTTAATTAAGAAAAAACATTACCTCTTGTGTATTGTATCACTGGGAAGTAATTATTTCGGTGACTGAATGTAAAACAATAAAAACTTGAATAAAACTTGTGAAACGTTAATAGAACGTTTACTTACTTGAATAAAACGATATTCAATAATATTCAATTCAATTCAATATTAATTATAACAAAAAACACGAAAAACTATCAGAAAGATGCGAGGGAAGATTTAGTTAAGCTGAGTTCATAGAGGGGCGGATAAAGAAAAGTCCATTCTCAATTATGCACCAATCAAAAAAAACTTACCTTAAAGTCCCATTCACAGTGTGCGCCTCAAGTGTCCAAACATGTGACGTAAAAACTAACCTAAAAATCAAAACATGTCACATGTGCGTTATTTACTCACAAAAAAATAAAATATTTATAATGTAAATTACAAATATGTAAATAATATAAAATATTACTTTAAAGATCAATAAAGTCTTATTTTAATAAACTCAAGTGTTAAAAGCAGCTCTCTAAATTCATATTGTTTTGTTTTCCGAATGTTTTTTTTTAAATTGGAAAAAAGACAATGAGCGCCAAGGATTTTTACGAAATTCTCGGATGCTCCGAAAAAGCGACTTACGAGGATTTAAAGAGTGCTTTTCACAAATTAATATTGAAATCTCACCCTGATAAAGTGCACGACTCGAATAAGGATGCCGACGACTTTCATGAAATTCAAGAAGCGTGGACCATTCTCAGTAAACCTGAGAGCAGAAAACTTTATGATGCCGAACGTAAACAAGCGAAATTAGAAGAGGAAAGTATTGTCGTCCTTGCAAGAATTACTTCCGACGAACTCTATCCCAAGGATGAAAAATTCGCCTATCAATGTCGATGTGGCAGTGAATATATCATTGACAATGAGGACTTGAAAAATAACGAACAATTTTACGTCGCTTGCGACGAATGCACATTTTACATTCTAGTTCAAGTCAACAAAAATTCTCTAAATCTCTCCTCTTCCGCTTCATTCGGAACTTGATTGTAAACTGCAAAAAAAAAATCAATTTCGATATATGAAAATAAAACCGTTATATTTTACATAAATTTTGTTTTTAAATTTTAACCTAAAATACAAAAAATAAATTACGTAAAAGTATTTATAATAAATAAAAGTATTTAAGAGTATTTTTAAATATTTCAGGGTGGTCACAAGTTTCAGATTATGAATTTCCCTGAAAATTTACTGACATTAAAATTATTCTTTTTGCAGGAAAATATGAAAGTTTACGGAAAATGAATAAAATTTATGAATTTTAATTTTTTTCATGTAATTTCCCTGATTTCACTGACATGTGGCCACTCTGTATTTGGATAATTTTCCTTCTGTATTATTCAATTTCTATGGGATTCACATTAATTAATATTAACTGTATTGAAATTTATTTTCTATAAAAAGTTTTTTTATTCGTTTTTCATTAAACGGTTATTTTCGCCTGAATAATTGCATAAGAAATAAATGCGAGTGCAAAATGCAGCAACATTTTCTATTTCTTATAAAAAATGATACAACAGATAACACATTATTATAATTATAAACTATTGAGCAATATACAAATAAAACACGGTCCAACCATGTGACATGGATCCAGTAATAAAAGAAGCGTTCGCACGAACTGCATTTTCCAAAATATATATAATAAATAAATAACTTAATTTACCCGGTAAATATACTAAATTATTTTTTTTTCAATTCTAATTTCCATCGAGTTTAATTAATTACTTCATTTTTGTATTATTTTGTTAGTCGAATGGCAATTCGTGACAGTATTGCACAAAAATAATTAAAATTTCACAACTTTCATTACTGGACCATGGCGAAACCAGACTTATTATTTTTTCACAGATGTTTCCTAAAAACGTCGTTTTTCTTTTAATGCAAAAAACCCTTTTTTTCTCAGCTTTGTGAATAAATCGATCACTGATATTGACTCAAAAGGTTCATAGTTTTGCATTATTATTTTTTACATTACAAAATCATTTTCATTTGCATTCGATTCCTAATTGTTACGATATGAGTTTATAAATAAGAGGCAAATGATTTTTTTTCTAATCCCATGTCACACCTGCAGACATTTAAAAATAAAAAGAAAAAGTTTATAATAAACAGACTTTTTTTTCAGGCTAAACAGTCTTTTTTTTTATTTTTTAAATATAAAGATGGAAGAGTAGCCTGATTTTTTTTTTGACACCACTGACTGTTGTTTTCTTTTTAAAAAAAAGTAATAAAAGTCCTTTCATTCGAAATATCTATTTGATGTTCTATAAAATTCTAAAATTTTAAATTTTTAACACACATATTCTGTCTGCAAGTCAATCATGAGATTATTTTAATTAATTATTAATCGAATGGATGATTCATTCATTCAGATGAAAAAGAAATTTTTTTTCATATATACAATTTACGTTAAATATAAATAGAAAATGTATGTATGAAAAAAAAAATGTGCGTTCTTCTAAATCATTCGTTACTATTTTTTTTCATTTACTCAGAAAGCACTTATTAAATAAAAAATAACAATTTTCATCGTAAAACGATGACGAACAGTTAAATTGTTAATAAATATTAACTAGATTTAATCAAAATGGTAAAGTAAAAACAGTGTAACTATTCCACACGTGTGACATGTTTTTCTCAAACGTAAGTTACACCTTTGTCCATTTTAATATCATTTCGCCTACCTCGGTACTTTTTCAATTTTGTATTAAAAAAAAAAAATATCTTTACTGTGAAGGCAGTTATTATTTTTTCATGAAAATTTTATATTCTATTTTTTCAAACGAAAATATTCTTTTCCCGAGACACAATTAACTAAATATACATTAAACGCAATGTATTTACGATTATTAGAACATTAATTATCAAAATTTTGCATTCAACTGAAAAATATGAGCGTGAAAAATTACTGCTCTTATTATCAGAGGAATAAATCAGAATAATTTCAAATTTCAATTTATAAACCGAACTGACAGACAAATATTAATTACTTTCTTTTAACTAAACGTAACAGCCGAACGAACAATTTGGACGAATGTCCTGTCAGTATAATTTTCTTCAAAATACTATATGAAAATTTAAAAAAAATATTAAATATTCACTTTTCTGAATAAAAAAATATCTTCAAAAAATACGTGAAATAAATTTTTTCCTATTTACAAATATTTGTTTAATTAATTTAAGAAGATTCGATAACAGAAATTAGTTTTTAAACTAAAAGTGAAAGGGAAAAATAATTCAAAATAAGTAGAAATGATTCTAAAATAATAGTTTTTTCAAAGGCTCATTTTCCCTTTTGCACATTATTTTTAGTTTGAATTTGAAATTACTCGAAACTTCTTAAGAACGAATTAAACAACGAATCAAAAAGTTAGTCCAATATAAAAAAGAAAAGTTTTCAAACTTTGTTAATTAGCAAACTTTTGTTTTTAACAAATTGAAAGTTACATTTAGAAACGTAAACTTTAGTCTTCATAAGAGAAGAAAAGTAATAAAAAATAGAATAAAAATTCTTTTACACTTTTTTGACTAAATAATTCTTATAGAAGAAAATTGAAACTAACTTTTTGTCTCTTAAAATCAATCCGAATTTCGATTGAATCGATTTTCACAAGACTGAATTTTCCTAGCGCCCAATTATTACCTACTATTTATTATTAATATTATTATTACTATTACTATTATTATTATTGTTATTATTATTATTAGTATTTTATATAATTTATATTTTTTCCGAATTTTTATATGGCAGATTTTGTCAATTGTCGAATTTCCATTTAATATATTATCTAAAATTTATTTAAATGGAAATTCAATTCAACAAATTCAATTCAAAGTTCAATAAAATTCGATCCAATGGAAATTCGGATTAAAAAAATTTCACAAAAATACCCCCTGCCTTCTCCCTTTCAATTATCAAATGACCAAGTAGACTTTGCGTTAGTTTTGACACCAAGTCGATTTATTTTTTGTAATTTTGAAGTTCGTCTGAAGAAAAAAAAAATTGAAAAAGAGTCAAAACTACTGCAAAGTCTGTGTGGTAAATATAAACAATTAAAATTTCCGCATAAACCTTCAGTACAATTTATATATAAAAAAAAAACAAAAACTTGCCTGGATTTATATCGCCATTATCGTTCTCGATATAAAGCAATAATGAACCTTGTAAGTTCCGAACTCCTCTCATTAACTTCGAGTCTTTTGAGTCTCATATTTTTTTTTCCTCTCTTTCTTCTGTACACTGCGATAGGTACATTTCACATTTTGTTGTTTGCTTTTTTCAATTCGGTAAAATTAATCTCCATCTGCGTCACAAAAAGACACAAGGATGATTAAACGACTATTTCCAAATGCCGCTTACCTTGCATTTCCGGATTTTTCATGTGCAGTCTTATCACAATCACACCACTTAATACATGAAAAACATTGTACAGTAGATTGGTTAAGCTACCTAGTATTTTTTAAAATTATTTACAAAAGTCACGTAGCGAATTTAGATTTTTGTTTTGTGTTTTCTCTCACCCTCAAAAACTTATTTCACTTCCACGTCAAAATCGAGAACAAGAAGTTTTGTCTCCTCAGTTCCATTACGACTGCCAACAGCACACACGAGTTTTGTATCACTCGCTCGAATTCGCCACACCACACCACCGCTTCCGCCGCTCTCTAATGCTACGAGATTCCTTATGAAATCACCTGCGAAAAAAAGAAAAGAATTTGTAATTTCCAACATTTTAAGAAAAAAAATAAAATTTTTAGGAGCTAACGAATGTGAATGTATAAATTCTGGGGTTGACAAAAAAATTTAATTTTCTTTTTCCCCAATTGCCAGAAAGAATTTTGAATTTTTAACACAGACCCATATAAAAAAATTCTAAAAGACTTCATTTAGATTTAGAGTTTAACTAAAAAGATAATTTTTAAAAGCAAAAATTCGATTTAAAACTTTAATGATGTTTACCTTAAAATACTTGATTAATGCAAAAAAATTTTAATAAAATCCAATTACTTTTAGAAATTAAAATAAAGTTCTTAAATAATTGAATTGAATTCTTTAAACATTCAACTTTTTACAACATTTCAATAAAATTCCTTAAAAATTAAAGTATTATCACAATCTTCAATTACATTTATGTATCAAATTAAATTATTATCAGAATATTTCAATAAAATTCTGTAAAAAATTAAATTAATTTCAACAATTTCAACAAAAATTAATTAACGACTACAATTTAATTTTAAAAAATTCATTAATCATTCATTAAGTTCATTAATCATTCAATTCTTTTCAGAAATTTCAATGAAATTCTTTGAACGTTCAATTATTTTAAAAACTGTTAATAAAGTTCTTAAGAAATTCAATTATTATCAAAATTGTTCAAGAAATTTATATAAAAAGTTAAATTGATTTTTAAAATTTTTAATTAAATTCTTAAAAAACTCATTTAATTTCTAAAGTTTCAATAAAATTTTTTAAATAATTCAATTCCTTTCAGAAATTTCGTTAAAATTCTTTTAACACAGAATAATTTTCAAAATTTTCCATGCAAAATTCTTAAAAATATCTAAAAAATGTATTAATGAATTGTTTACTTAATTTACAATTTTCATCTTTTTCTAAAAAAACAGGTCAAAAATATGAAATAAGCTATTTTTGCCAAACTTCAAAGCCAAAAATCATTACAAAGACCACGCTGAATTTCCAAAATTTAGTGATACAGAAAAGGAAGAAAATAGTTTGAATTTTCGGAAATGCCCACAATTTACATCTTTTTCAAAAAAACGGGACAAAAATTCTCGAATAACTTTTTATTTGAGAATTTAATTATTGAAAAAAATCTAATTATCCACATTAATAAGAGTAATATAAAGATATTGTTTTTAAAATTCATTGTGATTGAAAAGTTTTTAAGATGGAAAAAAATGCATGGAGAATACACGATTTTAAAATTATTCGAAAATATCTTTAAACACCAAAAACTAGCATTTTACCAATAATTCCAGAAATTTTGATATTTTTCCAAGTTATCTGATAAAATTCCCTGACAATTTACGGAATTCTTCAAACTGATTTTCTCTGATTTTACTGATCTAAATGGCAATTCTGTTCTTTATAAATATATTTACTAACAAATATTTATGTTTAATTAGAAAAAAAGGCACTAACCAGTTTTAACATCCCACAGTTTAACAGTTCCGTCGTCGGAGGACGTTATCACGAAATGACTATTAAACTGAAGACATGTGACTGCTGACTGGTGTTTATTTGGACCGGAAAGCGTTTGTAGGCAGTGACCGCTGACAATGTCCCAAACTTTGACTGTTGAGTCCGCATTACCTGAGACAAGAATATTGTGACGTAATTCCATACCGGAAGTGAGGGATTGATGACCCATTAATGTATGTCTACATGCACCGGTCTCAACCTCCCAAACTCGAATGCTCGTATCAAGAGAACCGCTCACAACATGGACACCATCAAACTGAAAAAAAATTACATTATTATTCACCAATTTTTACCAAAATCCATTGAGATCAAAAACAGGGACAAAAAACTTGCGAGCAAAAAGAAATTGAGACAACAAAGTAGAGACTAAAAAGAAACTGAGATAAAAAAATAGAGACTAAAAAGAAATTGAGACAAAAAAATAGAGACTAAAAAGAAATTGAGATAAAAAAATTAGAGACTAAAAAAATTGAGACTGAAAAAAAAATTAAAAAAAGGTAGAGACTAAAAAGAAATTGAGACAAAAAAAATAGGGATTAAAAAGAAATTGAGACAAAAGGGTAGAGACTAAAAAGAAATTAAGACAAATATTGAGATTTAAAAGGAATTGAGACAAAAGGGCAGAGACGAAAAAAAAATTGAGATAAAAAATAGAGACTAAAAAGTATTTTTGAAAATTTTTGAAAATAATTGAAAAAAAGTTTAAAATATTTTTAAAAATTACCTGAAGCGAGTAAACACGATTCGTGTGTCCCTGGAGAGTATGAAGGCACTCTTCTCGTTCTGGATTCCAGACCTTGACCATGTAATCGTAAGCCCCGCTAACGACTAGTTTACCGTCGTATTGCACACATCTGACAGCCGCCAAATGTCCCACTAGCACGTGTAGACATTCGCCTGTATCGACTTTCCATACTCGTAAAGTTGCGTCCCTACTGCCGCTGACAACTTTATTCCCATGCAGATGCATACATCTCACTGTCGATGTATGTCCATACAACGTATGTATACAACATCCAGAATCAGCGTTCCATACTTTTAATGTTCGATCCGTACTGCCGCTGATGACCGTCGCTCCCGACATTTGTGACGACCAAACACCGCCCGTGTGTCCAACCAATGTTCGCAGACACTTCACAAATTAAAAAAGAAAAAAAGTATAGATAAATGTATAAATAATAAAATAATCATACAATAAAATGTATAAAATAATAATTATGCACTCGATATGAAAATATATAGTAAAGTAAAGAAAAATAAAAACAGGCTTCTCGCATTCGTCAATTAATTACAGCAGGGCTCGAATTTGTGAAAGTATTCAAAAATACGGACTTTACGGACCAATTACTGGCAAAAATATAATCAGTCCGAGTCAAATAAGAGAACATTTTACTTAAAACTACAAATTAAATTTTTTCATAACTATAAAACATGAAGTTATCGATCACTCCGAGTCTTCGACTCGGAGTGATCAATTTCTTCATGTTTTATAATAATTGAAGATGGCAAATTGATAAAATCATTATTTTATATTATAAGAATATTGTTACTGTAACTTCAACAAAATTATTTTCATCATTTCAATTCAATTATTATTTTCAAGAATTTTTAACTAAAATTCTTCTTTAAATCAATTAATTTTCGAAAAAATTCTCTGACAATTTTCAAATTCATTTTGTTTACAATATTTAATTTAACGAATTTCAATTATTCGTAAATTCTTCAATTAAATGTGTATTAGAAAATAATATAAAAAAATTCAATTATACTTTTACAAAAAAATTTTAAAATTCAACTATTTCTAAAAATTCACGCTATATTGCTTTTATTCAATTATTATCTAAAATTTTAACTGAAATTCATTTTTAAATCAATTCATATTAGAAAATTTTACTAGAATTAAATTATTTAAATACGAAAATAAATAATTTATTGAATAATTGAATGTTTTTAAAAATTCAATTCACATAAAGAATTTTATTAACAAATTTTTAAATAATTGAATTCTTTCGACTAATTTTAATAAAATTCTTAAGAATAATTACATTTTTCGAGGAATTCAATTAAAATTGTATTAAAAATAATTGAAATTCTGCGATGAGTTTTATTGTTTCTGAAAGTAATTGAATTCCTATGAAGGATTTTATTATTTTTAAACATAATTGAATTTCTGCAAAGGATTTTATTACTCTCCAAAACAATTGAATTTCTGCAATAATTTGGAACTTCTTCAAAATTAAATTTTTTTTAGTGTTTTCAACTACAATTTTTCTATAAATCCATTATTTTTAATCATTTTTGAAAACATTTTTTAAGAATTTTCAAATTCAATTTGTTTTTAACTGAAATTCATTTTTAAATAAGTTTATATTAGAAAATTCTACTAGAATTCAATTATTGAAATACAAAAAAAATAATTTATTGAATATTTGCCTGTTTCTTAAAATTGAATTCTCATAAAGAATTTCATCAAAAAATTTTTAAATAATTAAATTTGTTTGAAGAATTTTAATAAAATTTTTAATAATAATTACATTTGTCGAGGAATTCAATTAAAATTTTATTAAAAATAATTAAAATTCTGCATAGAATTTTATTAAAATTTTTGAAAATAATTGAATTTCGGAAAAGAATTTAATTATTTTTAAAAATAATTGAAATTTTGACTAGAATTTAAAAAAAAACTTTTGAACTTAATTGATTTTTTGCGAAGAATTTTATTACTTTGAAAAATAACTGAATTTCTGCAATCATTTGTAGGTACCAAGAAATTTTATTAAAATTGTATTGAATTCCTTCAAAGAATTTATGACTTATGAAAATAGTTCAATTCTGCGACAAATTTTATTAAAATTTTTGAAAATAATTGAATTCTTGCAAAGAGTTTTATTACAAATTTTTGAAAATAATTATAAATAACTAACTAGTATAAAGTTGATACATATTTAAAATCTACGTAATAAAAATAATAATAAATTCAATACCGCATTTCGCGCTCTGGCGCGCGTAACATTTATTGGTAAATTAATAATTTTTAAAAATAAATATTTAAATATTATTATGTTTTTACAATAATTAAAATTCTCAAAGATTTTAATTAAAAATGCTTTTAAAATTTAATTATTTTTAAAAATTTCAGGTATGTTCTATCTTTATTACTATGTATAAAGCTTCTCATATTCAATTGTTTTATAAAATTTTAACACAAATACTTTTCAAGTCAATTCTTTTCAGAAAATTTTATGAAAATTTAATTATGTAAATAAAAAAAATTTTTTTAAAAATTGATTATTTTTAAAAATTTCAACTGTAACTCTAATTTATGATATTTAAAAATTTTTTAATATGAGAAAGAAAATTTAAGGACAATTAAGATTTTCAATAATTTGATATTTTTCTACTACTTTGGGTAAAATTTCCTTATTTCTCTTATTTTCCTGTCTTGTAAGAACCTTGTTATTGTCAAAATTGATAAAAACGTAAAAAAATTTCTAATCAAAAATAATTTTACAGGCTAGGAATCACATCAAGTATAGTTTTTGTTCTAATAGAACGAAAGGAGCAATTATTTTTCCAAAAAAGAGCTAAAAAATTAATTAATGTATTGTAATTTTAATCAATTGTAGTTCTTAATTATATTTATTTATTGTTGTAAATAAATAAACACTTAAAATTTTAATAATTTGAAATTTGAGTCGACTAAGAATACATTAAATTAATTTGGGTTAATAAAGTTACATTTAGTAACAAATTTTTATATATTAATGAAACAAAGTGAATTAGTGATTTCTGAATTTATGATCATTTTGGAGAAAATAAATATTAACTTCATTTCAACTACTAGCGGGTTTAGTAGTAAAAATTCTCGAAAAAAAAGAAAAAGCGTATCTTTTAGTGTCACGAATCTAAAAAAGTATTCAAATAACAAGTAGCAAATCGTAAAAAAGTAGTAGATAGTAGATTTTTACTAGATGAGTGCAAAGTCCGTAAAAATAATTTTCCAAATAATAAATATTAAATTAACCAAAAACTACTTGAAAATATTTTACGATACCTTTCCAGTGATGGCGGACCACACTTTAAGCGTATTGTCATCCGATCCACTGACTATTCTATTCCCAGAGAATTGTAAGCAAGTAATGACATGATCGTCGTGGCCCTTGAGAACTTTTGGTGGACGGATTGGTTTCGTTCGCCAATTCATTTTAATATTGTGCTGCCTCATATACGCCTGCTTCCATGGTGACGAACTATTACCACCCGATGTACGTCCATTTTTTCTCTTCGACGATGGCGATTCTTTAAGATCATCAATGCCGGCCGCTCGACATTTATCCTTCCAAAGTAAATTGTCATCGGCAAGAAAACGCCAACTGCGACATGTTTGCGCCGCACGCAATAAATCCCTCGGCTCAAGAAATGCCAATACCGATAATGCTAATTCCCTTGGCAATAATGAAATAAAATCACGTTGAAATTGTGGTTCAATCACTTGCATCATGTGACGCACTTGCGTTGGTTCACATCTCTCTATTAATTCATCAATTGCCAACATTCTCTCTGCATTTGACCACCTCTGCGAGAGAAAATAAAATTATTAACTAAATTTCTATAAATATTACAATCAAAATTAGAAAATGTTACGCGCGTGAAACATGGGGCTCGATTTTTTATTATTATTATTATTATGCAAATTGCAAAACTTTTTATTTTCAAATATAAACTTCAATTTTTGAATAATTGCAGAATCAAAATTTAAAAAATTCACTTCTTAAATACATAATTATTTTCAAAAATTATAGTAAAATTCATTGCAAGAATTCATTTATTTTCATAAATAATTAATAATTATATTCTTCGGAAGAATTTAATTCTTCGCAGAAATTCAATTTCTGCCTTGGATCCAATAACTCGCCCGACGCTTGGAGGAACGCGCAACTGCCAGTCCATGCCAGTCAGTGAGCAGTGAGCGCCTCTGGGCCATTCACTGCTACCCGACTGGTATTAGCGCGTGCCTTCGAGCGTCGGGCGAGTTATTGAATCCAAGGCCTCAATTATAATGAAATTTCACAAAAGGATTCAATTATTTTTTTAAATTTGTAATAAAATTCCATAGAACAATTCAATTATTATCTAAAATTTTACTAAATTCTTAGAAACAATTAAATTATTTTTATAAATAATAAAATTCTTCTCAGGAATTCTATAATTTTTAATACAATTTTAATAAAATTCAATAATCAAATTTTTAATTATAATTATGAACAGACAAGATTTTTTTTTAAAAACTGAAAATATTCTTTGTTTAACAAAAACTTTAATAAAATTATTTAATAGAATTTAAAGTTCTCTTAATAATTTTAACAAAATTTTATAGTAAAATTATTAAATACAATTATTAACAAAATCGATTATATTCAAAAAATTAAAAAAAATGTTGAATGAATTCAATTATTTTCTAAAATTTTAATAAATTCTTCAATGAAATAATTCAATTATTTTCACAAATAGTAAAATTCTTAGTAAAAATTCAATTATTTTCAAAAATTTTAATAAAATTCTTATAATTTCAATTACTTTTAATTCAATTTTAATAAAATTCAATAATCAAATTTATAATTATAATTATTAACAGAAACGATTATTTTAAAAAGTGTAAAAAAAATTCTTTAATTCAATTATTTTCAATATTGTCAATTAAAAAAAATTATTAAAAAAAACATTATTTTCAAAAAACTTAAAGAAATTCTTCAAAAGAATTTAATTATTTACAAAAATTTTAATAAAATTATTTATTAGAATTTGATTTTCTATTAATAATTTTAATAAAATTTTACAGTAAAATTATTAAATACAATTAAACAAAATCGATTATATTCAAAAAATTAAAAAATTAGTTTGAAAGAATTCAATTATTTTTATAAATATGTAGTATAATTGTTTGCAAGAATTCAATTATATTTTAAAATTTTAATAAATTCTTCAATGAAACAATTTAATTTATTTTTACAAATAGTAAAATTCTTAGTAAAAATTCAATTATTTTCAAAAATTTTAATAAAATTCTTATAATTTCAATTATTTTTAATTCAATTTTAATAAAATTCAATAATCAAATTTATAATTATAATTATTGACAGACATGATTACATAAAAAATTGTAATCAAATTCTGAGAAGAATTTAATTATTTTTTAAAAATTTTAATAATGTTCAATAATCAAGTTTTTAATTTCAATTATTAACAAATACGATTGTTTTAAAAACTTGAAAGAAATTCTTCATGAAATTTAATTACTTTTAAATTATTCATTTAATATTATTAAAAAAAACTCCATTATTTAATAAAATACAAGGAAATTATTTAAAAGAATTTAATTAGGATTTTTAAAAATTTTAATAAAATTCTTTGTGAGAATTCAATCATTTTCATAAATAATAAAATTATTTGAAGGAATTAAATTATTTGCAAAACATTAATTTAAAATTTTAAATATTTAAAAAGAAAAATTATTAAAAAAGTCAGAAAACGAAGAAGCAAACTTACTTCAAACTGCGAACATTGATTATAATCAAAGACCGCGACTAAATTCTAAAGACTAAAATTAAAAACTAAATTCTATTCTATTCTATAAATATTATAAATAAAAATATAATATGAATATTTAAAGCCCGTTCCGTTGATTTTTGTAAATAAAAATAAATAAATATAATATAAATATAAATATTAATATTAAATTATAATAATAAATAATAAATATTAAATATTAAAAAATATATAATAAAGGAAATGTTTCACTTCTTTTGTAGAAATAACAAAAAAAAATTTCCCTTATCCATAAAGATAATTTTTTATACCTGAAATTGTAAAAGCCAATTACTCATTTCCGGCGGTGGATTATCTTTCGTGGGTATCAAGAATCTTACAGGTTTACCTTTATCATCTAATTTACGAGCAATTCTGCAAAAGAAAAAAAGAAATTTGTTGATTAAAATAAAAAAAATTATTATTCATTAATTTATTAATTTCTAAATATTAATTTATTATTTTAATTTAGAAATTAGATTAAATTAATAATTATTGATTATTAGTCATTAATTAGCGAAGATACTTACGCTATATGACACTTATCATCGGCACCGAGTTTTTTACAGGGTAAATTAGACTCTGCTTCGCTTTTTCGTTTTTTCTGTGGTTGCACAACGTCCAAAGGAACGCATGTGTGTAAAATTGGACTTTGAACTCGTTGTAAAGGGGGTTGTGATCGTAAAATAGGGGATTGACAGTCGCTCTCTTCGATTTCCTCATCGCACTCAGCATCACAAAACAGTCCTGTGTCACTAATCTGTAAACAAGATTTTTATTTATTATAATTTAATTAAAACAAAATGTTTATTAATTAAATTAATCGAAATAAATATATCCTTAAAATTCTCAACGAATTTTATTTACTTCCTCAAAGTAAAATTTAACTGCAACAATATTACGTCGAATATTTAAAAAAATAACTCAAAGCTTCCAAATGTTTATGTTTTGCTTTTCATAAGTCAATACTTTTGAAAAATATTACCATTGGCAGAAAATTTCGTTCGGTTAAACGAAACGTGGGTCGTAAATAAATAAAATTTAGATAATTTAGAAATAAAAGAAAGTAACGAAAAGAAAAGAAAAGTGAAGAAAATTCTAGAGAAAATGGAAACTGAATAGAAAAGTAATTACAAATTAAATAAAATAGAAAATTTCAGATTAAAATTGCGATTGAAATTGTAAATTTTAACTTTTCTGGGTGTAATTTTAATTTTTTAGAATTATAGAAAACTGCTAAAATTGAAATATGGAAAAGTATTTTTAGGTTAGGTTTAATTTACATAAATTAAAAATAAAAATAGATAAGGGTAATTAAAGATTGAATAAATTTTGTCTTCTAACACAAAAGCAAACAGAAATATTCAAGAGAAAATGGAAACTAAATAGAAAAGTTAGAAAAGAAGAGAAAAATTAGCACCAAATGGGAAATTTTAATTAAACTTGCGATTGTAATTGTAAATTTTAACTTTTCTGGATATCATTTCAATTTTTTAGAAGAAACTGCAAAAATTGAAATAGGCAAAAGTATTTTTAGGTTAGGTTTAGGTTAAATTTACATAAATTAAAAAGTAAAGATAAGAGTAATTAGAGATTGAATAAATTTTTATTTTCTAACCTCACTATCTTCCTCTGTACTCTCAGCTTCTGCTTCGTCTACCTCGTCGCCGTAATCTTCGGATTCACCATCTTGTGGCAGTGAACAATTTATTGGATCCAAAGTACTCGGTCCTGGAATTCCTTCAACGCCTTCGACAGGGCTTGGACTAGTTCCACCGGGTTTCTCTCGTGTTATTCCTTTCAACGACGATTGCGGGACAGACATTACTGACCTACGTTGATAATAATTATTATCATCAATTCTTTATAGAAAGAGAATGAAAACATTGTAAGAATAGATAGAAAGACAATAAAAACATTGTAAAAATAGAAAGAAAAAAAACATTGTAAGAATAGAAAGAGAATAAAATATAATTAAAATAATTAATAATTTTTTAATATTCTCAAAAAAAGCAAATAAAAAACACTAAAAAAAAAAAATTCTCCCACAATTATAAACATTTTTTCCCTTTATATTAATAAAAGTAAACAAAAAATAAAGTAAAAATGATTTTTTTCAAAAAGCTAGAATCCGGAAAAATATTTCTGCTTAATTAAAAACCATATAAGACAAAAATCGTTCACATGTATCATAATAATCACGAGAGAAATGCAAAAACAATAATAATAAAATACAAGGAAATAAAATATTTTCTTTATGAAATTTATACATAAAATTGCCTCGTGGTCTCAATTCTCGAAAATATCCACGTTTTTTTTCACTTCCCCACATTTCACGCATATGCAATATGAAGCATATTGAACATTGAAGCAATTGTATTTAAAAGCCGATTGTTATGATAAACAAAAAAAACAAACTGATGAAAAAATAGCCTCGAGCCAACAGAATGAGAACGAGTTCATTATTTTCCTTTCAAAAACTTTGAAAAGAAATATTTCAAAAATGGTCGAACAATTTCATGAGAAAGAGATTTTAAATACACATGTTGGATATACGTGAAGAGAAAAATTAAAAAAAAATATATATATATAATTATTACTGTAATCCTAACCTTGATAATGTAAATATGTTACACGAATATATTACAGATGAGCAGATATTTTTGACAAAATTAATATACTCTTTTCACACTCTATATCACCATTTCTTAATGTACATAATTTGAGGTTTCAATTTTCTCCCCAGGAGCTGGATAAGGAAAAAAAGAAGGTGTAAAAAAAAGAAAACTTACTTTGGCAGGTGATTTCTTTCTTTGCCGTCTTTCGATACACGGCTGACTGGAAGTGAAATTAAATTATTAAAGTCACATGCATGAACGAGGTTAGAACACAGGATAATTTTGTAAAAAAGTTAGAGCAGTGTGGTTCATAAAACAAAAACATGAGATAAATATAAACACAGACAAGGATCCATCCCGTAACTTGATTTTACAACACGCGTTCACACTTTGACCTTGTAGCAATAATTTTATCCGGAAGTGAGTTTTAAAACCGGAAAATCTCATTGGCCTGGAGTGGGTTTAAGTGTCATTCACAAGTTGCCTGCCTAGTGTGCCGAGCCAATGAAAACTGACATTAATGGAAGTTTGTCCATTGTTCGAATTATGATTCGCTGATAATTTCTCAGATTTAAAAACGAAGCGTTGTCATTGGTCCGAGAATTAATTTGTCCAAAAAGTCAAAATGATTCTTTTTCAAATTTTTCTTGTTTTTATATATTTTCATAAATAATAAAGAATAAAGAAAATAGAGTAAGATAAAATAATTTATCTTCTCTTTATAATATATTACTTTTCTGTAGAAAAATTAAATTAACAATTAAAATGGTATTTGAAATATTTAAATTCGACCAATGACGTTCATCGTTATAGAAATAAAGTTCAAAAATTCAAATAAACTTTTAAATAAGTAGTCGAATATTTTAATATAAAAGAAACAATCGAAATATCATAATTCGAAACAATTTACAATAAAATTAAACAATCAAGTACGGAAAGGATCCTTAAACAGACAAACTCTTTAAAAACTCGATTTTAAGTATATAAATATATTACACTTTCAGTTATAGTACACTTGTTGCGCAGTACGCAAAAATTTTCGAAATGAAAACAATAAAAATAAGAAGAAAGTCCTTTAAGATCAAAAACAAATTTCGATTTTTATTTAAAAGAGACAGTTTTGAAATAAAATACATATCAGAAAAAATAATTTTACATAAAAATATTTTTTCTCTAAACTTAAAAGAAAGGACCACGTAAAATAAATAAAAAAAATTCAAAGCTTCTTTAAAAATTAAAAAATTAGACAATTACAATTTTCAATGCCGGAGAAATTTGAAACAAAGACGAAATAGAAATAAAATATAAAATACATGGACTTTCTTTTCTTTTCTTTTTTTGTTTTCATTTACGTTGTCCGGTAAAACTTTTTTTTTCGCAGTACAAATTTAGAGTCCGCATAATGTAAAATTTTAAGAAGCAAGAGCTTACTTTCTAACATCTGTTATCTATTTTTTTTTTTAAAGCTGGCTTAAACTCTTGTATTTAAAATACAAGAGGCGGATTGTTTCGACATAATCAGACTGTTAATTTGCCATGTATTAAATTTTTCAATTGAACTTCTTTGCATTTTTTTCTAATTACTTTTTGTTTTAAATTAATATTTTTATTTATATTATAATTATAATTATAATTCAAAAAATTATTTCTCGAGAAAATTAATATTCAATTTTTATTTCTTTACTTTCAAGAATTTTTCTTTTATCTTATTTTCAATTTTATTTTAGTTAGAGAATAAATGGACTCTCTTTTTAGGAAAAATTCTCTTAATCTTAAGATTAAATAATTAAGATACATCTTAAGACATACATATATATTTTTATATATATATATTACATACCAGTATGTATATAATTAATTTTTTAATAAATGTTCAAAGAAAGAACTTCAATTGTTTTACTTTTAATACGTGGTTTTACACTATTAACATTAGATACAAGTGTATCATTGTACACATAATGACATGTTTAACATGCAATTAATCTGAAGCTTGCACAAACAGTATTGTTGCGCTTATTACTTCCCATTTTACACAGCCCTCCTCCTTTTAACTATATATAATATTTATTTATATATATAATATATTTATTCATCCGTTAACTTTTTTTTTCATTTATACGCGCTAAGAACATAACAAAACAATAATATAAAGAGCCAACTGAAAAAATTGTGACTTTAAAGTCTATTTCTTTTTTTAATTAGTCGAAAATAAATTGTTTTCGAGATTCGTCAAAAAATAATCATATTTTTTTATTTTTGCGACTAACTAAAAGTTCTGAATTTTTAACAATTAATCCAGCACCAAAAAAAAAAATAAAACTGAAACTAAATTAACAAATTCTGCTAGAATAAAAATAATTTTTATCATCAGGCGGTTTTTTTTCTCTTATTTCTCGAATTTGATATTATTGTTTTTGTAAAACAAAGACCGCCGGTATTTAATCTAATGAACGAGTATTTTTTTTAAAAAAACAAAATCGCACATAAAATCACATATCAACCACCAAAAAAAAAAAAAATTTTCTATAAAATACAAGTGCAAAGAGAATTTTTGAATGAATGTTTAAAATTACGCTGTTTTTTTCCAAATCTGAATTTGCACCATTTTTTGTTTTATTAAAATTAAAGAATTAAAAGAGGAATTAAAAGAGTAATTTTAAATATTCATTGTACAATCGATTACTATCCAGTTGAGAGAGACAGTTGATGTACATTACTTTGGAAAAACAAAAAAAAAAGACGAAACGTTTATAGATTAAACGATGTCATTGCACTGCTTTATTATCGTAAGAACTCAGCTATGTTCTAGCAAAATATTTTTTCTCTAACTTCCCTTTTCTATTGATAAACAGAAAAAATTCTTTTTGAATCTGCAAACTTTTCTATATTCCGAATTTAGAAGCTAATTCGGAATTAAAAAACCGAATTTTTTTTTTGCGTGTAAAAAATAAATTTCCCTCCCTCAATTTGAAATAAAATGCTTGAACATAATCCGGTTCCTTACAAAGGTATCAAAAATAATCTTATATCTTAAAGTCAGAAAGAAGGTCACTTTCGTGGACCTTCATTTTATTATAAAAGTCTTCGTATATCGATACTTCCAATAAAACTGGAATTATTTAGTATCTCTGCTATATGCATATGCATACATATATATTCTTATATATGTATAATATTTTATTTTCATAAAAATAGTAGTAGCAACCCAAAAAAAAATCTATAGCAGTGCGCGTATATTATATATTTTTTTTTAAATTAGCTACAACAATGCAGCGATCCTGTCAAATCGAAAAATACGATCTCACGAAATTTATACACAAAGAAAAAACAAACGTAATTCTTTGAAATCAATTTTTCGAAAAACATTTTTACAAAAATAAAATACACAATTGCAAAAACAAATAAAACATAAAATCAAAAAGAAAATTGTTCAAAAATACGGAAATGAAAAAAAGAAGAAAAGTTAATCAAACTTTATTTTGTCATATTTTTAATACTGAAAAATTTCACTTGGAAACTAAATTTTCATCAAAGTTGAACTTCGAAATAAAGGAAATATTTTTTAAAAGTTACTATGAAACATATTCTAACTGAACGTTTATTAATTGTTGAAAATTAATTTTTTAATAAATTATACAAAAAATTTGGGAGAAATAAAATTAGAAAGAAATAACAAAAATGTCGTTCATATGAACGTTCAAAACCTAACGGACAGAGAAACTTAAAGAGAAATATTTTTAGAAAAAATACTTCTTCATAAAAAAAAATTTTTAATTTTAAAAAAAGGTAAAAATAACAAAAAAGATTTTTTAATTTTGTAAAATTGTAAAAACGGAAAAATTCAATTTTAGTTTGAACGAAAAAAAAATTTTAATTTTTAAAATTATAATCAATAAAAATAACTTTTTAGATTAAACGAAAACAGAATTAAAATTCTAAATAAAATTTACATTTTCAATAAATATGTCAAAAAAACCAACGTAACAACAAATGAAAAATTTGACTAACTTTTTTTTAAATGCTGCAATTTGTCATTAAGTACGAAATAAAAAATAAAAACTAGCAAATTAAAAATGCTTCCTTCTTTTAAAAAAATTAAAAACAATTTCTTCTTTTGTTTTTAAATCTAGATTTGTTTTGCACTTGTATAACAATCACTCATTTCAGTCTTCTTTAGCTAATTAAAGATTAATAAACTAAATGAGTACGTCCTCTTTTTTTTAGAAAAAAAAAGAAAAACAATTTCGTTTTAAAAGAAATTTTCAAATTTTTAAAAAATAATCGTTTCTTTTTAAAAAAGCGTACACAACTAAAAGCAATATTAGAATTATTAGAAATTAGAAATTTCTCCCCTTTATAAACCTATTAAAATTAGGTTTTTATCACTTAAACGAAAGTAAAATCAATTTTTGTTACAAAAATTTGATCTAGAAAACCCTTTTTCAAAGAATATGTATATAAAATAAAAAAAGATATAAATTTGTTTCATGTTTAGCGCGTACACTGGGCAGTTTATATTTTTCCTAAAGGAATATTTTCACTCTCGTCAGTCAATATTACTGAATTTTTTCTTTCTACTCGAAAAAATTCAGTATTTAAAATTATTTAATTCGTTAATTTGATAAAAATTTTCACCAATTAAATGAAAAAGTCTTTTTTCCCCAAAACTGTAAATTTAAAAACAGTCCATTTTTTTTATTACATAATATCAAAAATGATTTTCTTTAAATCAAAACATTTAATTTCAATTCAATTTACTCGATTAAAAAAAATTTTACTCGATTAATAAAAATATGAAAAAGAATAAAAGTATAACTTTTTATTCCTAAATCTTTTGCATATTTCTTGTAATCGGTAAGGTAAAAAGAGTATTTAAAGAAAAAAGAATTCACAAATTTTTCCAAGACTGTCGAGAGTAGAAAAAATTTATCCGAAATTTGTAAATACTCTTAATTCCGTCGTAAAATTTCGTGAGGATGCGCATTGAAATCTAAAGATAGAATGTTTACTGAATAATATCAACGCTAGCGACATAAATCTTTTTTTTTTTTTTTTTTTTTTTGCAATTTCTCTTTTGTAAAACATATCGATTTTACACTACATTTTCAACGTCTAATATGCCTCTATAATATTGGTTTCTTTTTGTGTTAACCCATCTTATTTCTGGGTTTTCTTTAAATAACATTCGTCCTGAATTTATATTCTTTTTTTTTTACATGTAAAACAATATTACAGGTTTTTTTTTATTTTGCCTCACTGCGCAAATATATAAATAAATATGCTATACTTTGTCATGTTTATAAAACATCGACGTTAATTTTTTTTTCTGTTAAATTTTAACAAATCGGCATTCACAATCACTTGTTTATCTTAAAAAACAATTTTCTGACTACAGTATACACACATATTAATATTTTTTTTTAATAAACTTTACCATGACTATAGGGGAATTACTTGTCAGCTCTGAGGTTGAAAAAAAAATTAAAATAAAATAAGGTGACAGTTTATCCTCAATTTTTGTCACGGCAGTTCTTTATTTATTTATTTAAATTGTTTCACTATTGCTAGTGAAATAATTCGAAAATATGCGTAGTGAAGCAAACAAAGCGCTCCTGATTTTAATTAAAAGACCCTCTCATTTTTTACTTGGTGAGAATATAAAAAAACTACCCATATTCAAAGATTAATAAAAAGAAAAATGTTTTCTTTACTTAAATAAAATGAAAATAAAAGAACCTTCAATAAATTTATTGAAAGTTTAACAAAATTGTTCTTGGTTCACTTTGTTCGTTTCGCTCTCGCATAATTTTTCTTTTTTTTTTATGAATTGAATCATGGATTCAAAAATGGAAAAATACGCATTAAATATATGCCGTACTGGGTTTTCTTTTTTTTGTGAACAATTGACGAGTATTACAATGACGTTGTAATATTCTATGTTCGTTATCATTTTGAAAAAAAACTTCGATCTTGTTAAGCTTTGCGAATCTATCGAGAGGGAATGACGAAAAAAAAGAGAAAAAAAAATTGAAACAGAAACGCCAAGTTTCAAGTAGAAGATAAAAACTTACCCCATTACAAAGTTATAATAGCCGTTTTTAATGAAACGTTCCAAATGTCCCGAACATTAATCCCTTTTAATGCCAATGTATTTCCAGTCTCGTTAAAATAACTAAATTCCAAGTTGTTCGCGCATCACTTTTTAATGCTGTCCTCTTCATTGGACCAACGCTTTTCTTGTTCTTGAAATTCAAAATCCCATCGTAATTCGAGTTCTCGCATATCATTAGCAATCGCTGCTTCGTACGTGTCCTCCTGAGAAAAATTTCGTTATTATTTTTATTATTTACTTTGTTCTTTAAATTTCTGTTTCTATTTATTTCCATTTTTATGTACTTAAGGGGATGTCAAAGTCGATGCGATTTTTTCATTGAAGTTCTGTGTAAAAATCGCATCGACTTTGACATTCTCTTAAGTTTTTTTAACATCCCTATTTTTATTCACTTAAGTTTTTTACATACCCATTTTTATTTACTTAGTTTTTTACATCCCCATTTTCATTTACTCAGTTTTTTACATCCCTATTTTCATTTATTTAGTTTTTACATTCCCCTCTTTTTAAATGTTCATTTATTTATTTCAATTAAATAATATTGAAATAAAGTTGAAACAATATTGAAACAATGTTGAAATAAATAAATTAAAAAACCTACTTCCTCTGATTTATAATCTCTGTTTAAACCGTGATTAGTCAAATTATTTGGCGGCTGAATCCAGGAAGTGTTACTGTAGGGATTCCAATTACGAACATCTTTCTCCTTTTCTCTAATGCCTGCCTCAATCATTTGCAGTTCCTGGGTCAGCCTTTCACCTTCATTAAAAGCAGCACCTTGCGTGGCCAGCTATATTTAATTAAGAATATATATTATATATATATATATAATAATGATGCTATCACTCGGTCGATAAAATATTAAGATGATGAAAAAAATCGATCACTCCGAGTCAGGATTGAAATCCTGACTCGGAGTGATCGATTTTTTTCATCATCTTAATAATATATATTATAATTAACAGAAAATTCTCCATAACGGAATTTAAATCATAAAATATAGAAAAATATTTAAAAATCAACGGTGAACGATGAAAATATTTAGAAAATTGTGTTTTTAAAATACCTTCAAGTCGTTTATTTTCTTTTCCAAGTGTTTCAATTGTTGTTTCACTTTCTGTGATTCCAAGATTAAACTGCAAATTTTATAAAATGTAACAATTAACGACATTTTTACTAACAAGAGAATTTACAACAAAAAAAAACTCTAATATCCTCCAATATTAATTAAATTCGATTATTTTCAAGAATTTTAATATAAATTCAATTATTTTCGACAATTTTAATTAAATTCTTTTTTAAAAAAGGAGAAATATAAATTATTCAAAAACAAAATATTTTAAATTCTTTTATCAAAATAATATTTAATAAATATTTATTATTATTATTTTTATTATTATTATTATGTAGGTCAATAATAAATTATAATACTCACTCCTTGGACATGCAATCCTGTCTTGAAAATTGTACATGTGAAGGTTGCTCTGGAACATTTCGACTCAATGTTATGAAACCTTCGCTAAAGACAGAATTTGCGACTGGTGGTATATCTCCGTTGGTATTAATTGTGGTGTAAGCTGAAAAAAAAATAAAATAATTGAATTCCGAAGAAGAATTTTATTGTTTATAAAGATAATTGAAAGTTTGACGAAAATTTTTTAAAAATTGTTTAACTTAATTAAAATTCTGCGAAGAATTTCTATAACTTTTGAAAATAATTGAATTTCTGGAATCATTTGTAACCTTTCCAAAATTCAATTTTTCTTTAGTATTTTTAACTAAAATTCTTCCATTAATCTAGTATTTATGAAAATTGTAAAAAATTATTAATTCAATAATAATTTATAAGTCATAATTTTATGATAGTTCTTAAAAAATTAAGTTATTTAAAAAGAAATTATTGTCAAAAACAGAAAAAATTAAAGGTTTTGTATTAAAATTCGCTGTAGTTTCATAGTTTACGAGACAAACAAAAAAAACATCAAAATTCAGAGTTTTCTCAAGAATTTTAAAAATTCAATTTTTTCCAGTACTTTTACTAAAAATCCCTGACTTCCCTTACCTGTGGCAACCCTGATTCGGGAATAAAAGAAAGACTTAAAATTAAATTGGTAATTAATTAATTATTAATTACTCACGTTGATGACCATAATACCAAGGTGCGATTGGACTGGTTGCAGGCACTGGTCGTATTGTCGGTAAAGGAGATGTAATTCCTTCTCCATAATATCCAGTCTGTTGTATACCATTAGCTGGCCTTTGGTGTTAAAAAAAGAAAACAAGAGAAACAATTTTTTACTATCATTTCTAAAAGAAAAATTCCAATCATTTATTACTGATAAAATTATTTTTAAATATTACCTAAGAACTGTTTTTGAAAGTCTTGAAATTGGACCATAATTGCTGGCAGTTGAGGCATCAAAAGGTACAAATTCATCATCGAAAAGCACAGAATCAGGCCGACGAAATGAATTATTAAAATTTATATTTGTCGCCGGTGTTATTTGATTCCCAGAAGCGTTTGTCCATATTGAAAAATTTGGCGTCAATATATCTCCTTGCATATCGTAATTCTGAAATTAAAACAAAAATTCATATATTTTCACGCACAAATGTTTAATTTAAAATTGTATTTTTTTAATTTAATTCAAATTTTATATTTCAATTCTTTGAAAAATTTAATTAAAATACCGTTTTCATCGTTGGAGTTGATTGTTTTCCAACAATATTTTCTAGTTGATTGATTATCTCCATTTTCCTCTGCAACAACATTGCGAGAGTTTTGGCCACTGTTCTTTGCTAATAGATAATTATAAAAGACAATTTTATTAGTTTAAATAAAAATATTATAAGAAAATATTTACAATAAATATAATAAATAGGAAGAAATAAAATTTTATTTATTGGAATTTAACAAAATATTTAAAAAATTTTTAAAATCAGAACAGAAATTGTAATTAAAAAAACAAATTGAATATGAAACCTTTTTGTTGTTGCTCTGCTGACTGTTTTGAACATTATTGGAGATTTGCATTGGCTCCCATATTTGTAGATTAGTGGCCGAATAATCCAAGGGCATTCCTGGTACAATATAATGCGAATGTTGCACGTCATTTTTCGAGGGAAATCCCTGTGGTGGAGGCAGCATATAATTGGTCAACGATCCAATAAAATTATTTTCATTAGTAACAGTCGGATGTTGCACAATCGGGGTGAAACCTAAACGAAATTAAATCAAACAATAAATTTACAAAATTAGTATTATAATACAAAATGTTAATTATTATTATTCTTATTTACTAAATAAATTTGTTTGTAAGTAAATATTTTCTATTGTTCAGTACCTTCGCGGTGAACGCAATCGAGATTTTTCGGAGGATAATTTGTATCATCGCACTGTTTAAATCCTTTACTACTTGGAGTAATAACAGTTTTCTCAGCCTTGGATTCCGAAACTCCAGTTAATGGTAAATTCGATCTTATACTCATTTTTCGATTTTTTGATCTATATCTGGAATAAAAGTAGACAAATTTAATTTTTTTTAAATTATTGACTAGTTCAGCTCAATAATTATTTCCGTCCATTCTCTATTTATTTATTTCTTTCTATTTTCTATTTCTTTATTGTTTATCCATTCTCTATTTTTTGTTTCTATATTTTGTAATTTACTATAAATTTTGTCTATAAACTCCTTTTTTAATTTGTGATTTTTTACTTACTTATCGAGTTCCTGGCCACTGTGAGCAAATGTACAATTAGTGGCACGTGGACAAGATCCTTTAATAGCAAGATCGCGACACATGCTGACTTTATACTTTGGTTGTCCCGTATTGTGAGCTCCGTCTTGTGATTTTCTATTGCCATGCTGCTGTATAAATTCTACTAAGGCAGATACGACAGTTCTCACTGCTTCTAATGCCTCTCGACATTCTACCCAAGAGGGTGGTTCACTTTCTGAAAAATCAAATAGTCACAAAATTAATTTTACTATTAAAACATAAGTAATTTAAAAATAAAAGTACCTCAAAAAAGTATTTTATTAGAAATCAAAATAACTCAGGAAATTAAATAAATTATATTTTGAAGTATTTCTAACCTGGACTAGGATCAATGGCTGCTAAAAGTTCCAATTGCGGTCGTAGACTACTTAATTGTCCTGGATCGGGTGTACGTTGAAGAGCCATTATAAGTTCTTGAACACTCTGGGCAAATGACTGTGGCGTTTGTAATTTATCAATGATACTCTGCATATGAGATTTATGGCCAGTATCGCCGTACAATAAAGCTGACCATTGATCAGGAGCTATTCGTAATCCGGCTTCAGTTGCTATTTGAACTATTTGAGCGTCATGCTCTCGTCTCAGTGCTTCGTACGTACGAAATTCTTCCTTTAATTGCATCAATGACGAATCTCCCTCTCGTTTCGATACCTATTTCAATATGAAAAATCATAAATTAAAAAAAAATAGATTCTTCTCGCTTCGATACGTAATTCAATTGCAAAACCACAAATGAAAGAAAAAACACGTAACCAAATTTTAACGAATGGTTAAAAATTTTAAAAATTAAAATATTACCTTAAAGCAACTTGCTCGATACAGAAGTTGTACGACATGGCCAATACTCGTCTTTGAAGCCTGTGTGAAATGAGGTTCCAAACGTTGAACGACGAACATAACGAGGACTTTTCGAGAAAGAGCCGATCCATCTTCCAAAGCCAATAGAACGAGCTTCAAAACCTCTTCTTGCATTGCTATTAAAAAGAAAATATTAAAATCAACAAAAAGCAATTTTAAAAAATGTGTCTATTATTATGGGAAAAAAATTAAGAAAATGAAAATAAAATTACCGGGTCCAAGGAACTGGCATCCTCGAGCGCGAACCGCAGCCCAGAGATTCGCACTGAGTTGCTGAGGATTTTGATGCTGTAAAATAAGTTCCGTTACTGATCGTTCGCCCAAACTTCTTGCGGCTCTCACGGCTCGTGCCCGTCCTTCTGGTTCCACTAATTGACATCCAACTAATGTCACCAGTTTTCTCTGCATCGGTCGAGACACAAGTCCCACTCCTAATTTCGAAAAAGAAAAAAGGAAAAATTCCAGTTCCATTGAAAACTAAAAATTTTGTTTCAATTGTTTTCTACAATTATTTAAATTTTGTATCATTTTTCTGCAAGTATTTAAATTTTATATCAATTTTCTACAATAACTTACATTTTATATCAACTTTTTAAAATCATTTATATTTTCCTAAAAATTTTCTACAATTGTTTAAATTTTATATATAAACTAGAAAATGTTCCCCGCGTTACCAAATTATGCAAACTACAAAATATTTTACAATTTTCAAATATAAACTTAATTTTTTGATTAATTTCAGATTCAAAATTTAAAAAATCCACTTATTAAGTACATAATTAGTTATTATCGTTTATTATTTTCAAAAATTTTAACAAAATTCTTCGCAAGAATTAAATTATTTTCATAAATAATGATATTCTTCGGAAGAATTCAATTATTTTTGTAAACAGTAAAATTCTTCGGAATAATTTAATTATTTTTATAAACAGGAAAATTTCTTGCAAGAATTAAATTATTTTTATAAAGATACTCCATTATTTTCAAGAGTAATAACAATCTTCACAAAAATACAATTATTTTCATAAATAATAACATATTTTGCAGGGATTCAATTATTTTCAATACAATTATATAATAAAATTTTTCAAAAGAATTCCATTATTTTTAAAAATTATAATTAAATTTTTCAAAAAAATCCAATTATTATCAGAAGTTTTGATAAAATGGTTTATAAGAATCTTATTATTTTCATAAATAATAATTTCTTCTTATGAATTCAATAATTTTCAGTGCAATTTTTATAAAATATCTCTAAAGAATTCAGTTAGTTTCAAAAATTGTAATTTAAAATAATAAAATTTGTAATTATAATTATCAACAGACACGATTATTTTAAAAAGTTGAAAGTGATTCTTCGTTTAATTCAGTTATTTTCAAAATTTTCAATTCAAATTATTAAAAAAACATAATTTTCAAAAAAACTTAAAGAAATTCTTAAAAAATTTTAATTATTTACAAAAACTAATAAAATATTAAAGAAACTCCATTATTTTAAAAAAATCAAAGAAATTCTTCAAAAGAATCTAATTAGGATTTTCAAAAATTTAAATAAAATCTTCGCAAGAATTCAATTTTTTGATAAAATATCTCTAAACAATTCAGATAGTTTCAAACATTGCAATAAAATAATAAAATTCCGAAAAGAATTCAAAATTTAATATTTCCAAAAAACTTTTAAAAATCCAATAATCAAATTTTTAATTACAATTATTAACAGACACGATTATTTTAAAAAGTTGAAAGTAATTTTTCACTTAATTCAATTATTTTTAAAATTTTCAGTTAAAATTATTCAAAATCTCCATTATTTTCATTAATAAAATGATAAAATTCTTTGATAGAATTTAATTATTTTCATGAATAATGAAATTCTTCGAGAGAATTCAATGGTTTTTAATACAGTTTTAATAAAATTCTTCGAATGAATTCAATTATTTAAAAAAATTGTGATAAAATTGTGATAAGAATTTAATTATTTTCTAAAAATTTTTATAAAATTAAATACAATTCTATAATTAACAGACACGATTATTGTAAAAACTTTAAAGAAATTTATCTCTTAACTCAATTTTTTTTCAAAATTTCCAATTCAAAAATTACAAAAAAAACTCAATATTTTCATTTTTCATAAATAAAATGATAAAATTCTTCAATAGAATTCAATTGTTTTTAATAAAATTGCAACATAGAATTTAATTATATTTAATAGAATTTTTATACAATTTTTTAAAAGAATTCAATTAATGAATTCAATTATTTTCAATATTTTAATAAAATTCCGTGAGTGAATTAAATTATTATAAAAAATTGTAATCAAATTTTGAGAAGAATTTAATTATTTTCTAAAATTTTTTACAAATTTAAATAATCAAATGATTAAATAGTTATTAACCAATACAATTATTTTAAAAACTTGAAAGAAATTATTCATAAAATTCAATATTACTTTCGAAATTATTAAATAAAACTACTCCATTATTTTCAAAAAATTCAAAAAAAATCTTGAAAAGTGAAAGTCAATTATTTTTAAAAATTTTAATAAAATTTGTAGGAGAAGTTCTATTACTTTCAATTCAATTAAAATAAAATTTCTCAAAAGAATTGAATTACTTTCATAAATAACAATATTTTTAGTAGAAATTTAATTAAAACTAATTTTTTCAAAAAAATTGGATTATTTTTATAAATAATAAAATATTCTTTTCGAAAGAATTAAATCCTTATCAACAATTTTAATAAAATTTCTCAATAGGATTTTCAATTTGTAATATTTCAAAATTCAATTTTCAAAAATTTTAAGAAAATACTTCGAAGGAATCAATTTTCAATATATTAATTTTAAAATTTTAAACATTTAAAGAGAACAGTTTTTTAAATAAGTTAGGAAATAAAAAAACTGACTTGAAACTGCGAACGAATTATCGGAATTATTAATGTACAGATTTTCTATAATCTACAATTTCTTGAAATTTATATATAAATGTACAATTTATATTTATTTAAATAATAAATAAATCTATGTCTATAATAAAACTTTTTTTTTCAATACCTATAGTGGAATTTGGAGTTGCTTGACATGGTTTTAAATAAAGTGCAAGCTCCTCGATGCATCGTTTAGCCACCAAATAATGATTGAGTTCGTCGGGAGGCAATAATTTTTGATAATTCACTGCAACATTGTTTGGAACCTGATTTCCCACTAACTGAAGTAAGGCTTCATTCACTGGTAAACTTTCTATTTCCGTATTTATAGAACTCTGAAAAAAAGAACGGAAAAAAGTTTCAATTATTAATTGCCAAAGAAAATTAACACTACATTAAATTATTTGTATTTGCATTTACGAAAAAAAATAAAAAATTTATGAATTTGAAAATGCAATAAAAAATATGAGACACGAAATAGAAAAATATGAATTGAACTAAAAGAAAATGAATTCAATAGAAAATTATTTAACTAAAAAAATAGTTTTGAATTAAAAATGATATAAATAAAAACTAATTCGAATAAAAAATGATTGGAGTAAAAAAGTGATTCAAATAAAAACTGATTAGAATAAAAATTGATCTGAATAAAAAATGATTCGAGTAAAAACTGATTCGAATAAAAAATGATTTGAATACAAAATTATTGGAGTAAAAAAATGATTCGAATAAAAACTGATTTGAATACAAAATGATTGGAATAAAAAAGTGATGAAATAAAAAAGGTTTTAAAATAAAAAGTGATTAAATAAAAAAATGGATTAAAATAAAAAGGTGATTCAATAAAAAAAGGTTTCCAATAAAAAAACGATTCAAACAAAAATAAAGGATTCTAATTAAAGAGAAAAGAAAAAAAAATATCTTGTTGAAAATTTTTTTAGCGTAGTCATAAAATTATTCAAGTAAAAGAAGTCATTTCATGTCGATTCGCTGGAACCTAGAAAGAAACCGATTGTAAAAAAATAGAGCATGATATTAAATAATGAATAATGCAGTATTTATGAATTTCTATTTTCAAAGTAGACCATTAATAGAAATTTGGGATTTTCCTTACAGAATAATAAAAATCGTACTGAAGTACTACAAAAGACAAACTTACTATCGGAATAAAACATTTCCAAATCTTTCTAAAAAGTCCTAAAAATTTTTTTTCGAAAAAAAAATTGACTGGACATGAAAGATATAAATGTTTTTTTTTTAAATAAAATAACCAATAGTGATTTGATTGGTAGTAATCGACCGATGATATTGATTCGTAAGGGGACGTTTTTATTTTTTTTTTGGTTCTTTTTTGAATGAATTTATTCACTTGGTTTTTTTTTTGTGAAATTAGTGAATGCCACTTGCTTTTTTTTGTTTGCAGTGAAAGCATCATTACATACCTGATCAAATGGACATTGTTTACGATGTAAATTTGCAAGGCACGTGCGGCATATTGTGTGGCCACATCCTAAAGATATGGGTCCACGTATAGCCACATCGAAATCATGGCAGCAAACGGGACAAGAAAGAAATTCAGTCCACTGAGGTGCCTGTATTGGCATTCTATAAAAAAATACAAGTAAGGTGTATAATTCCAGAGAAGTCTTTATACGTTCCTTGTTTTTTTAATTTTATGCGCCACACCTTACAACATTTTTCGTTTCTATTATTTTATTTTCATTCTAATTTCGTTTTTATTCCATTTTCATTTCCTTTTTATTTTCATTAAATCATTTTACTTCATATTTCATTCGCGGAATAATTTCAAATTTAACTCCGAATTATTCAAATTTTATTTCCAAATAATTCTAAATTCAAAATTTCATTTCTAAATTCAAAATGAATTTCTAAATTTATAATTAATTCAAAACTTTCAAATTTTTCTCCCTATTTTATCGAAATTAATTCGCTATTTATTCTCAAGTTTAATTGGACGTAAAAAATAATTTTCCTTCGAAATTTTGTTTTCTTATTTTAATTCGTAGCCAAAATTTTGCGGAAATTCTGAACGGCGCTGATTGTAAATTTAAAATTGAACATTTTTATGATTCGCATTATTGTTTTAATCGAACAAGGAAATGCTTTCGCTTACAAACATTATTGCGGTATTTATGTGGCTAAAATAATCTAGTAATCAACAAGTCTGTTACTATACTGTGCAATAGAGTCGAATAAATATCGCCAAGTGAATCACAATTATGAAAACGTTTTTCCTTTCCTTCTCCTGGTAAATTTTTTTTTACTTTTCAAATCTAATTTCCGAAATTAAATTTCATCACTTTCCTAAGACGATAAAAAAACACGATTTTTTCTCCAATTTTTCAAGGGTCTAAAAAAATTCCTTTTGGGTCAAAATTATAAAAGTGAAGAAGAGAAAGTATAAAAGTCATGAAAAGCTAATAATGTAAAACGAGTTTTTTATTACATTTTTTCCACACTTCTATTATTCGATAATAAAATTTTACAAACTAGAATTAAAAATTAAAAATCAAAAAAAGAATTTAGTAGGAATTTAAATCGTTCTAGATTTTTTCCTTCGTTTTTTTAAAGTATAGCTGGATGAATCTTAGATTCCGTAAAACTTATATTTAAGAGAATGACGCAATAGCAAACAAATACAAAACTGCAGAATCTCGATGAGTAAGTTTATTTTGTGTTTTTAATGACGAAAGAATAATTGTAATTGAATAGTACTATTACCATCACTAAACACAATAAACAATTAAAAAAACAATAATAAAAATACGATAATATTGTCAATATTAAACTCGAAATACGAGACATTTTCAAATGCAAAAACTATAGTTGTTGAGAATTTTATTCTAATCAATTCTATTCTAATTAAATTGCTAAATTTTTACGAAAATAAAAATTCTTTTCTAGAATTGAGGTCACGACGTAAACAAGTAACAATAACTTTTTTTCCCTATCAAAACTCGATCATATTTATTTAAACTCGATCTAATATTTCAGAGACAAATTAAATTTGTTGTTTTTTCGAAAAAAAATAAGGAATATTTACTGTACTGCACAATATGTTGTAATCCGTTCCCTAAGTATGTTGCCTGCATTTTGTCGAGAGTAATCAATATCATCAAAAAGTGAAGAGAAAATAATTTTCAGAGATTTTTTTTATAGTATAATAAAGAAAAATAGTGACTATACGTAATGTTAATAAATTAACGGTTAAAAAATAATTTCCAGGTGTACGTCGCATATCGTCCACGTTGCGTATCAATTCGAGATTCGTCCTTTCGAGGAAAAAAAGAAAATGTTGATCACGACGACGTAAAGAAACGATAAAAAAAACGTTTTTCATGACGTCTGCGTAGCTCGCAAGAGTCGATAATAGTGAAGATTTTTATTCTAATTAATCTCTTTCTTTATTGACTAACTTAACACTGCAATTTTTTCTGGTTTCAAACATTTTTTTCTCATTTTAAATACATATATATTAAACTTTCGATTCCAACACCGTGCCACGAAATGCAATCTTTCACGACATTGGATTATAAAGAACGGAATATTATGATTTTTCGCTTACCTCGTGATTACGTTCAGAAAACATTACATTAATTAACAAATCACATCTCCTATAATTCTTTCACCGAAATATTTAACGAACATCCGCAAAGCACAGATAATGAGATGAACTTGACATGATATTTTGGATTAGTCACTTCTCAATTTCTCATATAAGTAATTTCATCGAAGAAACAATATAGAAATAATTTCGTTCGCAATCAATTCACCAGGTGTCGTCAGTGTTTTCTGTAAGTTCTGGAACATTCCGCTAGAGCCATTTTGATTGGATCACGTGACTTTCAACGCGAGTGTATTCAAATTGAATTCTTTTCTTTGTGTGTGTTAATTTAAAATATTACCTGAAAAAAAACAAAAATATATGCTCGATATAAACACTAGAACAATAAAATAACTTGTTACTGTTAATTACTAAGGCTGCGTCTACAACAGAAAAAATAATGTGTAGAAAATTGTGTAATATACAGTGTAATTGCCCCTGACAGTTGTCAATGCCAAAAACAATACACATTACACTACAAATTACACATTATTTTTTTCTATTGTAGACGCAGCCTAAAACTTTCATTACTTTTATTGCTTTTATTGTTTTCCCCAGCCGAAAACTGTGTTTCGATATTTAAAATATATCGAACCAATAATCGAATCGTTGTTTGGCGGCAAAATTTAAATGCTGAAAAAATTACCTTAAAATTTATTATTAATTTTTCAATAATAAATATTAATAATTAATAATTAATAATCTTTCATATTTAAAAGAAATTAAATAACTTTTACTTACCTATGGAAAAAATAGTTTTTTCGCAAAGAGATTAATTTTTTTTGGTACGCGAAAAAAATACTTTTCATTTCTATAAATTCAACATTTTATTTACGGTTTACGATTTTTATCAACAGTTTTATAAAACTTATTCTAATTTTAAATGTTTGTTTTTAAAGTAAAAAAAAAGAAATATTTACAAATTATAAAAATAATAATCTTGCCAAAAAGTTAAGCGAAGATTATAAAATTATACAAAATAAGAAAATTAATCTTTACTTTATAAAATTATTATTAAATATTAATAATAATTGTAATCTTAATAGTAATTTTTACTATAGACAATAAAATTCAATGTTGATACTAAATAATATTCTAAATTTTGAAAATTAATTAATTTTAGTTTAAGTAAATTTCTTTTTCCCTTTCTAATAAAAATTTTAATAAAAATATAAACTTTCGATAAAAACAAAAAATTTTAAATCATTCTAAATTAGAAAATTTCAAACAAATATCCAAATTAACATTCAATATCAATTTTTAAAATGAATATCAACATTAATTTTAAATACTAAAAACAATAAAATAGTCTAAAAATAAAAGAATTACTTTTGAAGTAAACTTTTTCATTATGGCTCGAATAGAATTTAAAGTTAAATAAAAGAAAAAAATATTAAATTGAGAACCTTTTGCCCTCGACGATCATGTTTCTAAAAATAGACGAGTGGAAATTCTAAAATTTTTCTTTTAGAAAATCCAAATTGTTGACGATCGGCAGACACAAATTTTAAACACAGTAGTAACCGGGAAATGCTAAATAGAGTTCCGATTTATAAACCCAATCTTCGCATCCATTGTCATTAACTTTACTCGTACTAGGCTTGGAAGGTCCACCATTAACTTGCAGTGGATTTTTGGCATAAGCTCGTCTTCGTGGCGTTAAATATTCAAACATACTATGAGAATGTTTCGCCAGCATTGGTCCCAAATCGCATGGCATTGGATCTGTCCAGAAAAAATCATGATTTAAGGCCGTATCAGAATCAATTCTCTTACTTGGATCGAGAACTAAAAGTTTATCCATCAAATCACAAGCGAGTTTATCATTTACATGTACTAGCAATCGCTCCACAACCTGCGGAAAAGAAATTACGTTTCTGTTAATTTTATTTTAATCAACTACTGCTAATTTAATAATTAGTAATTAAAATAATAATTTTTACATTTCATTTTCATACACTTAATATTTTTTTAAATTAATTTTCTAAAATTTCACGAAAGGATTTAATAAATTCCTAAATTTTGATAAAATTCTTCAAAATAAATCAATTATTTTAATAAATTGTAAAATTCTCCGTAAGATTTAAATTATTTTCATAAATAATCAAATTCTGCTCAGAAATTTTAATAAATCCTTTAAAACAATTCAATTATTTCCAATGAATTTTAATAAAATTCAATAGTCACATTTTTAATTATTATAATTATTGACAGAAACGATTATTTTAAAAACTTGAAAGAAATTCTTCATAAAATTCAATTACTTTCAAAATTTGGAATTAAAATTATTAAAAAAAAACTCTATTATTAAAAAAAGTCAAAGAAATTCTTCAGAAGAATTGAATTAGTATTTTCAAGTTTTAATAAAATTCTTCGCAAGAATTCAATTATTTTCATAAATTATAAAATTCTTTGCTGGAATTCAATTATTTTCAAAACTTTTGATAAAATTCTTTGCAAGAATTCAACGATTTTCAATACATTAATTTCAAAGTTGAAATCATTTAACAAGAAAAAGTATTAAAGAAGTTAGAAAAAATTTTTTAATATTAAGAATAAAAATAAGAAACTTTTCCTTATAAAAAACCATAATAACTTTTCTGAGATATAAAAGCAAATTAAACTCACTTTTCTTTTTTGGCCGGAAATTAAATGCATTTTATTGAACAGTTCTAAGTTTTCCACTCCAGGCCAAACTTCTGAAGTAATTGATCCACATAATTCAGAAATTAATGTTAATTGTTGTTGCTCAGTAGCGCCCTGCATTATTGGAGCTCTAGAAAAGAATTATTTTACAAATTTTAATTACAAATAAAAACAAATTTTCTGAATTAAAAAAATTAATTTTCTAAATAAATAACTTAAATATATTTTCAATAAAAAAATAATAATTTTGCATCATCGTGTACCTTGTCCACATTTCAGCCATAATGCAGCCAGTGCCCCATAAATCGATAGCTGGACCGTAATTTCGAGCACCGAGTAATAATTCCGGTGGTCTATACCAAAGTGTAACAACTTTATTTGTAAATCGATTCGGCTGATTAAATTTACTTTCACTAAAGGCTCGTGCTAGACCGAAATCTGATAATTTCAATAGACCGTTTTTCGTTATTAAAATATTTGCAGCTTTCATATCACGATGCAGTATCTATTGAAATAGAAAATTTTTAAATAAACCCATCGATTTCAATTTCAATTTACTCATCGTAAATTTAATTCATTTATTTATAGTAAATTTAATTTGATTAATTTATTTAAATACTATATTTAATAAAATTTCTGATTGTAACATAAATTGCAAAAAAAACATACTTTGTTACTGTGAATATAATACAATCCATTCAACATTTGCCGCATCACGTTTTTTATTTCACCTAATGTGAATTTTACTTTTGGACTCGCAAGCAATCCGGCAAGATCGTGTTCACAAAAATCAAATATAAGATAAAAAGTCGAACGACTGCGATTGCCTGAAATTGCTGAAAATAATCGAGAATGAGACATTATATTATTTTCAATAAAATAAATAAAATAAAAAAATACAGTTTTCTAGAAACAATTCAAAAAATTAAAAAGTTTAAAAAGTACCTGACTTTTTGCAAATTTCGATTAAATTCACAATATTTTTGTGTTTTAGTAATTGCAGTATTTTAATTTCACGCAATGCAGTTATTGGAAACTGAAAAAAGTATAAAAATTTCCCATTAAAAAAAACGGACAGTAAATTTTTTTTACATCTATAAAAAAAATATTTCTACTCACTCCTTCTTTATCATTATTCAATAAAACTTTCTTCATTGCTACGAATTTCGTACTATTTTTCCTGTCACGGGCTTTAAAAACTTCTCTGAAATATAAAAATAAAAAAATAAAATTTCAAAAGCAAAATAGAAATATTCGGTAAAGCATTAACAAAAAATACTTAAAAATTAATTTACTTACCCAAATGTTCCTTGGCCAATTTTAACCAATGAGTCATATTTACTAATTTCTTCACAAAATGGAAAATCAAATTCTTGAATATATTTTTGTCTATCTATTTCACTCATTGTGAAATTAAAAATTTCCTTTCGCAGAAATTGAAACTGTTTTTTCTTTACAAAAAAAGAAAAGTCGAATTGTTGAACTTGACGTGTCCTTATACGTTAATTATTGACCTAGTGGATAAAAAATACAAAATATTGCTAATATTAACAAAATTTACTAATTAAACATTAAATTAAAAGGGAAAAAGAGAAAAAAAAGTAAAATAAGCCTAACAAATCTGATATTTCAATGAAATATGTAATCCAATATTGAGCGAACACTGTATAAACATATTTCACCCAAAAACAATTGCAACAGAACTAAAAATAACTCTAGAAGCAATTTATCATTAACTATAACAAAAAACATACCTTCCTGTGTATATTATTCAATAATAAAAGACTGATTTCTCAAATTTATTCTTTTAATACTAAAATCACAAATTGTCGTTCAACCGATCGCACGGAACTGTCAGAACATAACCTAAAAGCAGACATTTTATGTAATCACAATTATCTCTTTTCCCATTAATTTCAAATTATTAACAATGAAATCTTCAAGTGCAGTAGAATATAAATTTTACCTCACTTTATTTAATTAGTAAATTATAAACATTTTATGACAAAGACCTAATTCGTCTTTATCATCTGTATTTAATTAAGCACTTTAAACACTAATACCAACTGTCAGAATGTAAATAAAAGTCGTTTGTAATTAAAAAAAATGTTTCTCCACACTTCACTTATTAAAAGACAACTAAAATACTCAAATACTATTTGTTTAATAAATTTTTATAAAGGTTTCACGATTATATTTATCCTATTTATTTGGATTGTAATTATTTCAGAAAAGTTTAAAGAGGCCGCAAAAAATGCAGCCAATGAGCGTCAACAAAAGAGGAAGTACAAAAATTGACCAATAGATGTCAACCGGGAAAATTTGAACATGCTTAAAATATTTAAGAGATCTCATTTAAAAGCATAAAAATTGTTGTTTTTAAACAATTTTAGAATAAACAATTTTTTACAAACGATTAGAAAATTATGTAATAATTACTATTTTTAGTAATAAAATAACGGTTATTTTAAATTAGGCGCATTTTAGTGCTGCTTAAGTTGACAAGTGCGGAGAAAAAGTGCACTATTAACTTAACCTTACGGTCGATATTGTTTTGCAAAAAGAAAAAAAACTTCTTATCTGTAGCAATTTGTAAATATTGACTTCAGAATGTTTTAATAATAATAATAAATTGTTTAAATTTATTCTGCAATTTACAAGTCGACGACAGTAAAATTTAGCCAAATTTGAAAGACTTAAATAGTGTTTTTTGTGTAATTTACAAGTTTTTGAAGCATTGTTATTTTATATAGATTTTGCAAGTATTTAAATTGTTAGTGTACAAGGTGTACAGTGATATTTCCTATACACGAATTTAAAACTTAACTTTAAAAACAAGAGCAAATATTTACGTTTTAAGAAATAGAGTGCACAAAAAAAAAACAAATTTCAGTGAACGCAGTTTTCTGTCATCACTGCATGTTGTCAGCAGTTGTCAACAATTATACAAAAAATTAAAAAAGAACATCAAATTTTACGGTACGTGTATAATTACTACAATCGAATCTCTACTATTTAATTTAGTTATTTATTTTGCGGTCTAGTTTTGATACCAAAAAATGTAACATTTCGAAAACTTTGTTTTTTTAGGTTAGGAAATTTCAGAGATAAAGAAAAATAAAAAAATTTTTTCGCGTGTCAAGTGACGTTTTACAAATGATACGTGAGCAAAGAGGTATTATGATGTTCATGTTTTATTATAGATCTGAGATCAATACCAAATTATAGAGTATCTAAATGTGATATAAATATTCATGTTTTTCACGCAATATAAATTGTATATAAAACGTAGAAAATTATTTTCTTGTCTTTTTTTTATTTTGGTGTGAAATGTTTATAGTTTTGCCAATGTATTTAAATACGCTAAAGAATTAAAGACTATAGAACCTAGTGAAATAATTTAATAATAAAGAAATAATTTAACTATAGAAATAGTAATTAAACTAATGGATTTAAATTCAGTCAAAATTCAAGAAAAAGTGTATTTTTTCTGAAAATTCAAGAGACGAAGTTTTTTTCAAAATTATTTTATTTATTTTTATTTTTGAAAGTTTTGAACCTAAATTGCGAAAGTCATTAATATTCAAATATTTAAACTCCGATAATGGACGAATTAACATAAAAGAAATTGCGATACTTCCGCGTGTGAAGTAATTTCGGATTTTTATAAATTCAAGAAATAGAAAAAAAGGGATTCTATCGCCTTGAAAGTATAATTTTGGAAATGACTATTATAGTCACAAAAAAAGAATTAGAAAACAAAATCATAAAATTAGTGAAAATTTTTTTTTGTTTAAATTTAATTTTAAAAATTACTCAATGCTTTGTATTTTTATTTCTTTTTTTTCTATGCGACAGGTCAAAATTACTACACCATATTTGATCAAAATTCCCTTTACTACGCCGAGAGCCACAGGCAAAACCCGTGTGTGAAGTTCACCGTGTGTGACATCACGCTTCATTGTTGGCTGTTTACGTCATTCCTGAGTCGGAGAACGACTCGCGGAACGCACACGCAGAAAAAAGAGCGAGCTAACGAGCGAAAGAGAGAGAAATAAAAAGCAAGAGAGGAGGAAACCAGCCGCGAAACCATAAAAATTTTGTTGCCGCCTTCGCTGACCTGGTATCAGGATTTTGATCGGCAAATAAAATCAGTGTCAGTGCGGAGTTTGGGTGAATGAGAGACACATAGATTAAAAAAAAACAGTTATACACAGTTGATAGTCTATTCTCTCACTATCTCATTTTTATTGATTGAAAACTAAAGGTGAAAATTTCGTGAAACATAATGTCAAACGACGACATTTCACCAGATTCTCATTAAATTTTTCTGCAACTACAATTTTTTATTTTTATAAAAGAAAAGTGTATAAAAGAAAGAAGAAAAATTGTGTGAAGGGAAATTTGAAAGGAAAATTTACAGTGAAAAAAAGTTTCTAGTGTCAATGCTTTTTTTTTATACATATGAGAAAAAGTGTTTTTCCCGTGGGTCGTTCGCACGGAGTCTTTCATTTTAAATATAACGATGTATAAATAAGTATGAGCAATAGCGGGAGTACGCGAGGCTGTCTCGCAAAGATTTTGTGAAGCAATCATACACTCTGATTGGTGAACGTGGTTGTTACTCGAATTTTTGAAAAACGAGAGAGAGAAAAAAAAAGAAAGAGACAATTTTTTTAAAAAAAAGTGTAACAAATGCAGTCGATAAATATTAATTTTTTATTGACAACTGCCACATATGTTATTGTTGTGTGGGCATGCTCTGTGGAGGCTCTGCCAAGGTTAGTGACATACTGAAGCGTCTCTGATAATGTCCAGAGAATTTAATAGCGGTAGACCCTGATTTTTACGGCTTTTAATGAATATCAACTTGTTTACCGGGTTCAGGGGTATTCGGAATAAATTCAGGGTTACAGGGTCCATGAAGTTTTTCTTTTTTCATTTATTTTTCATCGAGGCTTGCAGTCCTTGTTTAAAATTGAAAGAGAGGAAAAAAAAAGAAAACTCGATCTGTAATGTTTTTCTTTTCATGAATATTCTCTCAATAGAATGTTGTTGATTTCATTCATTTTCATTACAACGCAATTTTTATTTTAGTCCACAAAGAACTAAAAGTTCATTAATTGTTATTCAAAGAATAATAATTAATTTTTAAAAGAGAAAAAAAACAAATTAAAAAAAATATTTAGTTTGATAATTAAAAAACTAAAACATCAAAGAATAATCAAGTCAATGTTAATTTTTTAAGAGAAAAAAACATGTTTTTGAATAATGAAAATTTAAGAATAAAATAAACTTTGCCTGCTATTTGCATTTTGATACTTTTAATTAGTTCAAGAAAGAGAAAAAGATTTTTTTCCGAGAAGAGAAAATAAAATAGATGTAAAGAGGAAACAAAACAAAAATTTTCAAATTTCAATCGAGAGTATAGTGATAAAAAATAAAAAGAAATTTTCTCAAACGAAAATATAATGACTTTCAAAACAATTATGAATAATATTTTGTCCTCGAGATGTTGATTACGCGATATCATCAGTGATTTGATTTAATAAAAAAGAAAAGAATGTGAAACTTTGGTATTTTTCCATCAGCGTCAAATATTATTTTACTTTCACTTTATTTAGATCGATAATGTTTTATCAATACTCTCAGACATTTAGGATGTTTTGTTCTAGATTTTAGTTGGTTACTATAAGTTTTAAACTTATTTTTAATTTTAAATTCTTTAATTTAACTCATATTTTTTAATTTATATTTTTTTAAATTCCATTTAATTAATTATATTCTAAAAATTGTTTTCGAAATTACAAAAAAAAATAATTAAATGTATTTTTCTATTTTTCCAGGGAAACTTGAAAAAACGATTTTGTCATTTTGGAAAGTGTCGTCATCAGAATTTATCATTCTCCGGAATTAAACAATGAAATTGAACTGTCGGAAGCAATTATTGCAGGATTGTTTACATTGTCGACTACAGTCTTCATGTATGTGGAATAATTTATTTTTTTAAAACAAGTATTCTAGAAAGCTTAATAGTTTTTGTAAAATGAGAATTTGTTAAAATATTTCAATTTTCAAAATTATTTTTTTTAAATTTATTTTTTGACAATTTACCTTTTTTGTAAGAATATTTTTTTTTGAATTAATTCATTTAGATTTTCAATTTCTGGTAAATATCTACAATTACCAGAAATTTAAAATTGAAATATTTGAAATATTAATTCGACAGTTTTATACCTGATTTTAATTTTGAAATTATTTAAATGCAAATTTTTATTTTGAAAGGAAAACTAATTTTAATTCAAACGTAAATTTGTTTTTTATATTTTATTATATTTTAATTTATTTACTGATAAATATCTACATTTTACCGGAAATTCAAAATCTAAATTAGTTGATTCAATAGTTTTATAACTGATTTTAATTTGAAATTATTTAAATGCAAATTTTTATTTTGAAAGTAAAAGTAAATTTTAATTTAATTTAAATTAATTGAAATTTTCCGATATAATTTAAATTATTTAAAAGCTTTCAATTAAATTTAATTTAAAGTTTTTAAGTTAATTTTCAATTTAAATTAAATTAATTTTAAGTTTTTAGTTAATTTTCAATTTAATTTACATTAATTTAAAGTTTTCAATTTATATTAAATTAATTAAAATTTTTCTATTTAATTTAAATTATTTTAAAGTTTTCAATTTATTTTGAATGAAATAAAATTTTTTGATTTAATTTAAATAAAGTGAAATTTTGCGATTTAATTTAAAATAATTGAAATTTTTCGATTTAATTTAAATTCGTTTATAATTTTTAATTTAATCTAAATTAATTGAAATTTTCGGTTTAATTTAAATTATTTAAAAGTTTTTAAGTTCATTTTCAATTTAATTTAATTTAAATTTAAAGTTTTCAATTTATATTGAAATAATTACAATTTTTCGATTTAATTTAAATTATTTAGAAGTTTTCAATTTATTTTGAATGAAACACAATTTTTTTATTTAATTAAAATTAATTGAAATTTTCGATTTAATTTAATTTAATTTACCATTTTCAATTTAATTTAAATTATTTAAAAGTTTAACTCAATTTAAATGAATTTAAAGTTTTTAGTTAATATTCATGAATTGAAGTTATTAATTTTTCATAAAAATTGCTCCCAATTTAGCAAAATTTTGTTCAATTTTTTTTAATTCCTTTCTGTTCAAGGTAAATTCCTTTATATTTTTTTCTTCTTTTTTTTATAAATCTCGAACGTGAAATTATTTTATTAAAGCACTGCTCACTAGTATTCTTTATAGTTAATTTATTTTTCTTTACGTTTTTATGTGGTTCGATGGATTTTTATTTTGTTTGTTCACACACTGTATTCACGTTGATGTTGTTTTTTTAGGCACATTGGACATACGGAATGCTCTGGTTTTCGAGTGAGTTGCAAGTACATGAAATGTTGCACTACACAGAAGATTGTCCCAAGATCAGCACTGACGCCTGTAAAATGCTTGGAGAATTTTGTATATTTGCCACTGAACTTGCACGCCTCTGCGAGCAAGGGTAATACAAATTTACTAGCTCTACAAAACTTATCGAAATCAACAACATTTCTTTTTTTCTTTCTCTATTAATTTATTTATCTAAAAAAGAAATTTGTTTGAAAAATATTCTTTATTTCTCAAAAAAGAAGGAAAAGAAATTTGTCTAAAAGATTTCTATATTCATAAAAAAAGAAGAAAAAACAAATTAAGACAATATTTTAAACAAATTTCTTATTTAAAAAAAGAATTTTCTAATACAAAAAAATAATGTAGATAATGAATAAATATTGAAAGAAAAAAAAATGAAAGAGAAATTATTCGCAAGTATGAAAATAGTTCAAGATTCGTATGAAAGATGTTTTCGAAAAGTATTTGAACTTTGTGCGAAGAACACAGCTTTTTCTCACTGTGCGGATATGTTGCAGGAAAAAGGCTTTGAACTTCCGAGAGTGATTGTTATGGAAATATTTTGACAATGTCGAAACGCGGAATGCTGCTTTACATTGCAAAAGGATTTGATATTTCAAAGTACGATATTGTCCTTTAATGTGCACGATTATTCGATCTTTATTATTCATTCATTTTTTTGCTTCTTCTTACAGAAAAAACTTTGCATTTTTCTTTATATCTATTCACAACTCAGTTTTCTCTCTATTTTGCTTCTTTGGAAAACTTTTTCATTTCAATTTTGAATTTTAGTTTAATTTTTTTAATTTTAATTACATTTCTATAAGAAATTAATTTTTAATATAATTCCATAACAAATTTATCGAATTTATTTAATTTATTTTTTCATAAAAAGTTTAATCAACTTATTTTCCATAAAAAACGTAACAAATTTATTTAATTTCTATAAACAAAATATTCATTTACTTCCTATAAAAAATTGATTTGAACTTTATTTGAATTTAAATGAAATTTCAAGAAACAAAAGAGGGTGGTTTGTCTTTATTACCACACTCTTCTCAAGTAATTTTCAATTGAGAAAGAAGAAAAACTAAAAGTAGAAATAATCTCAATGATGAGGAGATAAGAATAATAATAAAAAAATCCTCTTCGAGAAAATATCAAATCCTGCTTTGTACAATGATTGAATAAATTCTGCTAACATTTTGAGTGTGATAATAAAGAAAAGAAATATACTTTTTATGTGGAATGCAAAAAGAAATATTATCGTTGAGAAAAATTGATTTGACGATGAAATCTCCATCAAGCCACGATGTTACAATCTATTATAATCGCTGACTATAATGAGCCCCGCGACTATTTTTAATTTATGACTGATTTTTCTTTATTCCCTTTAGAGCAGCTGTTCCTATGAGCACCTCTCAATCATTACTCTGTGATGGAAAGGACACTAATAATAAAACGGGTTCAAGTGAGTGTTGATAGAAAACAAAACTCTCTTCTTCTTAAAAAAAAGTTAATTTAAATTTAAATATAAATGTTCAATTTAATTTGAATATAAATTTTCATTTTAATTTAAATAAAAATTTTCATTTTAATTAAAATATAAATTTTCATTTTAATTTAAATTTGACTTTTAATTTAAAATTTCATATTTCATACAAGAATAATTTTTCTTTTTTCAGAAAGAATGGCATGTGAAGTATTTTTGGGTGGATCTTGCAATCCTACAACGTGGAGGTCAGAAATAGCAATACCGACACTTCAAAGTTTAGGAATTTCTTATTACAATCCCGTAAGTGGAGTATTTTTTTCTTTTCGCTAACGGAAGTATGTAATTTCTTTGGAAAAAAAATTAAGGTCTTTCAACTGCGATTGAAAACATTATCTTCTGAATCGTATTTAGATGATAATGAACGAACAGATAATGACATTGAAATTAATTTAAAATCGATTTAATTAATTTATTTTGACTGTTCTTTTTTTCTTTCTCTATTTTCTCTTTTATTTTATTAAGTTTGCGGCTATTTTTGAAAGTCAAAATTCAATAGTTTAAAAATATTTCATGAAAACTGGAAAAATTTCCAGTTAAAAACTAAAAAGTAAGAAATTTGCTTTTTTTCAAAGTGATAAATAATTTTTTTCGAATTTCAGCAAGTGTCACAATGGGGTCCAGAACTTATTGCTCAGGAATACGAAGCAAAACAAACAGCGCGTGTTTTGCTTTTTGTAATAGATAACCAGACACGTAATACTTCAGGAATGATTGAAGCAGCTCAATTGGCAGCGACGCGCAAAGAATCCCTGGTCCTTGTCGTTTATCCTTATCGACAAGGCCAGACAATTCTTGACGAAGCCGTTTCCTCGCAGTAAGATCCCTTTTTCAAATTTAAAAAAAAACAATATTTTCCTTTTTTTTATTACTATCTAAATTTAAAATATTGATTTAAAATTAAAATAGAAAATCTAGGTACTAAGGCGAAACTTAGTTAATTACCTAAAGAAAGACCAATCTTTTTATTTTGAAAGTCAGTTAATTTAAAAATTAAATTCTAAAAAATTAATAACTTTTTAAAACATATTAATTCGTGAATTTGAATCAATAATAATTATTAGTAAAGAATTATAAAATTATTATTAAAACTCAAAAAATAACTAATTTTTTAGTTAATATTTAGGATTTAAGTTTTTAATTAACTGATTTTAATAATAATTATGAGTAAAATTATGCGTGCGAATCGCGGTATTCTATTTACTACTGTTAAGTAAATTACAAAATTGTTTATTTTCAAATATCAACTTCAAGCTTTGAATAATTTTAGATTCAAAAATTTTTTAAATTCACTGGTTATCTATTTAATTATTATTCCTTTAAATTATACTAAAATTTTTCGCAAGAATTGATTTATTTTTTTATAAATAGTAAAATTATTCTTAAGAATTCAATTATTTTCATAAATAATAAAATTCTTCGAAGGAATTCAATTACTTTCAATACAATTTTTATAATAAAATTTCTTGACAGAATTTATTTATTTTGAATGCATTAATTTAAAAATTTTTAATCTTATTTAAAATGAAAAATTAACAAAAAGTAAAAACAAGAACAAGAATCAGTTAATTTAGAAATGAAACCCTCAAAACTAAATAAAAATTAGTTTGTTTAGAGTTTTAATAATAATTTTACTAATTATTATTATTATTCATTAAAATTCACGAGTTAATAGAATTTTGCTAGTTGATGTAAGAATGAAAAAAAAATTAATGTAAAAATCAGTGGCAATTAAAAAAAACTCTGTTTTTTTCCAGAGAATATTACGACCTAATGAATGGGCTGCTAGTACTTCAATTTTTTATGGATAGGCAAAGGATACCAATATTTGAAAATGTTACAGTTGCACTCAATTGTACGTCTAAGGTAAATAAATATTATTTTAATTATATAATTTAGACTAAATTCGCTGAAAAAATATTTTTAATTAAATTTAAAAAAAATTGATTCGACAAATAATTTCATGGTTAAATTATTTTCATTTGATAATTTTAAATGTAGTTAATTCAAAAAATAATTTTATGAATTATTTCCATTTGGAAAATTTTAATTTAAAATAAAAAAAATCAAAATCTAAAAAATTATTTTCAACGATAATTTAAAATCATTTTTCTAAATTTTAATTTTTAATTAGATACTAATTACTAAGTAGTAATAAAATAAAATAAAGGAAAAAGGAAATAATAGAAAAGAGAAATAAAAAAAAAAGAAAATAAAAATAAATAAAATATCTAATTTGAATTTAATTCTAATTCAAATCGTTAATTTGCAGATTATCCGCAAAGCAATAAAAGTGCAAGATCTGCAATCCGAGGATGGAATCAGGCCTACTCGAATCTCACTTAATCAGCACGGAAGCGATATAGTGTAAGCAAATTTTCATTTTTCTACATTATTCCAGTATTTATTTTTAAACAAAAATAAAAATCAATCGCACAATTTTACAACGCGAGAGATATAATTTAATGACCAATCTTTTTTTTCCCTCCCACTTTCAAATTTTTGTGTGTCTACTATAAATTCGAAAAATTTGATTAGTCACTAATTGCTTTGCCTTACACGTTACGTTATTGAATGATTCAATATATATTCTAAGGAAGCGTACAATGAATCAGAATAAAAAAATAAATAAATGTGTAACAAAATCTCTCTCTCTCTCTCTCTCTTATGAATGAATTAATTCTATCTGACGGAAATTATAAAAAAAAACACGTAAAATAATGTCTTAATCATTATTTTTTCCTTGAAATGGAGAAGAAGTGGAAATAAAAATTCTATAAAGAAATAAACATTCATTTTTTTTTTTTGCTTTCAGAGCATTAAGAGAGATCTTTCAATCTTTAGACGTTAATGACACGGGAACAGTAAGTCTGAATGACGTAAGTATTATTATTTTGTTGTCATAACTTCAGCTTGTGCATTCTTTGAGGAATTTTAATTTTTTTTTCGAAATCAGTTCACTCAGTTTAACTAATTTTAATATTTACTATTATTTGCTTTTTACTGAAACTGTTCTCTTTTTACTACTTTGCAATAAAAGGTCCTAAAATTAAAATTTTCGTCCTTTTTAGAGATAAAATTTATTTTAAGAAATTATTATTAAAAATTTTGTTAGTAATTTAAGAAAAAAACGAAATTTAAATTAATTAATTTGTAATAAAAAGACTAAATACTAAAAATTAAAATAAATACTACAATTAAAATTTTCGGACTTTTCATTAAAGGCCTGAGGGTATTTAGGTCGTTTAATTAAAAAATAATTAGTTTGAATGTTTTTTTGTTAAAATTACTAAAGAAATTGAATTTAAATTTGTATTTTCGTTGAAATCGTTTTTAATTACTTTTGTACTTTCTGTTAAAAAATAATTAACACGAATCTTTTTTTGTTAAATTACTAAAGAAATTGAATTAAAATTCGTTGAAATCGTTTTTAATTACTTTGTAACAAAAAGGCCTATATTTTTATTAGTTTAGATCTTTGTACTATAAAATAATTAATTTGAATATTTTTTTAATAATTACTAAAGAAATTAAAATTTAATTTTATTATTCGTTTTTTGTTGAAAACTGTTTCCTAATAATATACTTTGTAATAAAAAGGCCTGAATTTTTAGTATTTAGGTCTTTTTATTACAAAATAATTAATTTTACTATTTTTTTTGTTAAATCACTAAAGAAATTGAATAATAATTTCTAAAAATAAATTCTATCTCTAATAAATTGATTTGAAAATGTTAAATTATGATTATTCTGATAATTATTTTTTTTCAGGCTTTGGTGACATTACAGTCGAATTCAAAATGTAATGGATCCGTTTCAGATCTTTTTAATGCTGTGAATAAATCGGGTAAAATGGAATTTTTATTTTCTAGTATAATTAATTAATAAAAATAATTACATTATATAATAAAATTTTAATAAATTATATATTATATATTATAAGTTATATTTTATATAATTTGAAGCTCAATTTATTTAATAATGCAAATATTATAACGAAAGAGCTTGTAAATAAAAAAGAAATGAAAGAACTCTATAAATAATAAATTAACAAACAAACTATTGTTTCAGAAACCGGTGAAGCAGTGATACAGAGTCTTTCATTGAACGACGAATCAAAGGAGCAGAGGATAAAATTCGATCAATTCTGTGCATTAGCGAGTGAATGGTCCTGGCGAATGAGGAACAATGGCGTTACCTGTGAAAGTGAGATACCTTCAGTTTGGAGTATTTTAAGTAGGAAGACATCAAAGTTTCTGCGCAGCGCTTTCGTACACCCTTTTAATCGTTTCTTAGGTATTTCTTAAATTATCCAAAGAAAAAAACAACAACCACAATGGAAAAAGCACTGAGAAAAAAAACGTGATTCCCTCCTAATCGGAAAATTATTAAACTCACTCCCCCTCATCTCTCTTTCACTCTCTATTTTTTTGTCGTTTAGTAGTAATTACAAAAGACGAGTCTTTCAATTTTTTGAAACAAAATATTCGAATTGTTCCAGATTGGACCAATTCATTGATGCAGGATTCCGAGAAAAGGGATTTGTACATTGGTGTGATCGGCAAAGATCTGTTATGGTTAGAATCTTCAGCAGCATCTTTAATAAAGTCAGTGTTAAATTCATTCAAATTTCTTTTTTTATGTATCATGTCTGGAAAAGAAAAGACTTTTTTTTAAAAAAGAAATTCTTTTTTTTCTTTAAAAAACATTTTTTTTTAATACACGGAAAGAAAAATAAATAGGAACAAATTTTGTAAAAGTATTTTACAATTTCTGGAGAAAATGCGACAAAGCGAATGTTTGATTTTCATATAATTTCTTCTTTAAATTTTTGTATTTTTTATATCAAAAAGTTCTTTTTCTCTCCAAAATTGTAAAATACTTTTTTACAAAATTAAATACTGTTTTTCTTTCCATGTATTCTTTGAAAACTTGTATAATCGATTTGGTTTTATTTTTTTGCTTTTCTAATCATATTCCAGACTTGATTAATTATAATTATTTATTTTAATGTAATATTGATATTTACGTTTATTTCTTTCTTTATTTAAGATCGATGGGACTGTCTTTTCATCGTCCGAGTTTAAATGAATACAATATTAGGATATTGCCGCAAGAATTGCAGCATATGAAAAATTCGAGAATTATTTTATTAATTATCCCGCAGCATTCGCGTGGTATTGCCATTATGGCCTTAGCGGCTCATTTAATTGGGCTGCACGCCAAGCTTGTCCTTTGTGTTCAAACTCTTCCTGAAAATAGCATCGTTTCTGGCGAACAGGTATTTTTATTATTAATTTCGTTATTATTTATTTATTATATTGTTATTTATTTTTCAATATAAACGGGACTTGCCCTTTCGTACAAAAGTAATACAAAAATTATAATAAGAAAGTAAAATAGAAAAATTAAAAAAATTAAAATTAAAGAATTAAAAAAATAAAAGTTCAATAAATTTAAAGAATTTTAATTATAATTAAATACTACTGTTAAAAATAATAATAGTAATAATCTATAATAATAATTGTGTTATTCCTGTAATCTTTTGTAGTTTAAAGTTAGTTGTTTACTTTTTTGTTTCCTAACTTTCTTAATAATTTTTCTTATTAAATGTTTTCAATTTTTAAATTATTGTACTGAAAATCATTGAATTTTTACAAAAAATTTTATCAAAACATTTAAAAATAATTGAATTCCTTCGAGGAATTTTATTAAAATATTTGCAAGTACTTGAATTCCTACGAAGAATTTTGTTATTTATGAAAATAATTGAATTCTTACAAAGAATTTTATTAAAAAATTTTAAAATCCTAATTATATTCTTTTAAAGAATTTCTTTAAATTTTTTTAAAATAATGGAGTTTCTTTAATAAATTTAATTGAAAATTTTTGAAGTAATTGAATTTTACGAAGAATTTCTCTCAACTTTTTAAAATAATCGTGTTTGTTAATGATTGAAATTAAAATTTTGATTATTGAATTTTATTAAAATTTTTTGGAAATAATTAAATTCTTCTCAGAATTTTATTACAATTCTTGAAAATAACTGAATTCTTTCGAGAAATTTATTATTTATGAAAATAATTGAATTCTTATAAAACATTTTATCAAAACAATTGTTTTGAAAATAATTCAATGCTTGAGAAGAATTTTTATCAAAATATTTGAAAATAATTGAATTCCTTCGAAGAATTTTATCAAAATATTTGCAAATAATTTAATTCCTACGAAGAATTTTATTAAAATTTTTGAAAATCCTAATTAAATTCTTTTAAAGAATTTCTTTGAATTTTTTTAAAATAATGGAGTTTTTTTAATAAATTTAATTAAAAATTTTTAAAGGAATTGAATTTTATGAAAAATTTCTATTAAGTTTTTAAAATAATCGTGTTTGTTAATGATTGAATTTAAATATTTGATTATTGAATTTTATTAAAATTTTTAAAAAATAATTAAATTCTTCTCAGAATTTTATTACAATTTTTGAAAATAACTGAATTCTTGTTAAGAATTTTATTAAAATATTTAAAGTAATTGAATTCTTTCAAAAAATTCCTTCAATTTCTTGAATAAAAACGATTTTGTTAATAATTGTATTTAAGAATTTTACTATTTTTTTATTAGAGTTTGTGTCAATAATTAAATTCTTTTGTTGAATTTCTTTGAATTTTTTAAAATAATGGAGTTTTATTTAATAATTTAATAATTTTAATTTAATTTTATAAAGAATATTTCTTTCAAGTTTTTAAAATAATCGTGTTTGTTAATAATTGAAATTATACATTTGACTATTGAATTTTATTAGAATTTTTAGAAAACAATTAAATTCTTCTCAGAATTTTATTACAATTTTTGAAAATAACTGAATTCTTGTTAAGAATTTTACTATTTATATAAAAATAATTGAATTCTTTCAAAAATTTCATTAATTTTTTTAATATAATCGATTTTGTTAATAATTGTACTACTAAATTTTATTAAATTTATTAATGGAAAGTTAAATTCTTTTAAACAATTTTATAAAGATTTTTTGTAAATAACTAAATTCTTTTGGAAAATCTTTTTTCAAATCTTTTGAAAATAATGTAGTTTTTCTAATAATTTTAATTGAAAATTTTGAAAGCAATTGAATTTTATGAAGAATTTCTTTCAATTCTTTTAAATAACTGCGTCTTTAAATAATTTTAATTAAAAATTTGATTATTGAATTTTAATAAAATTGTATCTATTGAAAAATAATTTGATTCCTGAGAAGAATTTTATTATTATAAAAATAATTTAATTCTTGCGAAGAATTTTACTATGTATAAAAATAATTGAATTGTTTCGAAGAATTTATTTAAATTTTAGAAAATAATTGAATTCTTTAATTTTATTAAAACTTTAAAAAAATAATTGAATTCTTGCAAAGAATTTTATTAAAAATTTGGAAATTAATAAACAATAATAATTAATTGTGTACTTAATAAGTGAATATTTTAAATTATAGGTAATCTGAAATTATTCAAAAATAGAAGTTTATATTTGAAAATAAACAATTTTGTAACTTGCATAATAATTAATTTATAGTAATAATAATATATGAAGTGTAAATGCTCCTTTATTTTAAGACATCTTTTCTCAATAAATTATTAATGTACGAAAGGTCTAGACCGTATATTTTGTTAAATAATAAATAAATAAATAATAATAATAAATATATGAAGATAATATTAAATTCTCTTTTTGATATTCTTTTAGTTAACGGTGCAAGCCACGAAAGACTACAATAGGTGCAGAATGTACCTGTCGGACTATGCGACGCGCGAAGGTGTACCTGTTTTTCAAAAAGTCGCTGATGCCTTACAACACGCGATACAAATAGTTCAAAATCCCTGCTGATTTAACTCTTAAAATCACGGTTTTTTTTATTGTTCACTTAGACGCTTTAATTCGATGACTAATTTATTTTTATTCGAACGTTAATTTAAGTACAACACGATGGAAACGCTTTTTTTCCCACTGAATTCTACTTTCTTTGGTGATCCAATTCTTTTGCCAAAATTTATATAAATTATTTTTTGTTTCCTTTAAATCAAATTTCGATTTTTTATTAACTTTTTACCTCGACATTTTTTTTCTTTTAACAATTTCGAAATTCGAATTAATGGAAACTAATTCATTTTATAATACATGTCTAGTTTATTCAGAAATCGTTTTTATTAATTATTATTATAATAATTCTTAGAATAATAATTATAATTATAAAAATAATAAAATTATAATTAGTTCTTAGAATAATTATTATAATTCTCATAATTAGTTCTTATAACAATTCGTTATAATAATTTATTATTTATTTTTAATAAAATTAAAAATAAAACGAAAAAGATTTTAAATGAAAGATAAGAAAATCGGATCAACAGTGAAAGTGGAATTTACTCCTGGAGGGAATTTTGTTGTCTCCGATTTGTCTACTAATTTGAGACCTCTTGAATTTTGAGAAAATATCGATAAAACGTGATATTTTATCCTTATTTTTTCTCCCAATAATTTTTTTTCTACTGTTTTTAAATATTCCTCTAAAAAAAACCTGACTCATTTTTAATTTTTCTGATTAAAAATCTGTTTTTAATCAGTATTTTAATTATCTGTGAAAAGTTACAAAAAAGTATTGTCTATTTATTTATTCTTTTTTTTGTTGTGGGATTTTTTTTTTGAATACTAAAAAGATGTAAAATATTTCACAGACGACCAAAGAGGAACACAGAGTGAAAGAGAACGAGTGAGAGAGAGAGAGAGAGTGAGAGAGAATCAGAGGTCTCACGAATGTAGACGGTTGTTTTTAATTTGTAACTTTGTCAAGTTTTTATAACCTTTTTTTTGGTAAAATGGTTGAGGATTGATTTGATACATGTGTATATATATTATTAGCTGTTTCTAACGATCTAATGAGAATTATATATTTGCAATTCTGTAAAAAAAGAAGAGTAAAAGGAACACGTATTTTTTGTGTATGAAAGAAAAAATGAGTGAATGAATGTGAAATAAAACTCAAGTTATGACTGAGAATTGTGAAAAATTGAAAATTTTTCAATCGTCGAAGAAATTGTAAATTCGTAACGGAATGGAAAACAATTACTTTTCGAAAAAATAGAAAATAAGGGATAATTGAAAAAAAGAAAGAAAGAAAGAGAGCGAAGAAGAAATGAAAGTGGAACGATTCAAATCTCAAATGCGTTTGATCCTCAGAGAAAAAAAATTAATTAATTTCCTTCTCGTCGAATCAAACGTAGTCAGCTCAAATTGTATTTTTTTTCTCGAAATAATTTCACGTAACAAAACATCATCCCCTCGTTAATTTAATTTTAAAAAAAATAAAAAAAACATCATTAATTTATAATTTTTCGTATTTTCTTATTTATTGTGATTCACGATTTTTTATTTGAAGAAAAAAACAAAAACAAAAATAACAAATCGAAAATTCTAGCTCAATGTTAATAATCGGTTCAATAAAATTAATCTAATTTAAACAAAAATGATCTTAATTTTCTTTTTTTTGGGAGTAATACGAAAATAACTGTGTTTGATAATGTAATAAAAAAATTGCGTAACTTTTTTTTATATTCTTTGGCTCACATTAATCAATTAATGTACATTGAATACTGCAATCATAAATTATTATCATCATCATTATCATCTTGTAAGCACCATTTTTTACAATGGATATTCTATTTTAAAAAACTTTTTTTTAAGCAATTTTTTTCTTATCTTGGAAAATAGTATTGTCTTATATTTTTAAGCGATAACAAGACGGGAATCATAACTGGAAGAAAGAGAGGAATATAGACAGCATATCTGAAACAAATATTCGAAACATTTTAATTTTTTATAATAGGCTTTTCAAAACAAATTTAAAAAAAATGTATTTAAAATTGAAATTTAAAAACATCTACTTTGAAAAAAAAACGGAAAAAATTAAAAGAAAATAAAAGTCAATTCAAATTTCTTGCTAGATAATTGATTTTTACCGAAATTCAAAATTAAAATGTTGAATATTTTATTAATTCGTAAAATTAAAAATTCAGAATGTCCGTTATATAATTAAATAAAAATAAAAACAGCATAATAATATAAAAATAAATAAAAAATTATGACAAATTTTGAAAAAAATGTCAAATATAAATAAATTTATAATTTTTTGAGATTCGACACTCTGATAATTTAATTTCAAATCGATAATTTAAAATACATTTAGAATAAAAATAATAATTTGAATTCTTATTCTAAAGATAAATTATATAAAGTAAATAAACAAATTTAAATATTTCAAGAATAATTTTTTCGAATACTTCTAATTAAGATATTAAATATCTAAACAGTAAAAAATATTTCGAAAAATTTTTTTAACATATTATTTAATGTATTAAGTAATAAAATTATTTTTTTATTCATTTATTAAATTATTAATTTTTTTTTATTCCCATAAGTAAATAATAATAAATATTCCCCCTAGAGCAATATTTATTTCATTTTTTTGCTGAGGTACCAAATTTATCAAATTTATTATAAATAAATAAATTAAAATCCTTTACTTAATACATTAAATAATAGAGCCAATAATAAATTAACAGAAATCAAATTTTCATTACAAAAGAAAAATTCCTTTCGTATCAAGAAAATTTTTTCAAACAATAAATAAAAGAAGACTTACTTTTGGTCGTCGGGAAAATATAAAAGAGCAAGAAGCGAAGGATCCGTGAATGCAGCTTCGGCAGTTGCGAATGCCTCCTTACTTTTCAAAAATCCCTCTCGTAAATTTCCATTCTGTAATAATGCTGAAGATTCCTCGACGAATTTGAGAGCATTTTTTATTCGATTACCAACAGTCTCAGTTATAACAATATTACTAATTTCCTCGAGTAATTGTGCCAGCGATTGTAGTGTCAATTTTGCCGATGTCAATTGCTCAACAGAACGAATTCGCAAAAGTGTATCTAATTCCCATTCGCGGGGCTTGAATCCAAATAGAGGAACAATACTTGCACCGGGAATTGGAGTCTGCGAAAAATATTAGTTTTCAAAATTAAATTATCCAAATTAATTATTAAAATAATTCAAAATTAATTATCAAACCAATTCGAAATCATTCAAAATCATTCGAAATTATTCACTTTTTATTAATTTTATATTCTATCACTACAATTAATATAAAGAAATGCTGACAGAAAATTATATTTATTTTTTTATTTATATATTTTATAACTAAGAAATAAAAGTAATATTAATTATTTGCACTTCTTGATTATAAAATAAATAAATTATACTATTTCCATTTTGCAGAAAATTCTTCGCTAAAAGTTAAAAATTATAAAAGAAATTCTTCACTAATAATTAAACAATTTTATAAATATTTTCTAAATTAGATTTTTTATCGAAGTTAAATAATATTTTAGACATTTAATTAATTACTTTTTTAAATTTTACTTGTTTGAATAAATTATTTTGATTTTTTTATATTGCCTTTTATATTAATCTCAAAATATTCATTATATGAATAAATTGTTATAAAAATTTATTATTTTCAAATATCAACTTCAATTTTTGAATAATTTCAAATTCAAAATTAAAATAAATTATTGTTTATTATTTTTAAAAATTTTAATAAAATTCTTCCCAAGAATTCAATGATTTTCAATACAATTTGAATAAAATTTCACGAAAGAATTCAATTATTTTTATAAATAATAATAAAATTCTTCTGAAGCATTGAATTATTTTCAAAACAATTGTTTTGATAAAATGTTAATTCAATTATTTTTAGTACAATTTTTATAGAGTTTTTCGAAAGAATTCAGTTATTTTCAAAAATTGTAATAAAATTCTGAGAAGACTTTAATTATTTTCTAAAAATTTTAATAAAATTCAATAATCAAATGTATAATTTCAATTATTAACAAACACGATTATTTAAAAAACTTGAAAGAAATTCTTCATAAAATTCAATTAAAATTATTAAATAAAACTTCATTATTTTAAAAAATTCAAAGAAATTCAACAAAAGAATTTAATTATTGACACAAACTCTAATAAAATGGTTTAAAGGAATTTAATTTTCTATCAATATTTAAAATAAAATTTAATAGTAAAATTCTTAAATACAATTATTAACAAAATCGTTTATATTCAAGAAATTGAAGGAATTTTTTGAAAGAATTCAATTACTTTAAATATTTTAATTAATGAAATTCTTAACAAGATTTCAGTTGTTTCCAAAAATTGTAATAAAGTTCTGAGTAAAATTTAATTATTTCCAAAAAATGTTAATAAAATTCAATAATTAAAATTTTAATTACAATTTTTAACAGACACGATTTATTTTAAAAAGTTGAAAGAAATTCTTCGTAAAATTCAATTACTTTCAAATTTTTCAATTCAAATTATTAAAAAAAATTCCATTATTTTCAAAAACTTCAAAGACATTCTTCAAAAGAGTTTAATTAGAAATTTCAAAAATTTTAATAAAATTCTTCGCACGAATTCAATTATTTTTATAAATAACAAATTTGCTCGCGAGAATTAAACTATTCTTAATACAATTTTAATAAAATTTCTCGAGAGAATTCAATTCTTATCAGTTTTGGTAGAATTCGTGAAAGGAATTCAATTATTTTCAAATGTTTCTATTAAAATTCTTCGCAAGAATTCAATAATATTTAAAACAATTATTTTAAAATTAAAACCATTTAAAAAGAAAAATTATCTAAAAAGTTAGAAAACAAAAAAACAAATAACTAACTTTAAATTGCGAACACATGACCGAAATAGAACGATTATTAATATAGATTATTTTAATTTTCTCTTTTATTTACCTCTCAAAATAATTATTATATTTTTAATAAAATTGTTCTAATTATTCTATTTAATTATAAGATAATAAGATTTTGAGAAAACAAATTCATTTCTGCAGAAAGGAAAATTATTTATTTAAACAAAAAAAAATTCTCACCGGATCGGGTATTCCAAGCAAAAGTCTTAATTGTGCAAAGAAAACGCCAATGACAGTAGCATCATTTGGCGTTATTTCAACAGGTTCTGAACTATTTGTACTTATACACGAATCAACAGGCGGATTAACAATTACAACACCGCCCCATCTGAAAAAAAATAATACTCATTCTTCAATTTGTTCAGAAAAAATATTTATATATATATGTAATGTTTCTTATACACCTAATAAATTATTTTAAATAAATAAATTATACACTACAGTGTTTAATAAAAAAAATTATACAATACAATATTTAACCCTCGGTTCTTTTTTGCAAAATTTTTTTATCATTTTATCTATACTTTATTGTTTTTAATAAGGAATTTAAAACTTAGAGACTTATTTTAGTGACATTTAAACTATACTTAAAAAAAAAAATTATGAATTTAATAAGATGAACAGTTTCTGAAACTAGTTGATCTTTGAAAAATGATTGAAAAAAAGTGCTTCGAGGGTTAATGAATAATTTACACATTGTAATATTTAATATTTAAATTTAAATATATAATATTTAAATTAAATATATACAATATTTAAATAAAATATACAATATTTAAATTAAATCGATACCTTCTTTAAAAAAAACCACTCTCACGTTGCCCCTCTAAAGAAATCGAAAAATAGAAAATGTATAAAATAAAATATAACAAGCTGAGGAGCAATTCTATTTTAGAGAAGAAACGTGAATGTGGTCTTTTTAGTATCGAAATTTACAATATTTAAAAAAATATACAATATTTATTTTATAAATAAAAATTATATAAAATAAATTTTCTATATTTATTTGTTATATTTGAATTTTTAATATTTATACCTGGGCGAGTGAAATGCTTCGATATTGGCAGCTTGTGCTCGATGTCCGTTACGAGAGTAAATATGTAATGGTCCTTCCTCGCAAGGAACCACATACGCCACTAAATTTATACACGGATGTAAACTGACTTGCGACGCTGTAAATGCATTTAAAAAAAAGAATTTATTAATTATAAAATAAAAATTGTTTTACTGCTAAAAAAATAGAAAAACTATAATTTTCATACCCAATTTTTTCTCCAATGGGGTAATTAACTGCGGAAGAATATCCTCCGACAGGGCAAAATGCCTCCCAAGAATACTGCTATCGTAAACTTCTTTTGGTTTCACATTCAATGGCACCATATACAACCATTGAGATTTAATATGAAAATCAGCGACTAACGAAATTTCATTTAAGAACGGTTGCAGATAGACTGAAAAAAATAGAAATTTTACAAAAATTTAGAATTTAAAAAAAAATAGAATTAACTTGTTAGTCGACACAAAACTGAAAATTGATTTCGTTAATTTAGTTTCGAGTCGACACGAAACTAAATTTAATTTTTTAATATCGAGTCGATACGAAACTAAATTTAATTTTTTGATTTCGAGTCGATACGAAAATAAATTTAATTTTTTGATTTCGAGTCGATTCGAAACTAAATTTAATTTTTTGATTTCGAGTCGATACGAAACTAAATTTAATTTTTTAATTTCGAGTCGATACGAAAATAAATATTTAATTTAGTTTTTCTTCAGCATAAATCCTTTAAACTAAAATCTTCTCAAGTATGAAAATTTAAACTAAAATGATTTATAAATTCTTTGAATGAAAATCACAATATGAAAATAGTGATTCAGCTAATGAATTTTCGAGGAAAAATGTAACACGATTTACAAAGAAATTTACCATCGGCAACAGTTGGCAGACTCCAATTAACCTTTAAGTTCTCTGGGTCAGGATTCACCACTGTAAGTAGAACATCGTAAGCTGGACTAGTGGGAAATCGTCTTCTATTTTCTTTGTCTAAACTGTATTCCGTAGGATCTGTCAAGGCATTTCTTGTCAGTGCCAATGACTTGTCGCGAAGAATCCATTTGGATACAATTTCCGTCACTTTCTTCACATCTTGAAAAGAAAATACAAGAAAATCAATAAAAAACATCATTTAAATTTAATATTTATCAAATCAATGGACACTATTCTTTTTTAAAAGAATTATGCAGTATTCTAAATTTTTATTATTATGCAAAATACTAAATTTTTTATTTTCAAATATAAACTTTAATTTTTGAATAATCTCAGATTCGAAATTTCAAAAAAATGCACCTACAAAATTAATTATTATTATTATTTATCATTTTCTAGAATTTAAATTGAATAAGTTAATTAATTAATGATTTTTCTATTATTTATTAAAGACGAAACCTACTTTAATCGTCTTAATTGAATAAATAAATAAATTAATAATAAAAAAAAAAAAAATTATCAAAAAAAATTATCAATTTAATAAATGATCTTTTGTTTATCTCTGATTAATGAATTTTATAAATTGAATGTTTGTAAACTAAGTAAATAGGAGACATTGTCAATTGTCGGAGGTTGAAGTACATAAATTAAAGTGGCAATTGAAAATTAATTGTATATCTTTAAATAGCCGATAATAAAAAAAAAGAGAAAAAGAGAGAATACATAGAATGCGAACGGCTATTGCACCCATTCATCAATCAAATATAATTTGTACTCAATTTTCTCGACACTCCAATAAAAAAAATCAAATTTTTTCATTTAAATCACCCGAAAATTCAAGAAGAAAAGAATGTTCTGAATTTATTTTTATCCCAAAAAGAACATTACTACTTGATAATTCATTGTCGCAACATTGTATTCTAATTTTCGAATTTTTAAATTTCAATTTTTTTATTGAAACCGTTAAAAAAATTCAAGATTCAAATTTATATTCCAATCTTCAAATTTTAATTTCTATTTTAGCAATTTTTTGAATAAAAAAAAATTTTTTTCGGAATAAAGAAGGCAATGTTCACCTGAATCAGTTGCAAAGTAAAGAGTACGATTTGAACCAACTAGAATTCCTTCGTTGAGATTTGGCGCTTCCAATAATAAAAGTTCTCCAACTTTGAGATTAAAAGTCAACGAAATTGTTTCCAAATCATTTGTCGTAAAGGCAGACGACATCAAATTTCGTGAAATCACTTTCGAACTGACAACCAGAGAATAGATTTCTGTAACAAAAATTTTTATTTTATTATCTTTATAATTAATAATGTTAATAATAATTAATAAATTATATTTACAATTGATAATATTAGTAATTAATAATATTATTATACTTATAATTATTTTTACAATTAATTTATTTTTTGATTATTTATTTATTAATTCAAATAAGAAGGAAAAAATTTATTTCTCGCACCAATATGAAAAATTAAAAATATGGTAAAATTGTAATCAAACGAAGGAAAAATTGAAACAAATTGAAACAATTTTTTTTCTAGAAGTAGAAAAATAATTTTGTATGAGTGTTATTAAAATCGAATTGTCTTTTTATAGAAGAAAAAATCAGGACTCATTAATAAATTAATCTATATGAAATACGCAATTCCGAGAAATTTGAGAGGCATCAGAAATTATAAATTGTATTTCGCGAATACGTTTAAATGACGTAATGTCGAAAGATTGATGTCAAAGTCATTTGTCCCTCCAATTGATAGTGCAATATAATGGACGACTACAATTTATAATTCCATTTTAATGTCACATTATAGACAATACAGTATTTTGTATTCGCAAATACGTATTTCATTTGCCATCGATCCCATATTAGACTTTAATCGTAATAAAATTGAAAATTCTACAATATTTTCCAATAAATTGACTGCTACAATAAATTTGTTTTTACTTTTTTTCTTTTTCTAGAAATCTATTCTTATTTTTTCTCTTCTTATAAAAAAATCTTATTTCATTTTTTTCTTCTCCTAAAAATCTGATTTCATTATTTTCTTCTCCTAAAAATCTGTTTACATTTTTTTCTTCTCCTAAAAAATTATTTCAATTTTTTTCTGGTTCTAAAAAAATTAATTTCATCTTTTCTTCTTCTGAAAACTTTGCTTTCCTATTTCCTTATTCTAAAAAATTTGTTTCTCTTTATTTTCTTCTTCTAAAAAATGTGTTTCTGTATTTTTTCTTCTCGAACAAAATTTTTTTCCATTTTTTTCTACTTCTAGAAAATTTGTTTACATTTATTTTCTTCTTCTGATAAATTTATTTCAATATTTTTTCATACTATACAAAATTTGTTACCATTTTTTTTCTACGCCTATAAAATTTGTTTCCATTTATTTTCTTTTTCTGAAAAATTTGTTTCCCTATTTTCTCTTCTTGTACAAAATTTATTCCAATTTTTTTTCTATTTCTAAAAATTTTATTTCTATTTTTTCTATTCTAAAAAATATTTTTCAATTTTCAATTTTGTATTTCCAATTTCTTTAGAAGAAAAAAAAATGAGTTTTGAAAAAAAATTTTTCCCTATTACCAGAATTATTGAAGAAGCTGTTTATTTCTTGAGCTAATTGTTCGGCTCGTTCATTGCTGAGGGCAGCGACAATTATATTTGTCTGAATCTTTGTATCATGATGAGAAAGAGCCGCAATTCCCGAATAAGGAAGTGGAACTCGCGGAACTGCCGTTGTGTACCACCAAAGAGGGATTCCAACTCCAAGAAGAAGAACCGCAAACGAAATACTGGCGTAAGTCCGATATTTTTCTGAAAATAAAGAAAACGAATTAATTTCTATTTTCTTTTTCAGAAAGAAAACACAGTGAATGGAAAAAGTAAGAAATTAAATTTCTATTTTTTTAGAACGAAAAAAACGGTGAATGAAAAAATAAGAAATTAAATAAAACAAATTAAGAGAAATAGAATAAAAAATAGAGCAAAAAAAAAAATTAAGAAACAAATTGAAAAAATAAAACAAAAAAGTTAAAAAAGTAAAATAAAACAAAATAAATAAAACAAAAAATTGAAATAAAATAAAAACAATAAAAGAAGAAAATAAAAAAATAAATTGGAATAAAAATAGATAAATTTAGACAGAAAAAATAATCAAAGTAGAAAAATTAAAAGAATAATTTGACTTTGTAAAAAAAACCAAATTCACGTTCGTGATATCAAAAAATTATTTTCTCTATATAAAATGATTGAATACAAGTTTTTTACTTATTAAAAAAAATTTTTAACAGACCCAACAAGAAACATAATCTAAACAAAATTTTTCTCTTTCTACGACTCTCCATCCGAGATAAATCTTTTTTTAAAAATAATTTTAAAATATCTATAAATTTCGGTGAACAGCCGACTATTTTTTTTCTATTTCACAAATTTAGAACTCTAGTCTAAATTTTCGCTAAAATTAATTTTTTCATACTACAGCAAAAAAAAAACTCTAATTAAAAATTTGTCAACAATAAATAAATTCATTATAATTTAAAAACATCTTCAAGTGTAATGAATAAATTCTACAATTAATTTTATTTGTAAATAATTATTAAATAGAAAAATACACCAAAGAAATAATAATAAGTAGTAATAAATAATAAAAAAAAGACGAAAATTTTATTCAAAAAAAAAATATTCCCGTTACTTTGAAGCGTAACATGACCTGTGACATAAAATATGTAAATAAACTAAATTGTAAATGTCTCAAACAAAATTGGAACATTAAAAAATTTTTTCTTTTCGATTTCTTTTCATTTTTAATAAATGTATCAAATTCTTTTTTTTGTCAATAAAATTCCGTACGTGCTTGACAATAAAAGTCTTTTATTGAAAAAAAGAAAAAAAAATGAATAATAATAATAAAAAATGATTTCCCAATCAAAGAAAATTTATTAAATGATTTCTTTGTTAATTAAAAAAAAGAAACTGATTTCTATCTTGAGAAAATGTGATCATTAATCAAAATATAAAAAAATATTCTCGCCATTCGAACTAGAAATGAAAATACTTTAAAAAATTTTCGTCTACAAAAATATATTTTCGAAATATAATTTTTTCGAGAAAATATATTTTCGAATTATAATTTTTTCTCGAATAAATTTTTCCGAATATTATAATTTGCCTCGAAAAAAATATTTTCAAAATATAATTTTTCTCGAATATTTTCGAATTTAATTTGTCCCGAAAAAATACATTTTCCAAATATAATTTTTTTGTATAAATATATGTATTTTCGAATTATAATTTGTCTCAAAAAAATATATTTTCGAAATATAATTTTTTGCCAAATAAATATATTTTTGAATTATAATTTGTCCCCCGAAAAAATATATTTCCAAATCATAATTATTCTCGATTGAATTTTCAAAATAAAATTTATTCTCCAATAAATATATTTTCAAAATACAATAAATTTTTTTTTTACCTTTTTTCTTTAAAACTGTATTTTCAATGTTAATTTTTCTTGAAAAGTTTCTTTTTTTTTTTTAATACACAAACTACAGATAGTGAAAATAACAACATAAAGGAAAAATGGCAAATATATACACAAAGGAAAATGAAAACCAAAAATAGAAAAAAAATCCCCCCCTACCCCTTCTCTCTCTCTTAAATCCCATCACTAGAGGTACGAAAACAGGATACAGAAATAGATACACTGTTATAAAATCCAGAGGAGCATTCGTGTGGAGAATGAGAATAATTTTGACCGTCACACAAGTAGCGAGAAGTTTTAATATAATAAAATGCAACAATTGCTGCACACCTAGTTTAATATGTGTTGTGCAGAAAGAGAGTTAACTTGAACTCAATCCAACATTGATATACTTCAATTCCTGGCATATTCGTTCAATTAATTCAACCTTCCGGTAATTCTCTTTTCTAAAGTGTAGACGTTTCTGATTTTTTTCCAAATTTTTTTTTTTTGTTAATTTAAATTTTTTAATTTAATTACTAATTTTATCAAGTGGGGAAAAAGAAAGAGAAATTTTTGTATAAAAATTCTTTTCTCTGAAGTGCATCTGATTTTTTTATTAACATTGATTATTATCTCCTAGTGGGGAAAAAAAGACAACGATTCGTAAAAAAAAAATAGGGCGTAAAATTAGGGATTTTATTTCGAGGGGGTGTTATCACCAATTACATATTAATTACTAATAATTAACTATTAATTATTAATTACTACCTATTAATTATTAACTATTAATTACTACCTATTAATTATTGACTATTAATTATTAATTAATTATTAACTATTAATTATTAATTACTAATTATTAACAATTAACTACTAATTACTAATTATTAACAATTAATTACTAATTATTAATTATTATCTAAAGAGGAAAAAAGAGTACGTTTTGTAAAAAAAAATTGTGCGTAAAATTATTATTTATTAATTATCTAGTGGGGAAAAAGAAAAAAATTGTGCGTAAAACGAGAATTTTTTACTTCCCAGGGAGGTGTCTCCCCTTCAATCTAAACAATTGACGAAAATATACGATGTTTTATGTGAAGTTTCATGTGATTAATTTAAACCACGATAGACAGATAAAATTTTCAAGGAATAACTTTGGCATCGAGCAATGACCGTGAATATGTCACAAATCCTTGGCTAACTCGTTCTTATGCACTGTAAGTATAATATTCGAAAAAAAAATCAAATTAAATCACGATAATCACTAATTTTATCTATTATTTAATTCTACTAAAATTAAATAATAATATGGGAAAAAAATTCACGAGGGAAAAATTATTTTTTCACTTTTGAAATTTTACTCGAATTTTTCTTTTTTCTATTATTTACACAAATTGTTTATAATAATTTTATAAATTTTTATTTAGACTGATTTAAACTTAACCATGCGTTGCGAGATATTCCACCTTGATTTCTTTTTGTTTTCTTTAAAACGTTTTTTTGTTTTTTTTAGATATTTTTTTGTTTTTTATTTCTCTCTGTGTAAACAATTCTCGATTCCACTGTCGAATTATTGACCAAAAAAAAAATTTAATTTTTGATTTTTTTCGATAAAATAATAAAAGGTTTATTAATTTTTTTTAGATAAAATTAATAAAAATTTTATTAATTTTTTTCGATAAAAAACAATAAATATTTTATTAAATTATTTTTATTATCTTACAAAATATTATAAATAATAATCTAAAAATACTTTTATTTATAAAATTTATATTACAAAATAAATTAAAATTATATTGGTTATTATAATAAAAAATGTTTGAAATTATAATCCAAAAATTTGAAACTCTAATAATTTTATTTTTTCAATATGAATAAATAAATTCTATAAATGAATAAAAAAATAAATGTAATAAAAATCGAAAAAGTAAATTAACCATTTTGAAACTTGAGTAATAATTATAATAATAATAAAATATTATAATAATTTTATATTATTTTTTGGGGGAAAAAAACAAAAAAAATTATTTACAATATTCAGAAAAATATATTCACCGCAAAAAAGTAAATAACTTTATTAAAAAATAATTTTCAAAACCGTACTCTAATAAATATAATAATTTTGTTAAAAAATAATTTCTAAAATTTTTTATAATAAATTTATAACAATTTAATTAAAATATAATTTTTAAATATTATTTAAAAATGTCTATAATTTGGGTAAGTTTTTTAATTCTTTTCATTTCTTATTTCATTCATTTATTTTATTTTTATACTAAAAACATATTTCCCTTAATTTTTGGAGCTAAAAAAAAAATTCTATTTTGTTTCAAATATTTTTAATCTAAAAAAATTTACCAATTTTTGTTTTGACTATAATAGCACATAAAGCTCTATAATTATATTTTCTCTTGAATGTGAATAATTTCAAAAATTTTTGAAAGCATCATGTACTTAAAACTCTATTAAAATTCGTTTAAAGAAAATATCTGATTTCATAAAACTCATTAGTATCTTGAATCAATGGTTTTATGTAGGTATTTAATGACTTTATTTTTCTGCAATTCCTTAATATGAAATATTTAATTACTTCAAGGAAAATTTTTTCAGAGAAAATTAGTTAGATTTTTACAAAATTTGTTGTCATTAATAAAATTATTAATTTTGCCTTTGGAATATATTTAATTTAATAAATTTAATTGAAGAAAATTAAATAGAAAAACAAAAAAAAATTGATTTGAAAAAAAAATAAATAACTATAACAAGTATTTATAAACAATTATTTTTTACCTAATAAGCAAAAATAGTGAAAGAAAATTAAAAAATAAAAACTGTTTTAATAAATATTATTAATTTATTTATATTAATATTATTTATTATTAATATTTACTAATAATAATAATTATTTATTCGAAAAGTATAAACGGATAATTAATAAAATAATTATTAATTTGAAAAAATTAAAATGAAAATTAAAAATTAAAAAATAAAATCGGTTTTAATAAATATTATTAATATTTATTCGAAAAGTATAAACGGACAATTGACAATAATTATAAATTTGGAAAAAAGTGAAAGAAAATTGAAAATTGAAAAATATAGTCCATTATCGAATGAATAAAGTAATTTTTTTTTTTGATCCAATTTGAATAATTGTTTTTTCTTTTTCAACTTGGATCAATTTTAATGCTGATAAATTAAAATGTTTTGTGCGTTTCAATTTTACATAACAAACATTTTCTTTCACAATCAAAAACTAAGAAACATACATATATCATAATGAACATCTGCTTCTGATGCTATTCTTTCAATATTTATACTAGATATTCCATTTATTAAGATAATTTTCAAGAAAAAAAGAAAAAAAAATGTTTCAATGAAATGAATTTTGCTTTTAAGTTTTAAACCTTTTTTCAAATT